AGGTTTGTTGGGTTGCACAGAACGGTCAATGCTAGACAAACAGGGCATTTTATGCTGGCATGTGGTACTTATGGACAAGATAGTAACAATGGCAATCTGTAAAAATTGTTCCTTAATGGATAAATTCAAAATGATCAAATTTAAGTATACTTTTTTCATTTTTAACAAACTTATGTAGACAAAAACAAAACACATTTTACATAGTTGGAAAATTGTGGAAGGCTTAAAAACATATTTACAATCTCCATGCATATAGTTTGGTCATTTAAGATAGTTATCATTAAAAAAAATAAGTGAGAAGGTAATCCCAGTTGTTTATAAGGTAAGTATAAGAATGGGTCAAAATTTCTACTCACCCGATAACCACCTTCGGCTCCCTGGAGCTCACACTGCCGCTGGGGAGGAAGGACGACACCTTCGACTCCCTGGAACTCACACTGCCGCTGGGGAGGAAGGACGACACCTTCGGCTCCCTGGAACTCACACTGCCGCTGGGGAGGAAGGACGACACCTTCGGCTCCCTGGAACTCACACTGCCGCTGGGGATGAAGGACCGCACCTTCGGCTCCCTGGAACTCACACTGTCGCTGGGGAGGAAGGATGACACCTTAGGCTCCCTGGGACTCACACTGCCGCTGGGGAGGAAGGACGGCACCTTCAGCACCCACTGCCGCTCCTCCAAGAGAGTGAAGCATGAACAAGCTCTTAAAAGAGCTTAGTAGTGATTAGCTAAGGGAGTATGCAGAGCATAGCAATCCCTTGTAGTGATATAGCAATTCCCCCAATAAGAGATAGTTCTTCTTCATCCTATATCTAGAGTCCTGTCTCTTATTGGGGGAATTGCTATATCACTACAAGGGATTGCTATGCTCTGCATACTTCATTCTCTTGGAGGAGAGGTTCACCCACTGGAACCTGGAGCCTTGTCCTAGGTCCAGGATGGGCGGGAGACGGCAAGACCCCAACCAAGCTGCGGTGGTTCGTGGGGTCTGCGGTGGTTGTGGTGTCTGCGGAGCGCTTGGAGCCCTCTGTAAGCGCTAGGAGCATCCTTCAACGGAGGTACCCAGTCGGGGTGCCAGTTGATCCGTTACAAGTATGTCCCGTCGAGACCCCTACGCTCTGCCAAACACCTACGTGTATCCTCTATCCGTACTCCCATCTCTAACACTCGCCTCCAAGACTTTTCCAGGGCTGCACCTCTTCTGTGAGCTGTCATACCGGCATAGAACCTCATAATGAACCTAATAATGTCTAGTAAACAAACATTTAATGATCTTTAATGTGTAGCTATTTGTGCATATGTATAATAGTTTGCCAATGGCAACTGTAGAATAAATCAGGTGGTCTGGGGATCGTTACTTATTATAGTAGGGATATCTTTGTTCAGTTCCGTATAAAGGATGAATTATTCTACTTAACCATGTAACTCAATTACCCAAGTGACATACCATCCTCTAAAAGCTTTCCCAAGCATAAAACAGCTTTAATTATATTAAACTTCTTAAGCTCTTCAAAGTCATTTACCGACACATTTTATAGAAGCCTTTGCTGGTTGGCACGCTTTCATATATTCCTAAAATTTAAAGGGGAAATGCTGCTTCTTTGGTAATTACACCACAGAATAAACAGTTAAAAATAACCCATGCATTGTTTTAACCTTTTTTTTTTTTTTTTAAACACGTGACGCTCAGTTTTCTGTTAAATTTATATTAAAAGTTTAACAAACAACATAAATCTAAATCCAGACACAATCAGGGCAATCATAAAATGACTTAGATGAATAGAAACAATTAGATATATCAGAGTTTTGCAGACAGGTCTCTATTAGTTTTTGTTCGTTTTTTGTGCAATTTATTATTTTATTTCATTAATGTTTCCATTTCACAAAAAGTGGTTTGTCATCCATTTAATTTTTAATGCTACTTTACATTTGGTGTTTGTTTTGTAAACGAACATATCTGTGTTGACGGTTGAATAATCACAGTAAATTAATTGGACTCATTCTGTCTCACCTTATGATCTCTCTCTTCATTTTCTGATTAATTGTAAATAGTCTCATGTGAAAGACCTTGTTCCCATGGAACAAGATTTACAAATTCATTGATCTATTAAAAAATAAAGTTGCTCGTTAGAATATGAAATTGACATATTTTGCACCAATAGTTATAAATGACCAAAAGTGAAAGACAATACAATTTTCAGTTCATTTTGATAAATTTCTCCTCTTCTATGTATCCAACGGACAGAGCTTATAAGAATGTCTGACAAGGAGCCAAGATAGAGGCTCAAAATGCATAACAAAACATATTAATTTCAATATTTGATTTTATTTTGATCCAAGAGAGATTGCAAAATTATTTGATAACTTTTATCGCTCACTTTCTAGTGATAAGCTAGTAGATCAAAGATGGAAGAATAGAGTTCATTGTTTTTGCCTACTCACATATCATGATGCACGCATTTCAAAGTTTGAGAAGGACAAAGTGTCTGCTTTATGTGAAGATATTACTGCTGAAGACATTGAAAATGTGAATAAAGACATAAAAAAAATATTAAAAGACCTAGGTTGAGATGGCTTCTGTGTATTTTTCTATAAGAAATTAGTACACCTTCATAAAGTGTATAATTTTGCACTCCAAGGTGGAATACTCCCAAAATAATTCCAGGAGGAAAATATTGCAATTTTGTCAAAAAAAAGGCAAGACTCTTTAAGGTACTTGAGCTATAGACCAATCTCTCTTATTAAGAAATATGTTAAGATTTATACAATGATTTTGACAAATTGACTCAACTCCCTTCTCTCACCTAGTCTGGTCTTAAAGTGTAATTGATTTAGAACAGGAAAGCACCAGATGCTATTTGAAGGATGATAGACCTAATTCACCGGAGTCCCCATAAGGAATTGAAATCTACTAGACCTTGATGCCAAAAAGGTATTTAATCGCATGGATTGGAGATTTCTCTATGATGTTTTAGTTGAATTCTGGCTCACTAACACATTTTAAATTTCCTAACCACAAAAATATCTACAATGGTGGTAATGTCTGTTGTGGATCAGATAAGTTGACCCCTGCCCCCTTTATTGTTTGCACTATACATTGAGCAACTAGCAGGTACAATTAAAATAAATGCAAGCCTTGTGCATCACTCTGCTGAATATAAGAATAGTTTCTTTAAAGAGACAGAGCAAGACCTTTCACCTATTGATTGCTCTTCTCTTCCTCTCTCAGGACCGGTTCTTTTTTTCTTCCTATCTGATCTAGTTTTCTTCAAAACATCATGTTTTAAAGAAAACTAAGCCTGACATCACGTTTTAGAGAAAACTAGATCAGATAGGAAGAAAAAAAAAAGAACAGATCTTAGGAGAGGAAGAGAAGTGCAATCAATAGGTGAAAGGTCTTGCTCCCTCACTAAAAAAACACGACTATTCAGATGAAATGCGTAGGACTTATCCTGTGAATCTTTGGTGACAAGTTTCGTCTGCTGCTGTTTGACACCAATAAAGTTCGAGATCTGAGAAGATTGATATCAACTATTATCAGAAGGCTCTTTATTTGGCTCCAAAGTGTGAGTGGCCAATGGCACTTAATATATACCACCACTTTCTTATACAGTTTTGCATGTTGTGCTGTTTTTATATTACCTAGCTAGACAAATCCTATATATTGCATTTGTATTATATAGCTTCCTCACTCAGACATTGAAGTGGAGCTCGAGTGTGGGTTCTCAACCATTGGGTTGACTTGGAGGGAGATTTTTGTGCTCCTTTTGTTTTTATCGACCTACTTTGGTTTTGTATGAGTGCTATTGCCATAGATGGTCTTCTCCAATCGACGGCCCACAATTATCACTTAAGGAGGAGTAGCAGCAAAACTGTCTATGATCAGGAACCCAATGTTCCACCTAAGCAGCAAGATAGTGATAAATGCATTTAAATGGTGCTCAAGTCACGCATCACATTCTCAGATATTGGTGGATGTAGGGAATGATGCTTATCACATTGTAAATAATATCTGCCTTATTCAGAATCCATCACCTTTATGTCCATTTTGGATTTTTGATGAATGATGAGAAATCTAAGAAGATTTTTACTAAAATGTCACACCATTTAAAACTGTATATTAATAAATGAAAACACCCATTAATGCATATCTACCACGTATACCCGGGCCTTTCTCTCCCGTATTTTCAAGGCTGTGGTTGGAGGGGCATATTCTTCCATAGATGGCAGATATGTGATATGATTGTTGTCAATCGGAGAGAGGTTTCAAATCTTTTTAATTGTCTATTTTATTTAACTTTGTTCCCTAAAACCGGCACTCCTTGGTAGTATGCCCATATCAAAAAATGTTTTTGTTTTACTTTTGCATATATTAATGCATTAAAATTGACCCCTTTAAGTCAGAGGCATTTAGCAGCTGGTGTAGACTAAAGGGACAGATGTAGGTGACAGAACAGTCTAAAGGAACATGGTAACTTTGAATGCACAACATACACAAGACTATTCACTAAAGTGAGAAATGTCAATGACTTCTTTCCTTGAGAGTGATGCATTACCAGATGTAATAAAAGTTGACTTGGGTTTTATCAGAAACCCTAAAGCACTCCAACAGCCTCCGGCATTCAGCACTCCAAACACTAAAGTTCATTGCACCTGCTCTTCCCTGTTGCTCAGATACCAGTATATGCTGCTGCCATACAGGTCTATGCTGCTGACATTCTGTTTTAAGAAAATAAATACATTTGCTAGCACAATGCAAAAAACATTTTTTTGTGTATTATCTTATTTAAAAAGTATTGTGTACCAGGACTGGTATATCTTAAACCAGTGATTGCTTACTTTGGAACCTAGATACATCTTAATTTCACATGATATTAAAATAGATACTCTACAGCAAGGGTGTTCAAAAAGTAGCTCACTGCTGTTTTAAAACTACAGCTACCATGATGCAAAGCATTATGGAAGTTTTAGTTCTACAACATCTGGAGATCTACCATTTGGGCACATCTGCTCTACAGGAGTTACCCTGGCTGCATCCTGTTTAGGGACAATTTGACACTTATCCGCCTGTCTGTTGCCTGCAAAGCTTCCAGTCTGAGATGAAATAGATTCATTTCATATTTCTGCATTATCATACTAACTCACACCATGTCGAAACATTATTGACCGATAATATCCGCTTGTGGCTCTCAGATAATAAATAATGTCCCAACTCTGTATAATAAAAAGAAATGACCAGCTCAGACCACATGCAATGGGGAAGCTTGAAAAATACAGGTAAGTGTCAAATAGTTCTTAAGCAGTTTGATGGTTTAACATGGGACTCCTGGGACCATAACCACTAAGACAGTTTTTAGTTTATTTAGTGAGCGCCTAACTCCTCTTTGTTGTAAGACAGTTTTAAGGCTAGTTCAAAAACAGTTTGGGAGCCACAGTAAGCCACCACTGATTTAAATAAAGAACAAGCTAATTTTACTCTTACAAGAGATGAAAAATTAACAGAAGTGCAAAAGGCTCCAAGTAAAGCTACAAGAAATGACAAATAGATGTTTCAATAAAGAAAAACAATCACTCATATAACCATATATAAACATACCAGTTTTTTGTTGATCAATGTACAGAAAAAAAATGAAATGTTATGGATCACATAACTGAAGAAAAAAGGACAATTAATATGTAAACCAATGGTTATTGTTCATCAGAATTATTAAGCTAAATTATCAGATGACAATTGTATTTTTTAACCAATCGTTTTTTACTTCACTTAGAAACAAACAGGAAGTCAATGAAGCACAGAGCGGTGAAGAAAAAAAATATATTTTGTATTATATGAAACTTCACTTCTAGAAAATGATCGTACCTGTTATATAAAATAATAATAAAAAACACACTGTTTATTCCAAGTTTAAATACAAAAACTGTTTACGAACAGAGTATTCATATGTCAAAAATACAAAAAAATAATTTTCATAAAAAAAATTAAAAAGTATCCACACTTTAACACAATGTTGTCATTTTCAAAAAAAAGTGGTTTGAAGACAGAAGTTCATATTCTAACAAAAAAAAAAACCTATATAAAAACAGGCTGTAAACATTATATTCAGCAAGTCTTCAAATGAATTGCCTCTTCTCAGTTCTTCTGAAATTCTGTTATTGTACAAAATTAGTGAAATACTACACAGTAGTTTCATGTTTCCATAGTCCCGTCCGGACATTTCCATTACTGTCTGCATTAATAGGTGGGTCTTCTGCGACATCGTCTTTAACTGGCTCATTTTGAACAGCCAAATTTAAACCATACGATTTCTGTTGGCTTTCAAGTTCAACAGCAATTGGTTCTCGCAAAATGTCTTTTTTGTTGTTGTTAAAAGCTACCTTCTCCAAGTTTCGGCTGTACCTAGGAAGAGTGCTTGCGGCATCACTGCTGTCTTGATGGCACTGGTTGAAATGACGCTCTCTGTAAGCCAAATAAGCTCTACGGCTCCTGGAATGTCCTTCCAAGTAACTATGTCGGCTTTTGGGCAAAGCATTCTGGACACTTTGGACACTTCCTTCCACACTTGTGGGAACATCATAAGCATATTCTCTCAGAACTGTAAGTCTACTCGATTTGTGGCCTTTACTTCTATTTTTGTGATGCCTGGATGGGGGACCATTGGGTCGATACTGAACCTCTACTGGTGCAACATGCATTTTTATGTCATTATCCATTGAATGTTCTGTTAAGCTATTATCATGCTGTGGAACGGTGTTTAAAGGTAAAGGAACTGTGTTACATTGGGCTGCGGCAGCTTGTATGTTGGTCAACTTACAGCCCTGTGATGAATTTTTAAGGCTGGAAGCACTTTTGTTTGTGCAAGAAGATTCAGCACTGCTGTTCGTACATTTTGGAGCTTCACCACTGGTTCCAGTTGAGTTGGACGGAGGAACGTTAACTTGCACAAAATATGCACTCCTACCATTGCAGAATGTATTTATTAAAGCACGTCTCAAATCTTCCCTGTTCATACAGTGGTGAACTATCAGGAAGGCACCAAGGCTTAAACAGGTTACACCAAAAAAACAGCTGAAGACCAGGTCCATTGGGTAGTCCAGAGAGACAGCCAGTGCACCAAAAATCCAGAGAGAGACATAAAGGAACAAGGTAAGACTTGCACCGAGTAGCTGTGCTTGAAAGGTTTGCTCATTCTCCAAAGCAGAATTGGATACTAAAGATACAGAAAGAGAATCTGGTAGGTTGCCCTCTCCACTCTCGCTGGCAGCTAGCCGCTGTTGCTCTTCTGTTTGCTCTTTGAGTTCAAACACTCGGTCCGGGTGTCGTTTTAGCTGAATAAAGATGCTGAGGAAGTACATGCAATTTATAAACACAATGAAACTTGCTGGACCATAAAAAGCTCCAAGGCTAGGTTCCCAGGCCATCCAGCAACTGAAAAACAAGAAACAAAAATGAAATAGTTAAATTCAATAGAATGTGACAGACAATATAGCTGACAGACAGAACCAGCAGATTCATTACTTACTACGGCGCATTTGGTTGACTTCCATAATTCTTTATGTTTGCCGCTGCAGTGATGCCACATACAATGACAGGAATTCCACCCCCAATAAGATAAAATCTAAAAGAAACAGAACAGTGAGAAAATAATTGAAAATGAGACAGAAAAGGAGTCATAAAATCACGCACTCTAAACTTAAACCCAGTGTACAGTTTTAAGAGTACTGGCAATTTAAAAAGACTGTAACAGTTATTATATATTTATATTCACACATACATACACTGTGTAAATCCCTTTAAGAAGTAATAACACATTATACTTCAAATGCCATCTTGTGGGCAGATTCCTGTAGTTTTTTCTCAATTCACACACTTATTTTAGCTTTTAATATTTAACAAATATTAGTAAGAGAAAAATTAGGCAGTATGGCCACAAAATCATCCCACACGAGTATGTTGGCATATCAGGTGAACTATGCCAAGAAGGGCACAACTATAGAATTCAAATTAAAGTTGTAGCTTTAATTGAAAAGCCTGTTTGTTGGAACCCCTTGTATAGCTACAATTCAAATCTATGAACAATATTTACACACGGATCCTTTGATCTTTTGGCAACCCATAGTGCTATATTGTACTATGAAAACATTATTCTAATCTTGTAATTAACCAATGTTTCTTCACCCTTAACTCCTGTTTGAGATGTTGCAAAACCTTAATACAGTCTTTTATTTTTGAAAAACTCTTCAATACACTTTGAATGATTAAAGAAAACAAAAAAGTGGCCTTAGTAAAGTAGGGTTAGGCTATTAAAATTGTTAGAAATATCTATATACCTAAGCATCGGTCTTGGAGGAGGAGGCAGTTCATCTGGGTCCTGGCGTTTGGCTTTTTTTGTGACTTGTTTATATATATTGCGAGCGGTAACTCCGACCCAAAGTATTGTAGCGAGAGTGGAGTAATGCAAAAGAATTCCAATCTACAAAATAAAGGACATATCACAGAGACAAAAATCAGCAGAGTTGTATACATTATGGCAAAACATTTTTTATAATTCCCAAAGTTACATTTTGATGTAATTATACAGAAACTGATATTTTCAAGTTAAGTCTAAATAGCAAACCAAGTTCTAAACCCCCAAAAAAAGTTTGCTATGGGTTTTTATCCTTGATGTAATATATACACTGCACTCATGGCTGTCATGTGTAATCTATGCCCCCACCCTCAGGGTCCCCCTCCCGCCGGGCACTAGGGGGAGGAAGAGGTCAAACTTACCTCTTTCTCCAGCGCCGGGTGGGGGACTCTCCTCCTTCTCCTCTGAATGTGCAGCAGGAGCCACGCGCGCATTCAGCCAGTCCATAGGAAAGCATTCACAATCACAGTGAGAAGCGCGGATGCGCCTCTAGCGGCTGTCAATGAGACATCCACTAGAGGCTGGATTAACCCATTTATAAACATAGCAGATTCTCTGAAACTGCTATGTTTATAGAAAAAAGGGTTAAACCTAGCTGGACCTGGCACCCAGACCACCTCATTAAGCAGAATTGGTCTGGGTGCCTATAGTGGTCCTTTAAGAAAAAGTCATTGTATGAGGTTTATGTGAACTAATTCAATTTCCAAACACAATACATCCTTACCGCTTGGCATACACTGGCGTGTTTTGTTTGCGTTATGCCTCCAACATATATTATACATGTCAGGAATATGTGAAGACTGAGGTTGATCAACATGTGCCAAGTTTTCAGGCTAACTCGCACCAATCTGAAAGAAAGAAGACAGATGTTTAATCAGGAATTTTCGAATGTCTAATATTTGCAAACTAAATTTAAAAACAAAACAAATGTGTTTCCATTTGTAATGAAGACAGAGGGTGGTTGTTTTTAAAACTGCATCCAAACTGTCTGTTCTATAGTACAGAAGGCTAATTTTACCAACCATGCCTTAAAAAAAAACAAAAAAAAAAAAAACCTCTCAGGAACTTAAAGGGAACTCTGGCATCAACAATCTTATGTATTTTAGAATTCCTAGACAAAACAATATTTTTTGCATGCTCAATTTTGTATAGGATTTGGAAAATAAACCAAAACCAAAACACACACTTTAAAGGGACACTACAGCAATTTGGATGTATTGATCGTGCCTCTGAAGTATCACTGCTCAATTCACTGCTATTTAGGAGTTGAACTTTAAGCACACATACAGGAGGCTCCTGCAAGGTCTAGAAGGCTATTAAAAGTGCAGGATATAAGACATTCTAAATTAAACAGACTGCAATAAAGTGTAAAAATGAGATATCACTTTACATGAAGTGTTTAGGAAGACTAGGTAAGTCACAAAGTTATTTCATTTCTAAATAGAGAACTGAGCAATGAATTGCAGGGACATGATCTATACACCAAAACTGCTTTATTAAGATAAAGTTGTTTTGGTGACTATTATGTCCCTTTAATAAATTTACCTAATCCAGGCTGAAATACTCAATTTTACTGGCTACGCTACTTCACTACAGGATGTTACATCTCAGGAACAAAGAGAACTAACAGTAACCAGACATAAACCACGAAAAGGCATCACTAAAGCAAGATATTAACCCCACCCGTCTGCACGATAGGTGCAATATTAGGTTAAAGGTGGCTGTGCTGATGGTGTTTTTTATTTATTTATTTATTTTTTAATTAAATTCTGTTGCCCCTTAAGGCCAACTTTTCTCCTTTATCCACGTAACCTGCAGGCTTTTAATTTTTTGCTCCAGTAACACAGTTGTAGATAGAACCAAGAAGCACAGAAAGGTTTGCTAGACGTTGTATTTTACTTCCATAAGTAGAAAATGGACAACTGTTAAAAACCATGTTGCGCACTGATTTATGGCATAAGGTAACCATAGGAAGTTATTGTAAAGCCTCTGGATTTATTTAATATACTGCACTTTAAAACTTATTACCTTTATAAAAATATAAATGTGGAAATTCTAGCCTGAAGCACTCCTTAAAAGCATTCATGAATGAGGAAATGAAGCTTGTGTGTATATGTGGAACATATGTCCCTCTGTATCTAAAGGTCCTCTCTCTCACATTGTTCCTGTACGTTTTTGTAATTGTCTTATTATTTGTTAAATCTTCCCCTCCTATAATATTGTAAAGCGCTACGGAATTTGTCGGTGCTATATAAATGGCAATAATAATAAGAAGAATATATAGTCCATCAGACTGTGCAAACATTATTTGTTTAAAATGACAATCATCAGAAATACAGAAAAAACAAACAGTCTGATTTACTACAGACTACAGCTGGTTTCAGCATGCCATTTGTTCTTATATGTCGAGCATGTCTTGTTGCAATTACTTGCCCATTGCGCAGCTCTGTGAAACATGTTGGGGCTTTGCACTTTATATAACGACACTGCTCTCTTTGTTGTAGCTTACAACAATCAGTCAAGCTAAAAAAAAATATTTGTTCTGTTTTTATAAGTGAAATAGATATGCTTTCACTGTGAGACTTAACAAGGTGTGTTAGGTGAATATGTAACTTTCTCTATTTATTGATGAACAGATTAAGAGAATTGCAAAACTCATGGTTTCACAACAGCACCAACAAACAAGTAACCGACATAACAAACGTAAAAGTGGTTTAATTAAAATGAGGGTTTATTCATTAAATACCTAATTGTAGCAAACTGATATATGAATCGCAAAATTTGCCAAAATAAAGTTGATTTGGAAAAACTGTACTACTAGTCACAACTTGGCTACATAATTTTAGCATAAATTTAGCAATTCACCAGAATTTATCTTTCAGCGAATAAAAACATGGACCTTTTATTAAGTTTGTCCTCCAGTTTGGGATCTCACTATTCTGAAACATCACTATACTGGATGCAGTATACTTATTTTACGTACTGGGTCAGCAATTTTCTACAGTTAATGACCTAATAACCGACCAAATAACAGAACTGCTGCATTATGTTAAAAAAGGATATTGCTCTCTCCTGGTGCTCCTCCTACCTCTCCCAGCGCTCTTTCAGTGTTTCTTTCTCTGGCTCTGCCTCTCCTCCCCAACCCCTCTCTGTCGGCGTCCCCCAAGGTTATGTCCTCGGCCCCCTACTGTTCTCAATCTATACTGCCTCCCTTAGTAAACTCATCAGCTCCTTTGGCTTCCAATATCATTTCTATGCAGATGACACGCAAATCTACCTGTTCTCCCCTGATCTCTCTCCACTCACCTCGACTTTTAAAACTCAGACTGTGTAAGACAGAGATGATAGGGTCAAAACAGGACTGCAAAAATATATTACATTACACATTTTAAAATTTTACTTCATCAGATAAAAGACGGAATGATTGCTGGACATGCATACCTGTGAAAGTGTACGTAACTCACAAGAAACATCAACAGGCACAAAAGCAACACGACAGCGGACGCGTAAACAACTGGATGCAAATGATTTATTGTATGAAGGTATACCTCTGTGTCTGCAAGATCCTTTAAATAAAAACAACAAAAAAATGAAACAATATTATTTGCACAACTACCAGATAATTAGTTTTCAGGCTAAAATATTCCTCATACAGTTTGGTAAGAGAGAATGACTTTAAAAGCAACAATTTTGTAAACAATATGCACGAGTGAATTCCTAGAAATGATGCTAACACATATTTCACCGAATGCAGACTTGATAGATGTTATGTTTTCTTTGCAGAACAATGTAGAGAGCGGGGACCCACACATTCTCAAATATAACATGTATTTACACGAAAATATTTTGTTGTGGAAAATAGCATCTTCATAATGCCATATACAGTGTAAGTGAGGGTTATGCATGTTCTACCAACAATGGCTGAATTATAAAAAGATAAATGCTATAATATGTGGGTAAGCAGCATGAATAAGTTAGAGCTGCACACCATAAAATTAGATTTGAGGGAAGAAACCATTAATCAAGGGGCATGTTGATATAGAGACATTGGAGTAAAGTATGGTAGGTGAGGTATAAAACATGACAGGAGAGAGGTTGGGAAAACTGGAGACTGCTAAGAAATGATTTTAAAGAGAATTGGAGCAAGATATTATTTAACTAGATAAAAGTCACAGAGACAAGATGGATTTAGGAGTACACCCACAACATGCACTTTACAGCAGCACCACTGTAGTGAAGACCAAACTATATATGAAATACAGTTTAAGAAATAACACACACACAAAAAAGAAATGCTATTTTATTTTTTTTTAATCTTGCAAGGTTACCTAAAATCACCTATATTAGGACCCACTGATATTGTGGTACTGTGACGTTATGGTGGGCTTAACACAATATGGCCATGTGGTGTAACCAATTATATTAATTTGTCAAGATAAGAAGTTTCAAGTAACCTTGTAAGATTTAAAACTATTTTTTTGAGTGTGAGCTATTCCTTAAAGGGTTACTCCAAGTACCAGTACCTCTTCAGTGATTTAAAGTGGACAAAGTACATGGAATCTGAATATTAATTTAAATGCTGCACTACAGAGATAAACCTCTTAGCTGCAGGAGTCCACCTCCAGTAATATCATAAGCCATCCCATATGTTCAGGACCAAAGCAGAGAGAGGGTTACTCTAACCAAAAGCAGTGCTTTATGAAACCACTTTTTTTGTTGTTGGAATAACCTTTTCATCTGTATTTTGGATAAAAGATACAGCTTAGAAATTGAAGAACCTTTAGTGTAAATGTAAGGGAGATGAATATAGACCTCAATGTACAGATGTGGCAAGAAAGAGCTGAAAAGATCGAAGAACTGGAATAATGTAAAAAAAAAAGTGAATCGAGTGAGATGTGCAAATGGATAAAGGTTGTGTAATAAAGGCAGAAAACAGCCTTAAAGCAAAATAATTCAAATGTAACTTTTACAGGAGATATTTACAAGTTCATCCTAATGTCAGATTAACGGAATACCTCTGTTATATGCTAAATGTTAAACATTCAAAAATAGGCAGAGGGCATTTGGGCATACCATTAAAACTGCATAGTTCCCAAGAGAGTTGCATTGGATAGTTGTTATGTTTTCATCTGACGCAATTATGTCACAGCCTTCTGTTGTCCAACCGCCCAGTCCATTGAGCAGATCGAAATCCCACTGAGCTGCCACAGCATCTTTACCATGAGCAATACGACGCAAGGTAACATTAATCGGGACATATGGAATGCTTCTATTTGGACCATCTGGAACAAATAAACAACATGTTTACAATATTTAGAATATATAGAAAACCAACACAAAAAACAGGCCACAAATGAACAATATTTTATATGAGATAACCAATGTCGATATACTTGTCCAAAAGCAGAGATAGGCAACTCCAATCAACCCATATGCCATGAACTACATCTCATACGAAGCTCTGCTAGCTTCAATACTGGTGAAAACTAATGGTAAACAAACCCAATAAAACTGACGAGGGTTCCGACCCATGTCCTAGAGTCTAAAATCTATTTTGGATCCTGGCCTTTGTATGCCCAGTATAGCTCCATGATTACCCTAAATGCAATAGGAGAACTTTAATGTGTAAATTCAATCTTTCTAAACATACACACACTATAAATTGTTGTTAAAAACTTGTTTTGACTGTGTTCCAGGTAGATATTAATAGAGCATCTCCATACAAACCTAGCTTGGCAAGGATTACTGGGCTAACCACTGATCTCCTCTTCCCATCATTGGCAAAGTGTGTGGAGTTCCCCATGGATGGAAAAAGCTTTCCATTTCGAAATGCAATTAGTTGAAGCCTATAGACAGATTCATCTAGTCCTCTTTTCTGTCTCTTTTCTTTTGGTACAAAAAGTGCTGAAGGAAGCTGAATGGAAGCCTCCACAATGGTGTTCTGCAAAGTAAATATATAATTTTGTACATTTGCTAAATTTATGTAACATGCATTTACAATGCAAAGTTAGAAGTAAAAGGATGAAAGTAGCAAGCTAAAACACATAGTACATACACACATATTTAAGGAGAAAAAATATATATAATAAAAAAAAAAAAAAAGACATATATTTCTTTTATTCAAGAACTATGAGTACTCACAGGTCAATGTTTCTGGAATAGCCAGTTTGATACATATATATATATATATATATATATAAAAAAAAGGACGCTTGAGGGCCCATGTTTCTTGGATATATTTTACAATATGTGGCTACTGATTTTGGTTGCACCTAGGTATCAAAATATGTCTATACAAAGTATAAAGAGTAAGTGCAATCACAGATGTAATTTGTGGATCTTGTAGAATATATAGAACATACACACACAAAATATGCTAACATAAGGGACAAACTCCATTTATCCTCACTAAAAACATTAAACATTTATAACATACAACACTCAAATCAACAACTACAATATGACAACGTCAGAACCATTAGACAGACTCATGATAACACCACTGAAACTGAACTATGTGGCATTTTCTCCAGGACCGTCAAGTGGCCTAATGAAAATAATGCATCTCAAAATTACTCTGCCATCCATGGATACTCTGCCATCAATTAGTCAAAAAAAATGTAAAAAGTTTTTTTTATAATGTATTTGTAGTCATTTTTGTAGTATTTTGTATTCATAATATCGTTATTATAGTTTTATTTATTTTTTACTTAAAGACTCTGTTTAAGGAATACTGCGAATGGACAAACACTTTTTGGACAGACCCTGCTCAGGTTTTAAAATACATTTAGCTTACTATTACAGAGGGGAACTAAGACATTTGCATCTTGCACTGATTCCACCCACAAGGGTAGTCCAGTACCGAAATGGCAGACAGGTCACTTCTGCAAAAGAAATGCATCAACTTCAAAATAATTCTGGTCATTTTTGGGCCTCATCCATTTGATTTGGATGACAACTCTAGACTCAAATGGGTGTCGGTAGGTTACAAAGAACCTAGTTACATGCAATTACTTACAAATTCCTTTTAACTTATTTCACTACCTCAGAGTCATTCCTAAATAAATTATTGCCAAGTGTTAAAGTGCACAATTAGATAACGGAATTTAATGAGAGCACAGGTTGGTATCATATGATAACAAAATGCTTTAATCGTTGAACATTACCTTTAATGCCAAGCTGCTAAATGTGTTTGAAACATTGCACTTAAAGCTTAGCTGTTTATCCAGAATACCATCTGGATCTCGTCTCCCAGAATCACCAAGTATAGAGCGTTCTGATGCAGTTACTTTCTGAAAAACTGTGCAGGTCATCCCGGTAAAGAGGTTAGACTTTATTACATATGCTTCTAAAGCAATGTTTGGGGAATACTGTGGATTAAATAAAAGGATTCAAGTCAGAACTTGTATTAAAGTGGTTCATTTTAATGTGAGCCATTAACATTACACATTCACAATAAACCATCAGACAACCCAACATGGACTTCATCCTGCACTACTAGAGCACAACTCTGCAGAGCTTAAAAGTATTTATTTCGGAACCAGAGATGTAAGAGTCATATATCCAGCATAAAACACAAAGGAATAACTGATACGTCTACAGTTAATCCAAACAAGTACGGTTTTCTGAAACTTTTTTTTGTTGGATTAACAGCTTTAATAATAAGGATCAGCGCTCCATAAAGTTTTCAGGGTCAGCAATGCCCATCTCAAGTGTGAATTTATATTTGCTATGTTCAAATGTTTCCTTAATGAACAGTGAACGTGCCGAATAGCAAATGTTTTTTTGTAAGCAGGAAAATAATGATTTAACTATTTAGCTGGCTGATCTCCACAAGAATTATGGTCAAACACTTACAATGCCAAAGCTATTCATCACTGCTTTCATAACTTAACCGCATGCAACCAGAACTGTTTGCTTGCCATCTAAACCTGCTTCATACTTACTGTGGAATATACTTGTGCTCCATTTACAAGACGATATGTAGAGATGCGCTGTAAGCATTGCACTATACGTGTGCAAGCTTTTACCTCTTTCTGTGCCGCCCATAGAACTCGCTCATCAGCCAGCATTATGTTGCTTGCAATGTCTACCATAACATCCCCAAGCTGCGGATAGAAATATTTGTTCAGCACATAGGATGTGAAGAGTCAACGATAAGTTTTTGATTTGTATTTCTATCTAGTAATTCACTACCCAATAAGATCTAAAAGGCCAATGTATTAGGCCTCTCTTTCAGACAAATGGCCTATTAATATATATATATTTCTTAAAAACGGTTAATACAGTTACCTCTTTGTGTTTCTCAACAAATCTCCCAAAACTTTCAATGCTTTCTGCAACAAAGATTACATCCATCTTGTCTGAGAAGTTTGCCGCTTCCACTGTGTAAGCAAGTAGTTGCTTTGCTGTTGTTACAATGTTTGTAACATTGAGTGCCATCTAGAGAAGAAAAAAAAAAAAAAAGCAAATTAAAAATAGATAAATAGAAAAAGTATAATTTAGCGCAGAATCCCTTCTGCCTCCCAAAAAGAAAATGTAATCATCTGCATCCAAAATCAGCTCACTTACAACAGGTGGTATTAAAAGAAAAGTTTTGTTGTGAGTGTGGTCTATTCCAATCTAAAATAGACCGAGCATCAAATTACTAAAAGTTGCTAAATTTCAAATGTGGCCTGGTAACGTCAGCAAAACTATCTACAATAAACATAAGTGAGATTTCTTTGACTCTAGCTGAACACAAATTCGGGGTACAACTGCGGGAAAATAAGTCAGTATGCAATGTTGTATCTGTACAAAAAATGTACTTTGTCAGACCGGTGGTAAAATAACTGCAGCGAAGTGTTAAAAGTCCAATAGGAAAATATTTCCAGGTGCTAATTTTGAACAATGTATATTTAGGTTTAGAAATTGTGAGTTTTGTGACAACCATTAATATCAAAACTTGACAACTTTCAGTTTTGAAGCAAAGATGCATCCAGTTAGATATAAAACCTGTAACTGAGAAAGAAATAATATAGGATAATCCTAGATATATGAGGTAATCCCAAAATCAGATTCATTTAGGTTCGTTCTTTTTTTTAATGGCACTATTTGCAGATCTTAATAAGCAACATGGGCAGAAAAATATTGTATTGTGAAAAAAATAAAAATAAAGTAAAAAAACAAATAAATTAACCTATTCCCCCCCCCCCAATAGGGTATTGTGTGAGGTTAAAAAAAAAAAAAAAAAAAAAAAAACATGAGGTGTATAGCAATGTATTAAATGTGTCTGCATTAAACAAGTAAGAGAGCAATTACTAATAATAGAAGAATGCGAAAAATGTCACTATCAAAGAATTGAAGCATAACCGGTACCAGGTGGTTAAATGTCATGGCATGGCAAGGTGTCAGGGAAATCCTGGCACCATATCCACTGCATCATTATATTGATCATGGTGTTGACAACACAACTTCAAAGGTGTTATTGACCTTTTTGAATGTATGGAATTTTTTAATTAAAATATTAATACTTTTCAAACCTTCTTTGTCAAAGTTTTACTAGAAATATCAATACGGACAAAGTCATTTACGCCATCAGGAATTCAGTTCTTAACTTGACACACATTTCATTTATGGTCATAGACTCTACAAGACCAGAAAATGTGTCCCATGTTTTTAATTTTGGCATTTTTAGTAAAAGCCATTTATTGGCTCCATGGGGAATCTCAAGTTCTAGGATCACATTAATTTCTTCCATTTCCTCTTAATTGCAAACACATTAACCAATAATATTATAACATTCTACAGTAGGAACATCAAACTGTGGACCCCTAACTGCTGTAGGACTACAATACCCACAACGATCTGCCAGCCAGAGATTTTAAATGATCCCATATGAATTTCTAAAAACACCAACACAACATGCTCACAGTTATTAGAGTTAAATGATTGTATACAAATATTTGTAATTATTACAAAGCATCATTTCTTAATCTGAGTAGTGTTTTCATAGCAACACAATTTACAAAAGGAAAAGAGGTACCTGATTGAACATAAAAAGAACTCGTGTGACATCATTTGCATACTGACACTGGGAATAATCTTCCTCTGCCCAAAAGCCCCCTCGGTCGCATCTGCGCCAAGCTCTTATGTCATCTTGCTGGGTGCCAGGATATATGACACTGCCAACAGAATACCGTGTGCAGGGTAGGTATGCAGTGATGCCTGCCAATGTTCTTGGCCACCTAGCAAGTTAGAAAATGAGATCACAGCATTGGTATTGGGTAAAATCTCAACAACATGCTTGGAAAAAAAATATATATATATTTAGAGACACATGTCTGTAGACATCGAGAATTAAAACTACCATCACGCACAGTTACAGAAAGAATTAAAGTGCATCAATCAATTATGGAGTTCCGTAGGGACATTTCCATTAGTCATCTACTCTCTTGGCGAAAGTGTACTCTACAAAAGTCTACTGCAATACACGTGACATGTACAGCCACACACTGACCAATGTGATGTGTGCTGCACTGAAAATGAGCTCTGCACACAGCCCTTTAAATCAATGTGGCTAAACCTGCACACATTCAATTGGAATCTGCCTTGTGCCAATCACTATGTAATTAGCAGGGGCGGCATGATGATTTACAGCATAACATAGCTTGGATTAGTGTTGGATAAGGTTAACATTGGTAGTGTTAAAAACAGCATCAAAGTGTGATGCTGGTCAGTATAGTTACACTACAAACCTGGGAATCGATCAAAAGAAGCATGTCTGTTACTTGACCTTACAAGTCCCCAACACCTAGCAAAGGTATACATGTGGGGTATTGCTTTATTTAGGCTGTGCAACACAACACATTTCAAGGTCTTTGAAGACCTAAACAAAACACAAAAACAGTGTATGACAGGATCCTTCATCCATATACATGCACCTTTTGTCACACCCTGGAAACTGACAGTCACTATGGTCTTTTCTGGTTCACACAGAAGCAGGAAAGACCATAAGACCAAAGACTAACTGTCTATCTTTAAATACTGTCTGACACAAGGTTATGTGTATGGCCAAAGGAGCCTGCCATAAACTAACGGTAGGGATGAGTTTCTCATTTCTTTTTACATAAACTTAATTAAAAAAAAAAAAAAAACATTTTCTGCTTTTGAATTCAGCAAATCCAAACAAACATGAGTTAAATGTCATTTGTCATGTAATGACCATGTATATATTAGAGGAGAAGAATGATCATTTGTTGTCCATTTTTTGCTGAAATTGTGAAATTTATAATAAAAAAATAAAATAAAAAAAAGTAGCACTGGGATTTTAACTGCTCCAGTCTGGCATGCACGCAAAAAGAGAAAAAAGATTCCACACCTACTACATTTCAAAACTAAATAGTGATATAACACTGCTACAATAATCATTCTTATCTTAATTATTAAAACGTATTCAGAGTCACCTTTACTTTGTAACCATTATCAGATGTTAAAAGGAAAGCGTTAAGACATATCACTGCACCCACCTGAAATCTCCTTTATTATTTATAACCCTCTCTGAAGGGCAGTACTGAGGAGAACTCTCCAGCACCACAATATCCACTGTCCTTGTGTTATTACCACGCCTGCTTTGGACTTGGCAACCCCAGTTCCCAGTGGAGCCAGCTTGAATATTTGAGATGGTGAGAGCACTGTAAGAAGGAAAGGAAAAAAAATACACATTTTTTAAAATGGAAAGCTTACACTGGAAATACGGTACATTTTTTAATAGCAATTTAATAAATTACTGCTGGATATCTGTTCAGAGGCCAACTGCGTTTCATTGCCCTTGTATGCACATGGTACAGTAACAATAAAGTTGAATCTAAATATACTGGTACAAAGAAAAAAAATATTCTTAATTATTACTTTGTTATTAATTTTTCCATATGGAGACGAGCAAGTCTGCCCAGTGAAATACGTCAACATAAAACCGATGCATTGAGCTAGCCCAATTTCTTGCAAATGTAGACATCCAATATTAGAATATAGTTGTTTTCTCCCAGATTGTTATGATATTTTTATGGTGAGAGATGAAAATGCAAAATAAGTCTGCAGGAACGATTATGCGTACTTCCACTGCTGCATCCACACATATACAATCTATGCTTAATGTAGTAGTTATGGTATAAAGTACTTTCACATATTTAACAAAATGCTGGGTTGTGCTTAAAGAGCTTGGCCCCACTGCTGAGACTGTGATTATGTGGCAGTTTCACTAGTGCCTTATTTGTGTATAAAAAGTAAAATAAAAAAACACAGATATCACAGATGGGTTACACGCCCCAAAAATTATTTTAGTGGTTATGGTACTTTTTGTCCCTTTAAGGTAAATGTCAAGGATATCTTTCTGTTTGGCGCATGAGAATAATTACACTTTTTGAAAGCATTATCTATTCTTGAAAACCATTCGTTGTAATGAGTGCGACAGTACCTTGCTATTAACGAGCAATTGTGAATAGTGTTCTTCTCCACAAAAATCCCCTGCGACTCATCCGTTTCCACAATCTTCCCATCTTGATACCATATCACCTGCATGTCCTGGTCAATGTAGGAAGCCATGCACTGGAATGGAAGACTGTCCCCTTCAAAAACAACCTGACGATGTGATGGGGTCATGTAAAACGATGGCAGATCTAGTGGAGCTTCTGTGATTTGAGAAAACAGAAACAAGGCATAACAATTCTATGTTGCTTCTTGCTAAACAATTACAGCAACTCTGCAAAGCAAAATAAATGCTAAACAATACATACACGGGGTTGGAGAGAAAAGGATCATTAGTAACACTATAAATTGCAAGTTTGTGGAGAGAGCTCTAAAAAAACCAACTGTATGGTTCCGGTTATAGTCCCCTTTACTTGCAGAGTCAAGCATGGAAGAACTATTCGCACTACGTAACTAAATTACTGTTCTGTATAGCATGTAAAATTATTGCGAGTGGCACAGCTCCTTGTCTGTTATTTGCAATTTCTTTTAAACTAAAGCATTCTATCTTCACAAAAAAACACAGAAGTCACAGAGTCTCTACATTTGTCAGGTGTGAAATATATTCTATTATGGAGAAAATACTACAAATAAAATGCTGACCGGTTCTGGATAACCGTAGTAAATGAAGAAAAAAAGATGTGCATTATTTTTTAATAGAAAGCTACACAAGGGAATTTTAAGATAAATCATATCAACCATACACAAAGGAGGCACAGAATAATTAAAGAATCACTACAGGGTCAGGAAAACAAACATGTTTTCCTGACCATATAGTGTTAAAACATTGTTTAGGTGCATCCCCTTGCTCCACTTAAAAAAAAAAAAAAAGTGTAAAAAGACCCCTGTATTTCAGCACAGCACGATTCCCCTGGCTGCTCTGCCTTCTTGGCAGAGATCATCAGAGTTGTCAATTTTAGCCAATCCAATGCTTTTCTTAAAGGAAAGCACAGGGAGGCTAAAGTGCATGCGCGGCAAAACGTTGTGCTGCGCCAATCAGCATCTCCTTATAGAGAGCCATTGAATTAATAAGGAACATTCAGTGCCTCCATGTGCAGCACTGACCTGGGAAGCACTTCTAGTGGCTGTCTGAGTAACTACCACTAGAGGGGTTACTAGTCAGTAATGTAAATACGGTCTTTTCTCTGAAAAGGCAATGTTTATATTAAAATTCCTGCAGGGACATATCATACAGACGAGGTCAACTACAATAAGCTGATCTGGTGACTTGTTTCTGATATAGAAAAGCGCACATTCTGAAATGAAGGATCTAAAGGTGGCAATGAAGTAATCAAAACTCATTTTAGCTACTGACATTTGGCATATAAAATGATATTTAAACAATCTAAAACTACAAGAACAAAATGTCAGTCGAAACATTTCTGGCTGTTTTCGCATCACGTTTTGACATTAAATTCACTGTTCGAATAATGCTAAACAGGGGAATAAATATCTGGAAAAGTAATCTTAAGAGTGTTCGTAAAGTCAGTAATTTGCAGTTCCGCACGTGGGGCAGTCACATTTTGTAACTTGCTGTCAGGATTACAGGAACACTCAAATAAATAAATAAATATTTTTCTATATTACCGGTAAATGTTCCTTAATCTGTTAAAGGGGTTAATCCAAATACCATAACCACTTTGCTGAAATTAAGTGGTCATGGTGGTAGGAATCAGTATGTGCAGTGGGTTCAGCATAAAACACTGCACATACTGAGTTATATGTACTTGTGAGCTGGGAGTAACTTGAACCCCCACCGCCTGTGACATTGCCATCCTGGAACTCAGTTCTGGATTGTCTAATGTCAGTTCTGTGCATAAATAAAGTCTGTTATCAGCAAAATAAATGCTAAACAATACATACACGGGGTTGGAGAGAAAAGGATCATTAGTAACACTATAAATTGCAAGTTTGTGGAGAGAGCTCTAAAAAACCAACTGTATGGTTCCGGTTATAGTCCCCTTTACTTGCAGAGTCAAGCATGGAAGAACTATTCGCACTACGTAACTAAATTACTGTTCTGTATAGCATGTAAAATTATTGCGAGTGGCACAGCTCCTTGTCTGTTATTTGCAATTTATTTTAAACTAAAGCATTCTATCTTCACAAAAAAACACAGAAGTCACAGAGTCTCTACATTTGTCAGGTGTGAAATATATTCTATTATGGAGAAAATACTACAAATAAAATGCTGACCGGTTCTGGATAACCGTAGTAAATGAAGAAAAAAAGATGTGCACTGTAGGAGGCGCACTGCACGCCTCCTACTGACATCACCACTCCCTCCCATCCTTCATTCATAAGGCCCTCCCCGGATTCGTTTTGCACAGTTTTAAGTTTTAATATTTTCCTTCCCTGTCTTCCCCACACGCTCCAACGCCGGCGAAAGTGCTCTGTATTTTAAGCTACATATATTTCCAAGCGGCAGTGACCATTTTCTATGAATTAAGGCAAAATACACCTAAGTGAAGTTGACAAAAGCATTTGTTTAATGCATTCTCCAAACGTTTATCTAAAAGATAACTGAAGACTTCCACTTCTACTGGTCAACACTAGCCAAACATACATCAGCCTTTGAATCTTTGTCATAAAGTGCACACACCTTTCCAGTCTGTCAATCAGTCAGGGTTTCTGAGTGAAATACTTTATTACGTATGTCACTCCCCTGTAAGCCAACGACTGTACATATTTTATCATATTTACTCTGTATCTTCCAGTCATGACTTTCTTATCAACTGCTACTAATTCGCATTGCCTATTGTTCCACTTACAAGACCTAGCCGCTACCCAGAAGGATTATAGTTTTATATTAAGGCCAACAAAGATGAGTTTATTCTCTCTCTTGTCGGTTAAACCTAATCCTTTCCTCTAATTTTGGAACAGAAAGCTAAATGCCCATCCAAGAGATGCTTTACATGTAGCCCAGAAGTAGTGACCACCATCTGCAACCTTATTTGCAATTCTTCATCTTTCCTCTGAGCAGTTGAAAATGTAGCAGGGAGTAAGGCTGTACCGATGTGATCTTTGCTACAGTTTGTTTTGGGGTGACAGTACACTCTAAATAGGCAAAGCCTCAAACACATATCACCACAAAACCCAATTTTCATTCCTTTCTTCTCACATTTTTAAATGATCATTCCTCACTTAAATCAATTATAACAGTGCAAACAGCATACAGGCCACTGAACAGTACAATGCACAGTATTATATCAAGTATTTAAACATGGTTAAACTGTAAAAGAAACTTCAATAATAATAGAGAAATAAAGCATTTGGTAATACTTGATGAATAAAAGTAGGTATGGAGAAAAAAAAAGATGAGTAAAGACGGTTCCTTCATTTTTTGTTTTAAATTAGAAGAGAAATAATATCTAAATCAGTGCTTCAAATCTCAAGTCCTTTTCTACTCGCCAGGCCTAAAAGTCCAAGGCATACCCCGAGGGGTGAATTTCTACCTATCAGGGCTAAATTTACACTCGCTTCGATTTACATATGGAGAAGTTAGTATTTTTAACTTTGAGGAAGCAGACCTTAAGCTTTTACAGAATGTCTGAAAATAGTGAATGACAGAATAATAATATCAATGATAAACAATTTGTTACACTGAAAACAAAACAAGAAAGAAACAGCCTATGGGCCAATCAGATAAAGAGACTACATTTGCCAAAATCAGGTGCACATTAAATGTAAATTGGGTTTGTGTGACCGAGTTAAATGTTCCATTCCTTACCACATGTCAGCTGTTCTGGTTTCACCGCTGTAACTGACTGTCCTTGCAGAGACTTGGGAAAAGCACATTTAGTCTCTCGTACCGTTATATTTTTTTCTTTTATCCAACGTAACACCCAAAGAAGGTTACAGTCACATATAAGGTTATCGGTCTGAAACTCTCTATAAAATGAGGAATATGATGTTAACATCAGACGAAAGGAATTAAAAAAAATACAGAAAGAGACAATACAATGGATGGCTGTTTGCGAAGCTCCAAAGTTAAATAAAATTTGGGGGACAGATTGATTATAATGGAGCACACTACCTAAACCCCATTGTTTAGGACTGTGCCAAGCGCAGTTGCCAATTAAACCATTCGTTATAATGAATAGCAGGTATCTGATCTGTCTATTGTTGTTGATGCATAGTTCAAAAAAAAAAAAAATTACTTTCAACCTAGTAATTTTATGTTACAGAAACACACCTACTTACATTGCTTTTAAAGCAGCCATGTTGGAAAACGTTCCTTGAGCCAAAGAGGAAAAGGAGTTTCCAGAAAGGTTTCTAAAATAAAAAAATAAAAAAAAGAAATAAATATTAAGACAGTTTCAGCTATGAATAACTGAATGCAATAATGGGGGAAAAACAATTAGAAAAAATTTAATGTAACAGGTTTTGGCTTCCTTATTGTTAAAGGAACACCAAGGTCAGGAACACAAACATGTATACTGTTGAAATCACTATCTAGCCCCCTTGGCTTGGTCTGCTGGTGCTGGCTCTGCCCCTGATCTGCCACCTTGGCTGATATCATCAGAAGTGATAATCTCAGCCAAGGAGGCGGCCCGGAGGAGGGAAAGTGGGGTGGATCCAAACATTGCCCTAGCCAGTCAGCATTTCCTCGTAGAGATGCATTGAATCAATGCTTATCTATGAGGCAAGTTTAGTGTCTCCATCCAGAGGGTGGAGACACTGAATGTCAGTGCTGCACATTGTACAGCACTGCCCCAGGAAGCACCTCTAGTAGCCACCTGAGGAGTGGCCAGTGGAGGTTTCCCTAGGCTGTAATGTAAATACGGTCTGTTATCTGAAAAGACAGGGTTTACTGCAAAAAGCCTGAAGGGTAATGATTATACTCACCAGAACAACTACATTAAGCTGTACTTATTCTGTTGACTATAGTGTCCCTTAAAAAAAAATAAGAAGCATTGAATAAATGAAAGATAAATACAGTCAGGGCAATAGCTTTTGGTAGCCAGTCTTTTTTTTAAAATACTAGATTACTAATAAAGTTTTTCAAAGTTTCTTTTAATGGTTCATATAAGCATGGGTTTGAAGAAACACTTTAAGCACTGTAACGGTTATGGCGTAACCACCACAGCATGCTTTAATGGTTATGCTGTCACGAGTGCACTATCGACCCCCAAAGTAAGTGATAAAACTGTTCAGAAGGGGTTAACTTCTCATCTGGCATCTGCTGGGTGTCGCTTAGTCCAGGGATTAGCTCACTGGCTCAGAGTGTTCAGTGATGCTCTCAGCCAACAAGCTAGACTTGCACAAATTAGCTCAGAAGAGCTAAGAGCAGGAGATTCTGGCTAGGATAAAGAAGGTGGGACCCCAGGTCAGGTTAAAAAATGGTTTAACTATTTAGAATGAGAGGAGTCAGAGAACCATAACCACTCCAGCATGCTGTAGTGCCTATGGTGCTTAAAGTGTTCCTTTAAGCGGTTAAACTATTTAAGTAAAAAATATGACATTCTTACCAATTCTAACAACCATATTAAGACAACTTTGACTTGAGCTGTCTCTTTAATATTATGTATAATTCAAGGAACATCTCAGGTCTTGATGAAAGTTTAATTACAAACTGAAATGTTGAAAGACAGGGTACATAACAATGAATCATGTATTATGGAAAAACACCATGAATGATATATATGGTTTTAATACATAAAGCAATCAGTTTTTGAATGCTGCAAGTAACAACAAACCCCCATCACCAAAAACGAAATCCTTCCTATAGAAGGCAAGATCATTTATATATGTTAAACGCACTAATTCTGCAAACTAAATGCCACAAAGAATATTAAACCGAATGCTGCTTTAAACAACAAAACTTCAGACCATATCTATAGTTCTACACAGTTTGAACGATCAATTAAAAAAAAAAAAAAAAAAAAAAAATTATAGGTACTATAATAATTTGATCTTATTGAAGTTGTTATAGTGCCGTCATACCCTCCTGTCTCACCACCCAAAATATTTTATATTTTAACAGTTTGAATGCTTGAAAGCGCAACTCCAAGCCATGCCTCCATGCCCACTGGGTAGGAGAGCTGAGACTCCCCAGCTCTCATAATCATACATACTGTGAAGTTACACGTGTATGAGCAGTGTCGTGTCGGCCAGTCGGTCATAGAGAATCATTTTACGCAATGATTATCTATTGCAGATTCATAGGCGCGCGCATGGCAGCAAGCACCGTGCATGAACCTATGGTCCCCTGTTACACTATGAGGAGCCCACGGCAGCACTGAGTGAGACCGTGAGCAAAACTATTTATTTGTACTTGTGACAGAACCGTCTATGGATTGCTTTTATTCTTCCTCCATTCGTCTGTTTGTTCGATTATTCCCTTGCCTGTACAGTCCCTGTGTGTTCCCTTGTTTTATCCAAAAGAAATACAGAATGACCGACCACCGGAGAGCTGGCGTGTGCCGCCAATTGACCTCCCAGTAGCCGCGGTAAACCGCAGCTTAATTGACTACCGTTAAGTGGTCGCGGTTACACAGAGCTAAGACACTGTGGCGGCAGTCTGCAGCTCACGAACGGCCAGTGGTGTTCAGTACCAAACTTATGGAACTGAAAACGGATACTTTTACTCACGAACACCGCTGCTTCTGCCTTCGGCTGTTTAACCGAACACTGGTTCATGCAGTATTTAACCATGTGAATGCTGTTAACCCAGATAGCTATGCCATGGAGCCTCTTCGTGTAATAAAAGACTTTAGCTACATAGCAATTGAACCATATGTGTGTGGTCTGAGCGCCATTCAGTAATAACGTGCGCTCAGACCTAAGCTATCTGAGGATATGTTACATGTATATATTTCAGGTAATAAGTGTAACGTATATTTTTTTTGTCCTGTAGTCACCACGTGGATAATGGGATTTGCCTCTGTCCTGGGAGATAATTGGATTACTTCCCAATTATCTCCCGGATAAAGAGGAGGGAATTGTGATGCATTGTGGGAATGTTTTACCACTGTATGTCTGTCATTGGTACTTGTCTGTCCTGTGTCACAGTCTTCCATCTGGTCCCCTACGGAAGTGTCTACCAGGTGGGAGACCTGCATAAATACTGGGCAGGTAGCCCTCAATAAACCAGATTCCTGTTTTACCCTCAATAGAGAGCCTTGTCTCGTACTTGGGGGGGGGAAATTACTACTGTGGGTTATTCTTTTGCCTGTTCCAGGAGAGGTGAACATCGTATGTTTCCAGTCCGGTGGGTTTGAGTGATCGTGAACTGCTGCACTCTTCGAAAGGTGAATCCCTTGACCGGTATTGGCTCTCACTATACCGGGTTATACCGTAACAACTGGTGGCAGTGGTGGGATGGTTCTCACAGCCCAAAAGGTCAGCGACACAACCCAGACCGATGGAAATACCATATGAGAGACTGAAACGAGCTACCCTCAAGGATTTGCTGGAACACCGAGGTCGACAAGCAAGTAACCTTAGAAAGAGAGAAATCATTGCGGAGCTGCTCGAAATGGACGGAGCGCAAGGAACCGGGAGAGTTAACGTGCCCATTATCACTGACCTGACACCCGACGAACTAAGTTTTAACCGTGCAGTCCAGATAAGGCTGGCACACTTTGACACCAACCCTACCCAAGACCTCATTGAATGTGTCATAGCTGCCGTGGAAGCAAACCGGGCACTTCAGCAAAGAGGTGCTGCAGCAGTGGAGGTACCTAATAATCATGGGAAGAAAAAAGTACACTTTGCTACCTGGCTGATTTCAAAAGACAGTGTGCCCTACACCAGGTACCTGCAGAAGAATGGGTCACCATCCTCTCTGGGAAAAAGCTGAGTGGGGACTCATACCCTGAATGGGCATGTCGCATTCACTGCACGGCAGCCCACTGGGTTGCTGGATGCCAGGCGGTGTCCGGAGAGGAGGTGCTGCAGCTGCTTCTGCTGGAACATTTCTATGAAAGGCTGACTGCAGAGGTAAGAGAATGGGTCCGGGACAGAAAGCCGCTTACGCTACCTGAAGCAGCTCGCTTAGCTGACGAGTATTCTGATGCCTGCAAGTTGGATAACCAAGCCCCCAAAGCTGCCCCTCGCACAGAGTACAGACCAGTGACCGCAACACCGACACACTGACCGGCAGCACCCCCAACGAACTCACAACCACAACCGAGGTTCAATGCCCGCCAGTACTCCCAGCCTATCAAGTGCCATGGCTGTCACCAGATGGGCCATCGCAAAGCGGAGTGTCCCCTAAATCCGTTCAGGCAGTACCAGTCCTGGAGAGGACCAGCATGGGGGAAGCCTCGTCCAGCAGTACCGGCTCTCCATTATGTTGAGGAAGAGGAGTGCTGGGGTATCCTACACGAGGCTGATCCCATGCAAGCAGCTAGCCGAGACAACCGCCAACAGCATCGACAGGCAGTCCGAGTGAATGGGAAAGCAGCCACTGGATTGAGAGACACCGGTGCTACCATGACTCTATTACAGAAGAACCTGGTCCCTGAGAGTCAGCATACCGGGGACACAGTGGCCGTACGGGTAGCTGGAGGTACCGTATTTAGGCTACCTGTGGCCCAGGTTCACCTGGACTGGGGGGTGGGCTCTGGACATGTGAATGTGGGGGTTATGAAAGACCTGCCTGCTGATGTCCTATTGGGGAATGATTTGGCCCCCCTGGTGTCCGCTTATGCCCTGACGGGCTATGCTGAAGCCAACCCTGTGACCACCTGTGCCCAGACCCGTGCTGCTGGAGCCGACCCACCTGCTGCTGAGACCCCGGCATGACCAGGCCCCCTTAGGTTGGGATACCCCAGAGGCCTTTGGGAGGGAAACCCAGGAGGACCCGACTTTATGCAAATACAGGGCTAAGTCAGACTCCGGGGAAGAGGGGGCAGATGGGGAGTGCTATGAGTGGGTGGGGGATAGGTTGTATAGGGACCCCAAGCAATCCCAGAAAAGTAAAGCCCCTTCGCAGAAACGCCAGCTGGTGGTGCCCCAGAAATACTGGCTGGAGATTCTACGAACTGGGCATGATGTGCCGTTAGCCGGACATCTAGGGTCCCGTCGCACAGGACATAGGATTACACAGAACTTCTTTTGGCCCAAGTTTAACCAGGCTGTGCAACAATATTGTAGGACGTGTGACACATGTCAATGGGTAGGGAAGCGGGGGGGACCACCCTAAAGCTAGACTTGTGTCTATGCCTATTATAAGGGAGCCCTTCTCCCACATAGCCGTTGACATTGTGGGTCCATTGGCCAGGGCTAGTCCATCCGGGAAGAAATATTCTCACCGTAGTGGACTATGCCACCCGTTATCCAGAGGCAGTAGCTCTGTCCAACATAGAGGCAGGGACAGTGGCTGATGCCCTGGTTAGGATTTTTACCCGGGTTGGGTTCCCCAAGGAGATTCTCTCCGACCAGGGAACCTAGTTTACCGCTGTGCTCACCTAGCAGTTGTGGGAGGTGTGCGGCATTAAACCGCTGCTTAGTTCACCTAACCACCCACAGACTAACTGTCTCTGCGAGCGCTTTAACGGTACCCTCAAGCAGATGCTGAGGACCTTTACTGACGCCTACAGAGACTGGGAGCGATTCCTGCCTCATCTGCTATTTGCGTGCAGAGAGGTGCCCCAGGAATCTACTGGGTTTTCTCCCTTTGAGCTACTCTATGGGAGAAGGGTCCGCGGACCCCTAGATCTCATTCGAGGACACTGGGAGGGAGAGAACGAGCAGGAGGGGTCCCCCATAGTACCATATGTTCTGGAACTCCGGGACCGCATGGAGCAACTGTCTCTGATGGCAAGAGAGAACCTCCAGGCGGCCCAGGGGAGACAGAAGAGGTGGTATGATCGGGGTTCCCGACAACGGGTCTTCCAGGTTGGGCAGAAAGTTTTAGTGCTCAAACCTGTGAAGACAAATAAGATGCAAGCATCTTGGCAGGGCCCGTACAAGGTAGTAGCCCAGGTATGTGACACTACCTATGTCGTTGCCAGCTGTGCAGATGAAAGGATCCAGTGATCCTTTCATGTGAACATGCTGAAAGAGTATCAGGAGAGACAGAAGGATGTTGCTGCAGTATGTGCCCCTGCTGCAGACGACTCAGACGGTTTACCTCTGCCTGACTTACTGGAAAGGGATCCCCAGACTGACTTGACGAGCCTTGTACAGCTAGGAGACGGATTAAGGAACAGGCTCGGAGGCTGCTGTGGGAGAAACAGGCGACTTTCTCCCAAGAGTCGGGCTATACAATCCTGGCTGTACATAAGGTAGAGACCCTTGGACAGACTCCCCTCCGACAGCCCCTTTACCGTATCCCAGAAGCAGTCCGAGAAGGAATGCGGGAGGAGATACAGGAGATGACCCAGCTTGGGGTCATCGAGCACTCTGACAGTCCTTGGGCTTCACCTGTAGTCCTAGTGCCGAAGAAAGATGGGACCACCTTGTTCTGTGTGGACTACAGGCGACTCAATGAGAAGACCACCACTGACGCCTACCCGATGCCCTGGGTAGACGAATTACTAGACCGCATTGCCAGGGGACGTTTCGGACTACCATAGACCTGTGTAAGGGCTACTGGCAGATCCCCCTGGCCGAGGATGCTATCCCGAAGTTGGCATTCGTCACCCCGTTTGGCTTGTACCAATTTCGAGTCATGCCATTCGGGATAAAGAATGCCCCGGCTACCTTCCAGCGTATGGTGGATAGACTCCTCGATGGCTTCCAGGAATTTGCTTGTGCCTAACTGGACGACATTGTGATCTACACTGGGTCTTGGGAGGAGCACTTGGTACACGTAGGGGTGGATCTGGACAAGATTCGGGCAGCTGGCCTGACCTTGAAGCCAGATAAGTGCCATCTAGGTATGGCTGAGGTGCAGTACCTGGGTCACAGAGTGGGGTGTGGAAACCAGAGACCAGAGCCAGCCAAGGTAGAGGCAGTGGCTAACTGGCCCACAACCCTCACAAAGACCCAGGTAGTGGCCTTCTTGGGGATGGCAGGGTACTACAGATGTTTTGTCCCAGACTACAGTACCATAGCTAAGCCCCTGACTGACCTGACTAAGAAAAACTTACCTAAGCAGGTCCTGTGGTCTCCAGCTTGTGAAGCCGCGTTTCAGGCACTGAAGCAAGCTCTTGTGAAAGCGCCTGTCTTGGCTGCCCCGGTATCTAACAAACGTTTTCTCGTCCATACAGACGCTTTCATGTTTGGACTGGGGGCTGTGCTAAGCCAAGTCAGGGAGGATGGAGGAAAACACCCTGTCGCATATCTCAGCAGAAAACTACTACCTAAGGAAGTGAGTTATACGGCAGTGGAGAAGGAGTGTTTGGCACTGGTCTGGGCACTGAAAAAATTAACTCCCTATCTGTACGGGCAGGAATTTTCTCTTATCACCGACCACAACCCATTTGTCTGGCTTAACCGGGTCTGAGGGGGCAATGGCAGGTTGCTACGGTGGAGCCTGGCCCTGCAACCTTACAATTTTACAATCAGCTATAGACACAGTAAACGGCAATGCTGATGGGTTGACCTGACAAACAGACGTCTCTCCGGCACCCGAGTTCCGGAAATCCCCAAGTTGACCCGAGAAGAATCAAGCTGGGTCTGCCGGAGTGTCCCACAAGGAGGGAGCTGTGTGACAGAACCATCTGTCTATGGATTGCTTTTATTCTTCCTCCATTCGTCTGTCTGTTCGGTTATTCCCTTGCCCCTACAGTCCCCGTGTGTTCCCTTGTTTTATCCCAAAGAAATACCGAACGACCGACCGACCACCGGAGAGCTGGCGTGTGCCGCCAATTGACCCCCCCAGTAGCTGTGGTTAACCGCAGCTTAATTGACTACCGTTGGGTGGTCGCGGTTACACAGAGCTAACACACGATGGCGGCAGTCTGCAGCTCACGAACGGCCAGCGGTGTTCAGTATATTCAGACTATTTTCTCAACTTCCCTGCACATTATTGTTCTACTCACCTGTCCTTGCACATCTGCTTTTCAATAATAGTTTACAGAACCTCACAGTATTACATCATAAACATAAGCCTTTGACAAATCCTAATGTAGCAACTTGCAACAGACTTGTGCCTACCAAGCCATAATGTCTAGGTGTGCTATTTAAATGGGTCTCCAGTAACAGGAACAGGCATATTTAGTTATTAATGTCCAAAGTAAAGGACGTCTTCATTGCCCAGTGCAATGGAGATGCCCACAGGAACTAGAAACAATCTAATTAAAAGGTGTGTTTCAAAATGTATTTTAATGTTATTTTCAGCACACTGTAAGAATGGGTCATGCAGCACATTTCACAGCTGAAGAAAGGGTTGCCATTTAAATTTAATACACACAGCTTGGATTCTGACCACAAAGAACCACCGTGCCGTGCCTTCAACATACTGGGAATACATAAAAACATAGCAACATAATGTAATCTATAAATTTTATATCAATTTAGGAAGCAAAATCTATGGACAAATGTTTTTGAAAACAGGTTACACTTGCACAATTCAAAGGTAGAACATGTTTAAACAGTCAGCAACATTTTTGAGTGATTTTTGACACTGAAAATGAAATACTTGAGTAAGAGATGAGGAAGTACAATTTTACTTACAGTCGGACCAGATTAGAGAGTCCTTTAAATATGTCTGCGCTGATACATCCTACCCTGTTGTTGGCCAGATCTCTGAGGAGAAAAAAAAATTTTAAATGAAAAAGTACATGACATAGTTTTGGTGTATGGATGCAAAAGAACGAAGAGGGTCTGACAAGACGTAAGAGAAGGTATAATAAACATAGTGTATATATATATATATATATATATATATATATATATATATACACACACACACACACACACATATACACACTATGTTTATTATACCTTCTCTCACGTCATTATATATATATATGTATGTGATGTGATGTGATGTGAGAGAGAGCGAGCGAGCGAGCGAGAGAAAAACAATAGAGATAGATATATATATCTATAGAAAACATCACATACATATTGGTCAAAATGAAACCACTAATAATTCCTAATAGAATGCATTTAGATCAGGGTTTAACTATTTTATAATGGTATGTGACAATATGAGCAGCCTCATTGGGTTTCTTTGCTAGATGGAATTCAGGATTTGTGAATTAAAGCAGATCTGGGAATGGTATAAAGGAAAGCCATAACTTACAGCCTTTTAAGAGATTCAAGTCCTAGAAATGCACCTGGCTCGATTGAACTGATCAGATTATTTCGAAGATCCCTGCAAGTGAAAAATAAAGCAAAATAATTACATTATATCTTTTCTAAGAATATTATAGACTGATCATTTCTTTGTCAGTTGGCAAACATTCAAAATCAGCAGGGGATCAAATACTTTTTTCCCCTCACTGTACTTATGCTTTCAGTTTGGCTACTTGGGTCGTCAATTTGAAATTTACTTTGAATTCTCACTTCGGTAAATCAGCCTGTCAATATCTGTGTATCCTGCAAACATTCCCATTTACCTTTAGATAATATATGAACTACTTATGTAAAAGCCATTTTCTCATTCTAGACTGAGTAGCCTGATTTGATACTTTGAATTTAAGTAGTATCCTTTAAAGAAATAATCCTTAGAGAACAGAAGTAGAAATATTTAAAGAAGATCTCCCACTACAAATGGTTCTGTACTTGCCACATTTAAATCACAAGGTAGTAATGACACAAGCTAGAAGGTGTTAAGCATGCTAATAATGTAATATGCCCTTAGGGTACATGATCATACCACATAGTAGGTGATAAAAGCTCACAAAATATAAAAAGGTTATGACTCACTTTAAAAGCCTTCAAGCTATTTAATACATTCTTCTCACCAGTGGCCAAAAAAAAAAAAAAAAACACACAAACGAAACTAGGCCAGACCTGGATAGTATTATATTTAATACATTCAATGGATACAAAGTTAGCTTAAAAGAAACACAAAAAAAATATCACTGTCTAATAGCCCTTATCCCGACAGATCCCAGGTAAGTTGTCAAACTGTTCTTAAACAGTTTGATGCAAAACCTGGGATCTAAACAGTTTGACTACTTATCCTGGGAGGGCACTTTGGCACTGCTGGCACCATAACCACTACAATGCGAAGTAATGGTTGTTGTGCCTAGATTGTTTCTTTAAATAATCTACCAGTGCCACTCCCAAGATTAGGCTCTGAATCTGTGTCTGAATGGAAAGCATTTCTGCTTAACAGGAGCCCAGTAGATGTTGCAGCATTGTACTTATACAACCTAGAAAATGTTTTGACTTGAGGCGCCTTGGAAGAATATTGAAATATTAAGGGCGCCTTGAACCTAAAGAGTTTGGGAACCACTTCAGTACCCCAAATGTCACATTCAATATCGCACAATTCCTTGCAGGCTGCAGCAAGGGGATATTAAATGAGGCTGTATCATTTCGTAGAGGGACAGCTGCATCGCTTTACAACTATGCTAACATCACTGCAGTAAAGCTTAGGAAGGTTTAAATTTTTACCAAAAATAGAAATTAATTCCATAATAAAAAAAATAACTGTAAAACAAAAAAATCTTGTTAAGCACAATTTATAGATTACAAGTTAGGCATATTAAAATGATGACAGTTCACGTGAGAAATGACAACTGCTCTTTAAAGCCAAACTTCATAGACGACTCGTTTTAATTGCAGGACGTTTTACAAGGTCTGTGTTGTTAGTAATAGCATCTCCAAATGCTAATCCTTATTATTAAACCAGAGCTTTTTTTCTGGAACAAAAGGGAAGCCGGAATTACTGCAGGACTATTTTTAAAGACTGTAATTGAAAGACCATGCTGGGAATTACTTCCAGGAATGCGTATTTGAGAACCCAGTTAACATAATGAATGAACAATGCAAATAAACAAAAAAGAGCCCGATTGCAAACAATCTATGAAATTGCTTTAATAAGGCAGGAAGTCTTGAAAAATCTATTGCGAGGGTTCTTGGAGTGACCTCAAGTGAGTCAATTTCCTGTAAGATACTCTAAGGACATTATAAACCACAAACTTGTCCAAGATTTCAGGAGTACAAAATGAATAACCACAAAGCTAGCCCAAAGAAAATGATAAACTTCCAAACTAATTTCTAATAATAACAATATTTGAAGAATAGAATGTGTACTGTTGACCAGAGCAAGTCACTGGATTTTAAAACTGCAGCAAATGTGTTTGTATGTGCAGGATCAGTCAGTGTTGCCATGGAGGGAAAACAATCAGTTTTTAAAGGTTTCTTGAACCCTTTTTAAAATTTAATATTAGAATGCTCTATTGGCATTATTCTATATGTCTTCCCCTCCACCCCCGCAAAACAAAATGCTTGAAGAGCCTTTTAAAATAAATTACTTACCTTAATCCATACTAAGTGATTCATGTGAACTAGATTATTTAGTTTAAAAAAACAAAAAAAAAAAAACAAAGAAAAAATGGTTATTTTAAATTGTGTATTTTAGATCAAGTAAAGGTTTTTGGTTACTTTACTGTGCCAGTTCTCTTTTTATTGTATTTTTATGCACTTCGACTATTTTTTACTTTCCTCGCTATTTATTTTTGTTCCTGCACTTAAAGAAATCCCAGGTGGGGATCATACCACCAACGCTTTATTAAAAGAGCAGTACTTTCTGCTCTATACCTGTAAGTATTATTCTAGTTACTTTTTATCAAATTGAGCGCACTATTGGTCGCCTCTTTTTATTTCCCCTGGAGCTTCGGATGACCAGACGGTGCTGATAGACGCATTTCCTTTACACCGTTCTACGCTCTTTACACCAGAGCTGGCCACAGCTCTTTTAAATGTGAGTTTTCTACTACTATTTTACCCTTTAGATTTTAAACGCACTACTGGTTGTTCCTGTATCTCTGTCTTTCACATATGCGAATACCCCATAACACTAGGATGCACCCCTACTGAAATAACTATTCAGTTATATCCCATCAAGCATTGTTGCTCTAGTGAGACTCTTTTGGACTATTTTACGTTATTTTATCTTTGTATGGTCCTTCGTTTGGGTTGCTGCCTATCTACATATCATTAATTAGCGCTGATTTCCTTTTGTTTTCAGTAAACAAACAAAAAGAGCCTAGTATACAAGGAGCTAATCTATTGCTGATGGTGGATGCTGGAGATGCCAGGAGGCACTGGGCACGTTCTGCCATATCTGGTGGGACTGCCTCCAGAGAACGTTTTTAAGAATACCATGCATCCTTCTTCTGATACTACCCCTCCATTCCATCCAGCCCCCTTCCATACCACAATTGTGACCAAAAAAATAAACAAATAAAATATTGATGACTATAAGAATACTGAAAAATGCAATGCTCTTAATCCATTTATGCTGTCTGAAGCCAAATCCACCTTAAAGGCCCACTATAGTGCCAGGAAAACATACTCGTTTTCCTGGCACTATAGTGCCCTGAGGGTGCCGCCTGGCTCTGGGGAGAGGAAAGGGGTAAAAACTTACCTTTCTCCAGCGCCGGGCGGGGAGCCCTCCTCCTCCGAACCTCCTCCTCTCCTCCCATTCGGCTGAATGCGCACGCGCAGCAAGAGCTGCGTGCGCATTCAGCCGGTCGCATAGGAAAGCATTTACAAAGCTTTCCTATGGACACTTGCGTGCTCTCACTGTGATTTTCACAGTGAGAATCACGCAAGCGCCTCTAGCGGCTGTCAATCAGACAGCCACTAGAGGATTTGGAGGAAGGATTAACCCATTTATAAACATAGCAGTTTCTCTGACACTGCTATGTTTATTAAAAAAAATGGGTTAATCCTAACTGGACTTGGCACCCAGACCACTTCATTAAGCTGAAGTGGTCTGGGTGCCTAGAGTGGTCCTTTAAGGCAGCTCTGATTCACCAGCATGGAGGACCTTAGGAAAATATAGCTCCAAAGGGCCGAAATAAGACGTACACAATGATTTGGGCCAAGTGACTGACTGTCATGGTATCTGATTACTTCTAGGTGCTCCTAGAAGGCCCACAGCCCACCTATTCATACCAAATTTATAAACACTCAAGTTTATCTTTAACTGGTGCTTGATATCCCCCTCTCTCCAACCCCTCCTTTCATTTCTTTATTTCTCTTCTTCTAAGTTCACTATTACCAATAATATATCGTTCTTTATGAACATTTGTTTTTAAAAATTTTCAACAAATGACCTCTGTAATTACACTGTTTAATACTCTTTAGTGTTCCTTATTGCTAAAAAGTGTATGCTGTTCATTGTGGCATTCTGAAGAATTTCCCCCCATTGATGCCCAGTGTTTATTAAAAGAATAACATGTGGTGATCCCACCCGTGGGCATTAGGCAAGGATTTAAAATTAAATAAATAGGGTGAACATGCAAGACTGTAGAAAGGGCTCTTGCCTGTCAGAGAGCTCTGATTTGCTGGCTTGTAAGCCAACCAATCAGCACTCTATTAAGTTTGTAAAACATGGGAAAGTCTATTAACCATTTAGTAGAAATGGCTCCAGCCTTGGCATTGTGGATGTGAGAATAAGGGAGGAATTAATCCTCAGATCTACTAATATGGGAGTCATATTAGCCCCCATAAGCTTTTTTTTAATGTGGCGGCACTGGCTAGCTAACACATGTTTACCTCTCGAGCCTCCAAGGTTTTTTTCCCCCACCTCTAACAATGTGCCACTAGCCACGAGCAAGTGAAAATTTACTCTTGCAAGCAGAAATTTAGCACTGGTGGGCCCTCCAGACTTGAAAAGGTAAGTAACTTAAAACCTGGTTAGGGGGTGGAACTTGAAATATTAAGCCTTGCAATATTGTGCACATATGTATGCGAGGGTGTTTATGTATAAAAGCATATGCTATGTCTGCATACATAAATATGTGTGCAATTAGCTAGCTATGCAGCTTTGGCTGTGAATGGGTGGCTGTTTAAAGTTGTGTGTGCAGCCAGATGGATATGTGTGGATAAGTGATGGTTGTGGAGTGGATAATAAAAAGGTTTGCAAGCTCACACATGCAGCCAATGAAAATTGGTCTCTGCATCTTTAACTCTAGGGAAATTAGTCAATGCCTGGTGTACTTTACAGTGGTGTATATAGGATGGCAGAAGATAAATTCACTTTGAATTAGCATTGTTACATTTGAAGGTAAATATTGTACTTACAGCCTTTCAAGAAAACTCAAGCCTTCAAATGAACCATTCGGCAGTCCAGTGATCTTATTCCCGTTGAGAATTCTGTGGGGAGGAAAAAAAAGTGAAAAGTGAAAGACAAAAAAACCCAAAAAAGTAGCAAAAAAATAAGTCATGTAAATTCTCATTGAATCTGCATAAACAGAAACTTTCTTCCCTTTTTATAGAAATTGGACTCAATTGTTCCAAAAGGATAAAAGGAGATGCAGAGGTTATGCTTGGCATGTCCCGAAATAAATCAATTCATACAGCTTTAAAAGGAACATAAGAACGAAACGGTTTATTTTACGATACAGGATATGATGAAATGAACTCCCTTCTTCATATTATAATAATTGCAGCGACTATATACCCAATTTGTGTCATGGGAAAAATAGGCAAGCACAAATCTCAAGTGACATGTATGGGCCTATACAAATTGCAAACCCTTCCCTCCACAAATAAAACCACTTTAAAAACTAAAACGAGCCCATCTGTGGGTGACAACAACTTGCCAAATAGTTTCAGTCAGGTTGTGTCAAATTAGACTATTCACAACTGCTTAACTGCATATCCCCATAAACCAGTACACAGCACTCCCATGTAAAGAATAGGAGGACTAGGACAGAAAGCCCAGAGACTTCCTAGTCAAAGAGTCTGAAACCAGTAAAAATATTCTATAGACGGGTCTAACGTGGTTGTCCACAACATAATTGACCAACTTTTAGTAAATAAACCCTCATTAAAACACTATAAAAGACACTGTCAAAGAGTCACACCGATGTTCTGCTCTTTATAGAAAAAAAATAATATATTATGTAAATAAAAAAAATAAAAAAATTGCTTTATTAATGACGACCGGCAAGGCAACAAAGATAATCAACTTAAACCACATGGTAAACCTGTTATTATATTTGTAATTCCATATATTGCAAAGATTATGCTAAGGTTTTCTACTAATACACCTAATAATTAAATATGCAGGCAGGAAGGTGAATGGCTGTTGGGTTTCTGGCATGTGCGTAGCTTAGACATTTTTACAACATGGAAATTATTACAAAAGCAGTAAGTCTGGAGGAAAAATATGAAACAAAATATGGAAATCTAATTTATATTTTTGGCAGAAATTACTCCCCAAAAAAATAAAAAAAAGAGTCACTATGAGGTGCTATTCAGAGGTCCTGCTCTGATTACTTATTTTTTTATTGGTCCATAAAAGTATGAGTGAACAGACTCGAAGCATATGAAAAACACTACCCACATATAAAAACAATGTCACCTGAAAATGGTGACGCATGTCTAACAACAGACCACAAGGTGCCATTTAGCCGTGTGTCAGATACCATCAGATTTTATATTTTCTTTACGTCTATTTCAATAAAATAAAAAAATAAACTCTTACAAGTAAACAGTAAGAAGAGTCCATTTCATACAATTTTGAAGTACTGTATGGTATGAAGGAGAAGGAAAAGTTCAGAATATGAAAAAAAAGGGCAGAAAGCTTTGAAAAACTACAATCAGAAAACAAACATTTAGCTATTCAAATAAATTCCAAATCCAAACTTAAAAAAAAAAAAAAGAAAAAGAAGCTTGCAACCATTTAGACTAATAGCCAAGATGTGCATATTGCAGAGTTAGAGAACTTTCCAAATAAGCTATTTTAGTCTAAATGTTGTGATTCAGATTTTAATTTGGAGTTTAGTGAATAATCCTGACAGACTATGAAACAGTCGCAATCTCGGTGACTGGATAATCAACGTGGTCAAACGTTACAGGAATACATGAGCAAGTCTGATTCATACCAAAGATAACTGGAGTAATATGCAAGCTCACGTGTCCAAATATTGAATTAACCCTTTAGTGATGGCAAATGTACAGGGTACGATGCCAGTATTAAATTCTTTAATCATGGCTGACATATGAATCCCTGTCAACCATTCAAAATCATACAGATCCAAAATTAATTTTCTCCCCCTATTAACCCCTATTTTAATTTAGTGGGGTTTTGACCATAGGGAAAAAAATGAGGACTACTTTTACTTAGGTATAGTCTTTCATTTAACAAAACTTGACAAAGTTTTCTTACACAAGATGTTCCCAAGGAGCTTATCCGTGCTCTAGTAAATTCCTGCATAGATTATTGTAACCCTCTCCTGATTGGTCTTCCCAAAAGCCGTATTGCACCGCTACCGTCTGTAATGAATGCTGCTGCCAGACTGATTTTCCTCTCTAGTCGGTTCTCTCACACCTCAACCCTCTGTCAGTCCTTACATTGGCTTCCTGTATCCTATAGGAGTCCATTCAAAGTGCTAACCCATACATTTAAAGCACTGAACAATTCTAGCCCCTTTTATATTTTCTCACAGAACCATAGGTATACCCCTTCTCGGTCTCTCCGCTCTGCCTGTGACCTTCTCCTGTCAGTTGTCCGCACCCATATGGCCAACTCACGCCTGCAGGACTTCTCGCGGATGCCTACCGCCATCCAACTCTCCCCTAGTCTTCAATCAGTTAAGAAGTGCCTTAAAACCCATCTCTTTAGGAAAGCTTATGGCCTCCCAGAGTAACCTCTACCTCACATACCTGTCTCTTGCTCTCTCCTAAAGGGCAGCACTCTACTCTCTCCTCCAGCTCTGCTTCACTCCCACCTTATTTGATTGCTATTTCCTGTCCTAACGTCTCTTATACCCCACCTCCTATAGACTGTAAGCTCATTTAAGCAGGGCCCTCTTCAACCTATCGTTCCTGTAAGTTTTCTTGTAATTGTCCTATTTATAGTTACATCCCCCCTCTAATAATATTGTAAAGCACTATGGAATCTGTTGGTGCTATATAAATGGCAATAATAATAATAATAATAATAATAATAATAAAGGGCGAAGCTTAAATCAAGACCAGCTTCCTTTGGTAGGTCTTTCATGTGTTCTCTCTTGCAAGTGTGCACCGAACATACACAATTTCACAAGCATGTCCAAAGAAGTGCAAAAGTGACAGAGCCACTTTGAGTCATCCTGATGGTAATGAGGCTGCCTAGTAACTCCCCCTTGGGTCTACCTCATGGATCGGATCACTGTCACACAATGCAACAAGTATGCAGGTATTCCTAGGACACCAGTGAGCTGTTGTAGTGACCCTGTGGCCAAATTAAACTAGTCAAGGGAATCTTTAATATAGTTGTAATGTAATGCAAATTCACTGCATGTTGCCCATCAGTTTACGCAATGGGAAGATTGTGTTGCAATTCATTGAAAGGTAATTGCATATTTTCCCTAAATTCAACATTCTGTACTGGGAAGAGCAAAAAAGAATTTGTTACCAACAAAAGGTGACAGTCTCTTAATTGAACATTTAGAGGCTTGTTTGTGTGTTTGCTATGTTTTTAACATACGATCAATTTGCCATTATAAAGGTGATGAATCGTCTACCGAACTTAAAGGTTTTAATCATATTTGCATGTACACCAATTCATTTATATATTAAACTTGGACAAAAAAAACAAAAAAAACCCGAAACATAGAACCATTGTAAGCATGTATTTGAGCAAGGATCTCTTCACCACTTATATCTGTCAACTTTAGTTTTGCCTGTCAATTACATGTTGCTACATAGTTACATAGGTTGAAAAGAGACGTGTCCATCAAGTTCAGCCTTCCTCACATTTGTTTTTTTTCTGTTGATCCAAAAGAAGGCAAAAAACCCAGTTTGAAGCGCTTCCAATTTTGCAACAAACTAGGAAAAAAATTCATTCTTGACCCCAGAATGGCAGTCAGATTAATCCTTGGATCAAGAAGCTATTACCCTTTGTAACCCCAATGTGTAAATATAAAGCACTGGGGAAATGTTTGTGATATACAAATGTAAATAATAATAAAAATAATAGAAGCAACAACAATAATATATGAAAGTGCTACATACTTTATTCAAAATATACATTAAATGGAATAAAATTCTATTGTAAATATTTATTTCCCCATCAGACCTCAAGCAAAATGTAGCAAAATAAAACATAAATAGTCAGAAATGTAACTGAAATGTGTCGAGGCTTGCCATAGAACCATCTTAACCAGCTAGTACATGCATTGTCTAGACTGCTAGCATGTCAGATCCACCAGATGAAATGAAAAAGGCACTAGTTCAGCTGTGGCAATCTTTAACACAATGACTAAGGCGATGTTCAAAGAATAGACACTGAGCAAAAAGCTTTGATGTGGCTTGAAAAGAATAAGAAAAAAAAAAAACATAAGAACAAAAAGAAAAACAATATTCAGTGATATAGTTTGTAGGTTTAGAGTAAAATTTGTCATTCACAAGTAGGCGTTATTTTAAGGAAAAGATTATGGGGGATCTACACTAAATGCAACCGATCAATAGTTGAATACTACTTGATTGTTACAATTCAGCCGTTTTAACCCATTCGTTGTTACAATGTAAATATAGTTATTTGCAGTTCGTTTGCCTACATTTTGGTTGTCTGTTGAAATCTCCATAAAACCTGATTTGGCTATTTACAGAAAGGCAAATTGCAACTGAATTTCCTTTCTTCAGTTTTTCAAATAAACCTATAACACAAAGCCCCCTTAACATTATCCCCAACTCTCCTAACACTACAAAAATGTCCAAACTTAGAGGGTTACTAAAATGATGATGACCACTTCTGCTTTTAGAGATGGTCTTGGAGGAGGGAAGTGTTTCTGCTTGGAACACTGCACATCCAGAGATATTTGCCGTTTTGTGACAGGGGCTACTTGCACCTCTAGCATACATGACTTTGGCAGTGCAGAAGTCTGTAAATGTGACTATTCCTACATAGGGACGTAAAGGTTCTGGTAGCCAGGATGTGACCAGACATACAAGTAAGGAACTGAGACAAAGTCAAGATAACAAATATAGAGAAAGATTTAAAAAGATTGGATATAAAAGATAACAATAACCAAAAGATTGTGATGAAAGATTACAGCTTAAAAATATTTAAAAACCGCTGTTTGTTTTGTTAGAAAACATGGTAAATGCATAAATGGATGGAATGATTCGCATTGGACATCAAATCTCTTGGTAACACTCCTTGGTCAATGAGCGACATGGGGAGGAAGCAAAATCTGCTGTACCCAGGAGTAAGACGTATGCTAATAGACCAGTGAATTACAGCAATATTGTTTTAATTGTAAAACACTGTGGAATTTGATGGCGCTTTATAAATAATAACATAATATAGATTTTGTTTCCCATCAAAAACAGATCAGTTAGAATACCTACTAACCCTACTATACCCAGACGAGCCACAAACAATGACTGAATAATTCCGACACGTAAACAGCACTAGCGGGACTGAACGGAGCCCGGACAGTTCCCCACCCCAACGCCCACGATCAGACTAACGCCTGGGTACACAGTAATAATTGGTGCACTCAAAAACCATAGCTGTGACGCTAGAGATTACCAGGGACCTGCGAGTCCGGCAATATTGTGGGCCTGCGAGCCCGAAAACGTTCCCACATGTCATGCTAACTGCACCAATGATTGGTGCTCGTATTGTTGCAGATTGTGATATGCCTCCTGGGACCTGCGAGTCCTATTTTTCTTGACTTTGATAACACAAAACAAATTAAAAAAAACAAACAAAAAAAAACCAGATCAGTTAGAATAAATAAAAAATAAAGGACAACTGCAAAAAAGTGCATACTAATAGTTTTTTAGGAAATAACCTCACTTGTACTTTATATCAAACTGGCTGTAAACAAAAGTTACAAATTGAAAGCATTTTCACAGCTTCCTATATAAATTGTTTCCATACTTCTTATGTTTTACATATTTCTATTGATACTTTAAAAAAAAAAAAAAAACACACAACAGGACTAATTACCAAAGGCCTTTAAAAGACATTAGGATGGTGGTACTGTACAAGTGTAGCCAATAAGATGTGTTTATAGTGTGGTATCAAATACATACACCACAGGGTTAGTGAGGAATGCGTTAATACACACAAGTTACTTTTGGAATATGCATGTAAGCAAATTATTGCACTGGTATATTATTACTTGGACCTAAATAATGAAGATTTCACCAATTTCCCATATGACTAATAACCTATTCTCTATTGCTCACCATAAGTTTAATTTACCTAGAATTTGCGAAAAAGAAACAACTTTTAAATTATGCTGGCACTGACAAAATATCTTTATAGCCATAGGTCAACAATGATATGCGAGATTGCAAATAGTTTCAAAGGTTAAAGAGAATGTTTGTGGGTGCTACAAGTGATAACACGCTATAAAATAATTTTCAGAAGGCTATTTTCAGTTGTGAAGAAATTCATACTGGACCCTGCAAGTGATTTGTGAGTACTTACTTTTCTATTGTATCTTGCTGAAATTTGAAAGGATTAAAAAAAAAAAAACAGGGTAAATAGAGAATTGTTTTGACCAACCTTATAGGGACACTATAGTCACCAGAACAACTACAGCTTATTGAATTTGTCCTGGTGAGTAGAATCATTACCTTCAGGCTTTTTGCTGTAAACACTGTCTTTTCAGAGACAATGCAGTGTTTACATTACAGCCTAGTGATAACTTCACTGGCCACTCCTTAAATGGCTGTTAGAGATGCTTCCTGGGTCATGGCTGCCTAAAATGCATCCAAACATTCAGTATCTCCTCCCTCTGCATGCAGACACTAAACTTTGCTCATAGAGATTCATTGATTCAATTCATCTCTATGAGGAGATGCTGATTGGCCAGGGCTGTGTTTGAATTGTGCTGGCTCTGCCCCTGATCTGCCTCTCTGTCAGGCTCAGCCAATCCTATGAGATTGGACCAGGCTACCCTTTCTGATGATGTCAGCAGACAGCTTATTTTTCTGAGGCAAACAGCATGCAGATTTACAGCTTCCGGCTTGAATACAGTAAGATTTTGCTATATTTATGGAGGCATGAGGTGCCCAGGGGGGCTAGATGGTGGTTTTAACACTATAGGGTCAGGAATACATGTTTTTGTTCCTGACCCTATAGTGATCCTTTAACCTTCCTTCACATAATGTATGTAAAGCAATTACTAAGAATAATTAAATTGCTTTTCATATCAACAACGAATTAATACATCCAATCAAAGAATCCTTGTGCTTATTTGCTTAGGAAACTATGCTTTCCTTAAAATACTCAAATTGTTCGTCAGTTAAAAGGGACACACAACACCATTACCACTACGGCTGATCAAAATTATTATGGTAAAAGGTACAATGCTGCTGTTTTTGTAGTTTATCTTAAACCAGCTGAAACCCATCAGGTGTCTTAAAGGGGCATTATAGTGTCAGGAACACAAACATGTATTCCTGACACTATAGTTCTAATATCACTATTTGGCCCTCACCCCACTGTCAGTAAAGTAAAAGGGTTAAAAATCTCACATTTTTCCAGTGCTGTGCAGGGCTCCTAGGAAAGCATTGGATTGGTAAAGTTTCTCAAATCTGATTATCTCAGCCAATAAGATGGGGTGGGGGCAGAGTCAAACACCACCATGGCCAATCAACATCTCCTCATAGAGATGCAATGAATCAATGCATCTCTATGGGGAAAGTTCAGCATCTCCCTGCAGAACTTGGAGAAGATGAACGTCAGCAGTGACCCAGGAAGCACCTCTAGTAGCTGTCTTAGGAGTGTCCACTAGAGGTGTTCCAAAGCTGTAATGTAAACACTGCCTTTTCTCGGGAAAGACAGTGTTTTCATTAACCCCTTAAGGACACAAATTCTGGAATAAAAGGGAATCATGACGGAATATTTCCGTCATGTTTCCTTAAGGGGGTTAAAAAGACTCCATGGACTGACTATACTCATCAGAACAACTACAATAAGCTGTAGTTGTTCTGATCACTATAGTGTCCCTTTAACTCTGCTCCTGTGGCTCAGCTAACATAAAAGTGACAAAAAAGTAGCAATTCAAATTTGGACAGCGCTAGAGATATGCTAGACCAGTATTCTGACGTCCAAAGATTTAGAGCCAATGTTCACTTCTGTATTAACTGGGCAAGAAAGCATTTTTTGAAGACCATCACTCAAGTGTTACAGTGGTACAGGATGCCAACAAGGGAAGTTAAAAATCACACCTACCTGCACAGCACTGCAGTTACATATAGTGACACCACCACTTTAAGAACCACTGATATGGTTAGTTACTAAAGTGAGAATTCAAAGTGAATTTCAAATATAAGGCCAAAGTAGCCGAAATGAAAACATAAGCTGACATGGAGAATTATTTCCAGTTCAGCTACGTTGACCTTAAATTTGATATTCACCTTGAATTTCACTTTAAATTCTCACTTAATTGAGAATGTTTGTTACTTACAAAAGAATAGAGTCTATCCAAAACCTCTAGAAAAGACAGTGACATTTCTGGTTTTACACAAACCTGTAAATACTGGTATATTGGTTTACTCAAAAATTGTAGTGAAATTTGAACCGGAAAATGTATAAATAAAAAAGGTCTTAATTGATTATGTTGTAGATAATTTTCCATATGAGCTATCTTCTCATAAAATTGATTTTCAACTCACAATTCACTATTTAGTGAATAAGACCCAATTGTGTTTGCTAAGATGAAGAGCGGGTCAGAGGTAGGTTTAAGAAACACCTCCTCTACTGCATTTCCACGATGACAGAAAAGGATATTTAGGTTTTGCCAAATGGGGAGAGAGTTTCAATTAAATGCCACCACAGGATGCAATTAGTGTAACTAAAAACAAACGAGTTGCTTTAAACATGGCACATGGTATGTTGAAAAATGGCACAGTGCGCAGGATATAGCACACTACCAATAATAAAAGCAGAGAACAGCCAAATGTGGAAGTGCCCTAACAGGCACAAAACGCGTCAGAACTTTTATTAGTACTGTCCAATAAGTGTCAATTTGCTGTGCCACGTTTAATTCAATAAAGCAGCTATTTTTATTGGACTTAGTACATCCTGTGGTGACAAAGAATTTGCACACTTTCCCCCTTGGGATACAGACTGGATCCTTTTCGCTCATCTGCTTTCAGATTGAGAAAATGACTAATTCATTTACTGTTATTCTGTGAGCACCAAACAGTCTTGTGCTTGTCCAGTAAATTTCTACATTTTCATAATGTTCTGTATAGACATTACGTACTCATGAGCCCCTGCGCTCACAGGTAATCACAGGCCTAGACAAAAATTTTTTACTATGCATCGTCAAATATGTCCAGTTTATGTATAATAAAAAGAAAATGTATAAACACCATACTTCATAGCTCCAACCTATTGGGGGTGGTCTCATCACCAAAATGAAGGTGAGATGCCTTAACCATAAATGTGATCAACTCAACTTATCTCGTTGTCCTATAGAATATTGTAATGACATTCAGATATATGCAATACTTACACAAAAACATCTTCTAAACTAGAAAAATATGGAGAGGATTTTTTTTTTCTCTTCAATACGTTAAATACTAATAATATATGATTTTCACATCAGCAAACGACATTCATTAGTGTTTTCTCACTGGTAAAAATTTACATGAGATGTCAAAGATAAGCATGGCCACTAATTCCATATAGAAATCTATAGGAGGTCAGAGTTTGGCAGAGCAATCTCCACTATTTCCTGTTTTGCTTTTTTCTCTAAACATATACAGTAATCTGAAGAGGCTAATCGGCTCTCTAAGAAACCAAGTAAAACAGGTATGTATTTTTTACACATACACATAAATACAAAACACGCTGCAAGCCATTCTATTGATCCTGGTTTATTTGGTTTTAAGAATTCTAACTTTTCTTACAAATAACATTTTCAGACACAACATTACTCAACAGGTTATAAGCTAAAAAGTTGCAATTTATGGGAAATCAAATTGAATTTCAAATTCTAGATCAATATTGCTAAAAAAAAATAAAAAAAAATATATAGCTGACAGATTATTTTTTCCATATTGGTTAATTTGGCATAAATTCTAAGTGTATTTTTTTAATTATTAATAATTCACACTTTAGTAAATATGGGGCACACAGGTCTCTTTTTCCACAATGTGCACCGTCAATTTAAAAAGTAAAAAATATTACTACCATAAAATATTACTATAAATACACACTACTAGTAATAGCTAGTGTACACTATGTAGATAACGTGTCCTTTACACATAATGCCTCTACTGTTACGAGGACCAGGCCCTGGGCATTTATGGCAATTCTGGGACAACGTTCCATTCGTGGAACGTTCAGATAGAACGCTGCTTTGTGTTCTATAGTGATCGTTCCACGTTTACAAGGTTTCCCAGCATTGCCCCGTACACTAAACGTGCGATAAGGATACATAGGGAATTCGCCGTCGGTGTACTCACAGGGTGCTGGTCCGGTTGGGCAGGGGTCCCAGCGGGAAGCTCCTGCCGGTGTCCAGGCTGTTGCAGACCACCCTCCCGGGCTCGGGGCTGGCCGCCTTGCCTGATCCCTTGGGCCGGCCGTCCTGCTTGCAGCCTGGGGGTAGAGCCGAGACTCCGCCGGAGCCACGTCCATCGCCGTCGGTCAGCACGGCGGAGAGCAGGGCGCAGCCTAACAGCAGCAGCCCCGGCCCCCAGTAAGAGCAGGCCCCCATCCCGCGCTGCGCTCACTGCCTGCTCCGGCCTCGCTGTACGGGGACTCCTCCTTCAGCCTCTCCGACCGCCGCTCTCCGCCTGCCCGCGCTCTCCACTCATTGCTCCAGGGCTGGGGATCTGCCGGTAGGTCCGGCTGTACGGGACAGTAACTGCGAGCGGTGTCCGCCTGAGCGGCGGGGAGTGGGGGAGGGAGGGTCTGTGCTCAGCACGGGATATGCACGGTGAGTGGGGGAGGGGGTCCGGTAATGGGGAGGGGGACACCTTAGCGAGTAGGGGTCCGTTCAACGTGGGGTCACTCCGGTGAATGGGGGAGGGTCTGTCTAGTGAGACAGGGGGGTCACACAGATGAAGGGGGAGGGTCTGTTTTGCTATGGAGTGCGTGTGGAGCTCACAGTATGGGAGGTCTGTTTAGCTGCTGGTCACATTGTCTCACAGTTACCCCGACGTTATAGTCTGTCTGTTCGGTGAGCACAAACCTTCCTCCTTCCCGGTAAACATGTCAGGTGCAGGAAGGGATTGCAAACCCCGCGCAGGGCAAGGGGCACCAAAACTACACACATTGATTGGACAAAGGACTACCAGACCCCCATCTAACTCTCTCTCACATACGATGGGGGCCTCTAGGAATCTTCAAGCATAGAGCAAGGGGCTCACAAACCAATAGCACATAGCAGTAGACTCCCAGGCACAGGTTCAGGGAGAACCCAGAGCTGGGGTGCGGGCTCAGGTAAAATACCTGACCTGAAGGTGAGGACTCTGGGAGAACCCCATCCTGGGGGTGTCTGGGACACACCCGACCTGGGGGTATGGGCTCAGGGAGAGCCCTGACCTGGAGGTGCATGCAGTGCTCTCTCATGCATGCACCCCCAGGATGGGGTTCTCCGGAATCCTCACCGTCAGGTATTTTACCGGAGCCTGCACCCCCAGGTCTGGGTTCTCCCTGAGCCTGCACCCCCAGGTCTGGGTTCTCCCTGAGCCTGCACCCCCAGGTCTGGGTTCTCCCTGAGCCTGCACCCCCAGGTCTGGGTTCTCCCTGAGCCTGCACCCCCAGGTCTGGGTTCTCCCTGAGCCTGCACCCCCAGGTCTGGGTTCTCCCTGAGCCTGCACCCCCAGGTCTGGGCTCTCCCTGAGCCTGCACCCCCAGGTCTGGGGCTCTCCCTGAGCCTGCACCCCCAGGTCGGGGCTCTCCCTGAGCTTGCACCCCCAGGTCGGGGCTCTCCCTGAGCTTGCACCCCCAGGTCGGGGCTATCCCTGAGCTTGCACCCCCAGGTCGGGGCTATCCCTGAGCTTGCACCCCCAGGTCGGGGCTATCCCTGAGCTTGCACCCCCAGGTCGGGGCTCTCCCTGAGCTTGCACCCCCAGGTCGGGTGTGTCTCAGACCCGGCACATCCAGGTCAGCGTTCTCCCAGGTCCCGCACCCCCAGGTTTGGCTTGTCCCTGTGAACCCAAACACAGAACACGGAGGTGCCCAGTATACAGTGGATGAGGGAGGAGAGGAAGTGTAATTCATATACACAAGACAGGGAACTCCCAAACCCTCACATAGACAAGTACAACCAGGGGATATTTATCAATGTGTCCTGAAAAGTGTTAGTTATGTTCTCTGATTACTTTTCTTCCATTTATAGGAAGTAATCAGAATTTGCCAGTTTTCTTTATTATTATTATTAGTATTATTGGTATTTATATATCGCCACCTTATAGCGCAACGCTTTACAATATTTTGAAAGATGGAAATTTAACAATAAATGAGAAAATTACAAAATATTACAGGAACAATAGGTAGATGAAGACCCTGCTTAGATAAGCTTACAGTTTAGAGGAGTGGAGTATAAAGACACAATAGGAACAGCATCGAGGGGGACAGCAAACAACAAGGTGGAAAAGTAGCAGAACTGGAGATGAGAGTGGAATATCCCTCTTTAAGAAAGAGCCAGAGACAGATTTGTGAAATAGAAGTTACTGTGGAAGGCCATAAGCATTTCTGAAAAGATGGGTTTTGAGGGACTTAAACAATTGAAGACTAGGAGAAAGTCTGATGGGGGTAGACAAGCTGTTCCAAAGGGAGGTAGCCGTCCTTGAAAAGTCCTGCAATGGTGAATTAGCAGAAAGGGTGAGGGCAGCACACAGGAGAAAGTCAGAGCAGAGAAACCAAGAATGGGCGTACCTACGAATCAGTGAAGAAATGTAACAGGAGCTAAAGTTGTTTAAAGCTTTATAGGTAAGGGTTATTATTTTGAATTGACCCCTATAGAATACAGGAAGACATTTTAAGGATGGACAGGGCGTGAGACGTGAGTGGTGCGACAGAAGTGAAAGATGAGCCAGGCTTTCCATTTTTCGCAGAAATCACAAATTCAGAAAACTGCCAAGTTTATACAGTTATTAACAAAAGTAAGAATTCAAAGTGAATTTACATTAAAAATTTTTATTTTTTTAATTAAGTTACAGCCATACAGAAAGGAAAAAAACATAGCAGGAAAGTGTAATAAAAATGTCAGCTAGCGGTTTGGGGTGTACCGTAGGACAAAAAGTAAGGGGCTAATGGGCACCCCTGCCTTATCCCATTACTTATATCAAAACAATTTCACAATAAACACGAGCCAACTATTTTAGCAGGTGTATAGTCAAATAAGATCCAAGTAGTATCCAAAAAAGGGCCTTAAATACCATATTTCCTCTCTTTTAAGAAAGTTCTGCTGACCATCAAATGCTTTTATCTGCATCTAAACACAGGGACAGCACAAACTCACCTCAGTTTTTCACCTTGAACATGACGTTTTATGTTTTTTCTTATATTGTCTGAAGACAATACAAAAAATAAAAAATGTGGAGCAGCAACTAAAAGATTACAAAGATACATTTCAATCTCTCCAATTTAAACGTTATCTTTGTAATCTTTTAGTTGCTGCTCCACATTTATTTTTATTTTATTTTATTTTTTTTTGTTAAACCTTTCTGCCATATCAAGCCTTATTTTATCTTTATATTTTATATATTTTATCTTTATAATATTTTTCAAAAAATCCTGTGAAATTGTTTCCAGGGATAACACACTTCCTGGAGATTTGGTTCTTGCATAAGAAAATCATGTTCTTCTTTGTCTTCTTTTAATCTTTTGATCACTAAATAATAAATCTCTCTTTTTATCTTGGATCTTGCATTCAGATCAGGCAAATAATACAAAGTAATAAGTGATTTATTAATTTTTTTTGTCTTTTTCCCCTTTATTTGTATTTTTTGGTTGCTGCCCCTCTTAAGAGGCCATTTTCTTTTCTTATAAGGAAAAAAATCCTTCGCTTCCTTCCTTACTATTCTTTTCTTTTCCTTGTCTTACCCATCTATATTCTATTCTTCACCTATTTAATAAGTGGATCTATAACGAGGCTCTTGCATCAAATTATCCAGTTAATTGTCAAAGGAGTTGGAAATTAGCCAGCTTTATGTAACTTCATTTGTAAAGCTAGAACAGTATTCCTACTTAAAAATTCATATGTGTGATTTCTGCAGTCACGTTTTAGGGAACAACGGCCTTCTCTGGGTCATACAAACAGAAGGAGATTGCTTTGCAGATCAAAATAGCTTCATATGCAGCCCATTTTCCCAAAGATAACACAGCTTGTTTGGCTTAATATTATCGCAGCTGTAATCTCAAAGAAATAAATCACGAAAATCAATTTCACATTTTGTTAAAAAAATAAAGGGCTTTTATCCAAAGACAGTAGACTTATTGACAATAAAGTAGCCTACATAATGTACGGAAATACGGTATACAGTAAAGTTTCCAACTAGTACATTGGGATGTAATCTTAAAGCTTAACATTTGCAAGGGTTTAACGTATTACATAATGTTAGACAATTTACATGTAGGCTGAATTCAGTTGGGCTCCTACAGAGGTAGGCAAAGAAGAGTAAGGAGAAGGCAACGTGGCATGCCCAACTGTTGGTTGGCTCCATTTTGAACTGGCTTTTTTTAGTTGTTCAGTAGGTATTGCTAGTAGGTATTTGATGCTCATCCAGTCTCCACTCCTTCAAAAAAATCGTTAAAAACCCACTTCTTCATAAAAGCGTATCAATTAAACTGCTAATAGCTCCTGACTGATTCCTCTTCTGCAACTGTCACTAGTCTAATACTATCCTTACCTTTGTATGTCATTTTACCCCACTCCCTCTAGCATGTAAGCTCATTGAGCAGGGCCCTCAACCCCTCTGTTCCTGTGTGTCCAACTTGTCTGGTTACAAATACATGTCTGTTCGTCCACCCATTGTAAAGCGCTGCAGAATTTGATAGCGCTATATAAATATCATAATAATAGAGAGGAAAAAAGTGGGAGGTGGGAGGGACTGAAAGGAGAGGGTAGAGAGAAGGGGGGTCTCGGGGGCTTTGGTGCAGAGTGGTGGCCTGGGTGACCCTGTGGGATCCACATACAAGTTATCTATGTGTTGTCGCACCTTCCCATTATTTACTCCCACGGTTGCCAGACCTTGAAAAAGGAGGCATAAGTGTTACGCACCTGTGCTAGACAAATAGTCATTCTTATATACAGTATATTTATTAAGGACTAGTGGCGCCAGTGATGGAGCCAAAAACCCAGTGCTGCTAAAATAATCACCAAGTGGTATGTCACTAAAAACACTATACACATATGTTGAATCTGGAGAAAGCAAGCTGATAGCGCACACAATGGAAAAGTGCTTCACAATATTTTGGCTGGATAGGACCTATAGATATAAGACAAACAAACAACATAGTGTAAAACTGTATAAAAAACTAAGTGGTATGTAGATAACTTGGAACACTCACAAATTTTTGAGCCCTTAAGGTCGACTCTGAACTCTGCAGGTATTGTAATAATCTCAGACTGATGTAAAAGTGCCGTGCTGCTGTTCCCAGGTGGTATTGCTCTTACGTTTTAAGAGATTAGGAACCAATGGTAAGTATATAAAATACACTTTATTTAAACATCAATATATATAAAACAGATGAGGGGTTACTATATCCTGTACGTTTTCCCATAAATATGACATTTATATGATGATGATTAAAGTGAAAGTAAAAATGAACGAGAAAATTATTCAAGTGTGCATTTTAAAATAAGTTACAGTTCCTTAAAGGAACTCTAATTGTGGAGAATACAAACATGTATTCCTAACACTATAGTGTTAAGCTCCCTCGCCCCCTCAGATCACGTTTTAAATTTACCTTTTCTACCATGTCGCGCCGATCCCATGGCTGGCCCGACTTCCACAGCTTAGATCATCAGTCTTGTCTCATCCAATCCAATGTTTTCCCATAGGTCTGCATTTGTAAGTTATTGCGCATGTGCAGCAAAACACTGAACTACGCCAATCAGCATCTCTTCATAAACATGCATTGAATGGACGGGATATGCTAGTGTATTAGGGAGGATAGTTAGGTAGGATCAGTGTTAAATAAGATCGAGACCTATATCTTACGGAAAGCTAGTCTGGGAAGATGCGTCTGGCTGCTGCATCCATTGTAGATTGTAACAGGGCTAACTGGAAGCATGTCAGATCACTGAGACGCAAAGTGAAGTAGTCAGGGCGAAACATATTGAATCCATTACTGCTTTTCACCATCTCCACAGTGAAATATAATGTGGGTAGCATCATGTTGTGACATGAATATTTTTGGTAGGCAGAAGATAGCCGGTCATGATTGAGGGCAAACTAAAAATAGAAACTGTTGGATTTTGTGACAAATTCTAAAAGGTGGATACATACATCCACACTTAGATGCACAAATTTACAAATATGTATACAGGAACAAATAAGTACACACATATCGGCATGCAGCTTCTACTATAGCACTGATGCTCTGATTTCTGCCTGCCAAAGCAATTAAATACTTCACTTCTCCTGTATGTGGAGCAGGCTTAACAACAGAGGCCCTGGCTTTCTTTATTTTTTATAATTTAGCTGCAGGTATTTGAGGACCACAGTTAGCCTGTGCTGCCAGTCAGACATATATTCTCCTGTCTTCTGTCTTTTGCTTTGGTGCTCCCCTTTGATCTAACACTGCTTTAGTATCAGAGGAATGGCAATCCCTTGGTCCTCTATTATAGGTTGGGAGGCTATTCTAATCTTGTACTGATGTTGCCCTCTGGTCATCTTTATTTTATTAACAGCCAGATAACAAGAAGTTTTTGGGTCCTTCATAGAGCCATGAGACTTGGAAACTCCCTAGCCCACTGTTATTCGCTGCAGCCACCCCAAAGGTCACACGTGGAGGAAAGGAGAGCAATGGCTAGCCGTTTTTGTGGGGGATGAGACATTTTTTGTTGTTTTTATTTCTTTGAACATTTTGTTAATCTCAAGAGGCTAGTCCAAATAGCTGTAGATTTTCCTGTAACATGATATGCAATTGTTATTTCTCTAACTTTATGGTATGAACTTTGCAATTCCCTTATAAATTCTCAGCAATTACCAGATTAGTAAATAATCCTGACGTGTTATAGAAAGTAAGCATTATACAAACATGCATGGGCCACACAGGGCATGTAAATGAAAGGAAAGCTCGGAAAGAGTGATTTACAGCCTGAGCAAGTAAGCAAGAACTTAATGACTTAATATTTTTGGATAAGCTTTTTAAAGGATTTAATATTTTTGGAGATATTTCTTTCGAAAAAATTAAAATATCAAAAATATATCAAAATATTAAACAGTTTAAAAAAATATTTTAAATCAAAATCATTTTAAAGGTTTATTCAAAATATTGAATCATTTGAAAAACTTTTAAAAAAAAAAAATAAATCCAGGTTCAAAGTAGATCACAAATTGCAGATTGGGAATAATCAATTCTCTATGTTAATTTTAATGTTTTCAAATGCTGTAATATCGCCATCTAGTGTATACTTTTTAGAATTAATTTCTGTTTTGTTACAGGACACTGATGTATGTATAACATCGGTGGAAGTTTATTAAGAATTATCTTGTTTAGTTTGTTAAGTTTTAGATTTTTGTTTTTGTTTTCAGACTGAAAAATCAGCAGTAATTTTGTAGATCAGATCCCTTGAACCACCAGAGTCATCCACTCCACAATCTATCAACATGGCTGTATCAGATGGAAACAAATGTTATCAGTTTCCAAAGGACTTTGCATGGGGTGCATCTACTGCAGCTTACCAGGTTGAAGGTACATGTTTCTCACTTTATTTTTATTTTTTTTATCCAAAGTGAAATTACAAATCTCATTCCAGAGAACAAAAATTTTATCCACAACCAAATTGTGGAGCTAGTATAACCGGGGCAATAGAGAATATCAAATCCAAGGTACAAGGCGAAGGCAAAGAAATCCGTCCATAGAAAAATGAGGTGCTTTAAAAAAGGAGTAGAGGAGTCTTACATTGGGGCCCAAAACAGCAGCACCTGTGGAGAGTGCAGATTGCTATCACAGGAGCAGGAGTAATTATGTACAACACAAAAGCCAGATGCAACACCTGTGTATATGACTTCTATTAGTGTCTGTTTAAATATCCTGACATATGCCTCAAATCATTAAAGATATAGGCATGAATAAAGTTAAAAGACAAAGGTCCCAATTTCATGAAGAGGATAAAAGGCATGACTTTTTAAAGGACAGAAAAGGCTATCTTTCAACATTTAAACATATGTACCTAACACAACATTAAGTGTTACAATGTTAAACACTGGAAAAAACAGTTGTCACATTTTTGCTTGTAATACTTTTTACACATCCAGTGCAACTAAAAACAAACAAACATTGTCAAATGTCTAATATGTCTAGGCACTAACTGATTTGTGGTAGGTTACACTAACCCTATACCAACCCTCCCTAACATTAACTCTAGAATTACACTAAGTCTAACCATATACACAGCCTAACCCGGGGGTAGGCAACCTTTTAGCATCACTGTGCCGATATAGGATTGTGATGTCCCGTAGCGTGCCGGTCCTATTTTTTTAAATTGAGGTGTGTATGCTGCCGTACTCTGCTTGTGTTATTTTTACTGTAATTGCTTTGTATCGTTGTATTTGTGCGTATATGAGCTGTTATATTGTATATGTGCATTAGTAGTTTATAGTATCGTGTATGATACATATGAATGTGGGCTGTGTATGAGGGCTGCTTGTGGAATTCTGTGTGGATGGATATGTCACATTGTGTGTTTGGTAGTGTGTGGGGGCTGTTTGGGGTATTGCATGTGAGAGGCTGCATGTGGGATTGTGTGCATGTATGTGGATTGTTAGTGGGGATTGTGTGTATGTTTGTGTGTGGGCTGTTTGTATTATTTGTATGATGGGAGGGTTATTCTGCAGGTCTGTGTATATCTAGCAGTGTGTGTGGCTTCCCTGGGTTCCAGTGGGGACCAGGCTGACCAGGTACACGTCAAGGACAGGAGCTGCAACAGCAGCTGCAGGCTGCTCTACTACAGTGTGGATTCCCATTCACAAGTGCTGGGAGGAAGTGATCTGAGGTCACTTCCTCTACGTTCTGCAATGCATAAATTGAGGATTTTCCTTCACCACCTTTTCGAATTAGCAGATATCTGAAGTTTCACTGAGACGCCTAATAGGCCAGAGCCTGTTTGGCTCTAGCAGCCTTGAGTGCCGTGGAAAGACACCTCGAGTGCCGTGCATGGTACTAGTGCCATAGGTTGCCTACCCCTGGCCTAACCTTACCATTAACCCTACACTATCCCTAACCCTAAACCAGCATTAACCCTTACCTGACACTAATACTAATCCTACATTACTCTACTCTACCTCTAACTCTAACCCTACCACTAACCCAAAGCAAACCCTTTCTAATATCAGTACTGATGTCATTGGATAAGTTTCCTAAGTAAAACATTAGAGAGTGGGTTATTGCTGTGAAGTACTGGCTTTTTTCAGTATTAAAGGAAGTTTTAACTGTAATAGTAAGTGAAGAATGCTTTTCCAGCCGATTACACTCTGATCGGTGCTGGGCATCTGGCAAAACCTAGAACCAGTCACAATTGGCTTGGACATTTAAGAAAACCCTGTAAGGGTCTATTCAAACCCTGGCCTTCATTCCCTTCAGCAAGCAGCCTCCAACCGTAGAATCACCACAGATTTTGAGGCTGCATACAGCTCATCAGTCAGTCTGGGGCCACTGCAAATACCCCAATACGTACCTGATTCCTGATTCTCCCTGGTGTGAGCAGGGATATAACCCTGTTGACACAGTAATGCAGCTACCTATTTAAAGAGCTATATGCAGAGTTGACTTTCAGTGCTGCTTACCTCATCCATCTGTCTGAGACCACTAAAAATGACTGGGGGCAACCACAGTTACCTACTGTTACCTGGATCTCCTGTTGTGTGCAAGGATTTAACCATACTCACATCACTTTGCAGCAATAGGCATTGACATCGATATTCAAATTGCTGTATGCACCACTCAGTTTGAGCGCTGCATACAGCTGATCTGTCAGTCTGGAGCCACAAAAAAATGGCTCCAGCTGACTGATGGGAACTCAGGTATTGATTGACCCTAGTCGTACCAAAGCGCTAGGATGTGTGAATAGGCCTTAACGCCAGTATAGTTAGGATGTACTGACTCGTACTAACGTTGTTAAAGTCTTGTGTTTTATTTTGTTTGAAACTGTTTTGTATTGTCTTGTTATAATTTTGTACGTCAGCTTTTCATTTTTAAATCGCATTAAACAATTTTAGTTATTTTTTCTTATATTATAAATATATATCACTATTAATTGACTATTGGTAAACCATTATCTTTTGACTTTTCACATTAATAAACCTCTCACCGTGTTTTTTCACTGTAATAATATACCATTCTACCCAATTTGGGTTAGTATTAACTCCTTCCTACCCACAATTAATCAATATAAAATGATATATGTGTGAATAATTATGTACCAGGATTACATTGTGTGAATCTTTAATGCTGTTTCTAAAATAGCAGCTGACACGTAACCATTATCTTGCTCATATTTTATCAGGAGGATGGGATGCAGATGGGAAAGGCCTCAATATCTGGGATACATTCACCCATCAGGGAGGAGATCGAGTTTTCAAGAACCAGACTGGTGATGTTGCTTGTGGCAGCTACACTCTGTGGGAAGAAGATTTGATATGCATCAAACAGCTTGGACTGACTCATTACCGCTTTTCTATTTCCTGGTCACGTCTGTTACCTGATGGGACGACAGGTTTCATCAACCAGAAAGGTAATTGTTTTTTACGTATACAAGGTTAAAGCTTTAATCAAGGTTATTGCTATTGCCTGAAATAATTAATTCTTGGTGTCCTGTAGCACTAATCTATATGTAAGTTTTGCAAGATAACATACATGCTCTGTGTTATGCTTTCTATTTATTAGGTTTGTGATTTAATTAGTAGAGAGTGTGATTTATTGACAGTTTATTAGCTTGTTAAAAATATACATTTAAAGATGAAATCCTAGAAATATCCAGGTGTTCTGGCACCTGGCTTGAGGTTGTCTATTGGCACTCCTGGATTTGTTTTTTTGTATCACTCCACCCCATTGTCAGTTATTCACTAAAGGGAGAATACAAGGTGCATTCAAAGCAAATTTCAAATTTAAGGCCAAAATAGCCAAACTGGAAACATTCTCTAAGTCAGCTATGCTCTCAGTTTGGCTACTCTGGCCTTAAATTTGAAATTTACTTAGGATTCACCTTGAATTCTCACTTTAACAAATAACCCTATATGTCTTTGTGTATCCACCTCACCCCCTTGTGTTTCTCTCCTAACCCCTTTTATCTTACTGTGTCTCTCTAGTAACTCCCCTTAGCTCCTTATACATCTCTCCTAATCCCTCTTAACCTTTTGTGTGTCTCTTTAAACTCCTTACCCCTTGTGTCTTTCTTACCCCCCTCTCATTCTCTCTCTCAAATGGTTTCTGCAGCCTTTTTTGATACTACATAAAATAATGCCTTATTAGTGTTACTCTATATGTTTCAAAGTGCGTTTGAAAGTAAATTTTTAATTAAATTAATCCAGCACCTGACAAAGCTCCCTGGTGCACGCCTGTCTAACTTCATGGGAGCTGCGCCGAGGTTCAATCAAAAGCTTCTCCTAGAGAACCTTTTGATTGGACCATTTTACCGGCTCAGGGAGCATGCGCGCAGTCTGAGCTGGCAAGGGGAGGGGTATGGAGCTAGGGAGGGTAATTAGAGAAATAACGGAGGGATTAGGAGGAGGGACGGTTTTATTTAGGGTGAGTTGGAGGAGAGCGAAGTGCTTCTCCCTTGCAGGCTAAGTCTACAAGACCCAAGCAGGTACGTCTATTTCCAGCATGTAGTGCGCACTGACAACAGGCGTAATTAATGCATAGAATTAACATTAGGCAGCCTGGAGTTCTGGCTAAGTAGGGGTTTCAACTAGGCCCCAGCACACACTTAAAAATAACTCTGGATGTGCAGTATTTTAAGCTGAAATACTGTACATCCATACTCCTACCACCATGACCACTTCATGGCAGCCCAGGACTCTGTATTAGTGAAAAGCTATTAAAAAGAGAAGCATGGGTAAGAGGGAAGGAGAGGATGGCTGAATAAACTCTCCTGGCTCAGAGCTGTGCCTAAAAAGGTGAAGGGCATGAAAACTTGAAGCCATCTGAATAAGTTAGGTGCCATTTTTTTTTTAAACTAACAAAACTTTATTTTCAAAAGATAAAAATACACTTATATACTTATATATACATAAACTTAAATGGTTAATATAGTCACCAGAACTACTGCAACAAGGTGTACTTGTTCTGGTGTCCTTAACTGTCCCTTCAGGCTTTTCAATGTAGAAACTACATTTTCAGAGAAAAGGCAGTTTTTACATTGCTGCCTAGTGTGAGAAAACCCACCGGGAGTTTGGGGTTTTCTCTGAGCAGTCATCTGTTTGGTTTATTCGTTTATTTGATGCCACATTGGTTCGGTAGATTGAAACTACCGACCACCCTCCTGGCTCATTGACTTCAAAGGAGCCCGTCAATTAAGCGTTCTCTCAGGGTGGCCGCCATTCGTATATACGAATGCCACGTGGAGAAAACGGCGGCCATCTTGTTTGTTCGGGACAAAGGCAGCGGGATTTGATCGTCGAGTGTCTGGAACTAAAATCGGACACTCGACTTCCCGAACACCGGTCTCAAACATACGAACAATGGAACTGTATTTCCCGAACAGCTAGGAGAGCGCTTTTCGGTATTTTGATGTATTCATATGAGGGGAACAATCGCTCTTATGAGCCAGGAGGCTCCGTTCGTGGATTATGGAGTTATTTGACATTTTCAGAATTGACCGACCGCACACGCTGAATTTGTGGAACTATTTTGGGCAAGAGCTTTGTGTGGTTGGTAACTTAAGACTTCCACACTTTTTAAAAACCCCTGAACCGATCTGGGTGAAATTTGAATATGTTGTTCCCCCAGATCGGGGTTATTAGGGGATGTGACATTTGTGGGGATACCTTAAGCATAAAGGGGTGTTCTGAGTTTTGTGGAAAATGTGTGCACTTCGCCTGGAGATAATTGGGTTATTCCTTAACTTATCTCATTATCTCACAGGCGGAGACAGGGAGTGTTTAAGTGTACCTTATGATTGGCTATTTGGTTTGTGTATTGTGGGAGGTCCTCCTGCAAGGGGAACTCCATAAAAGCCTGTGTGGTCTCAATAAACATCAGTCTTGTTTCGGCTGGTGTTTGGGTACCTGATTACTACTTAGGGAAAGCTGTACTAGAGGAGTTTGTTTCTTTGGACTTTAACTACCGACCAGAAGAACCGAATGGTGAGCTATAATCACTCTGGCTCTCGGCCGTTTGGCTCAAATCATACGAACCCATAGCTACCACTTCAGGATTCGTTACACCTAGTAACACCTCTAGTGGTAGGCACTAATATGGCCACTAAAGGTGCTTCCTATCTCAGTGCCCACCTTTCCCTCTCACCTAAAGAGACACACACTCACTGACAGACATATACAAACACTTACTGACAGACAGAGACATTCACTAACCGACACAAACACTGACAGACACAGATACACTAACTGACAGACAGACATACACACACACATTCACTGACAGACATATACAAACACTGACAGACAGAGACATTCACTGACAGACACAGATACACTAACTGACAGACAGACACACACACACACACTCGCTGACAGACATACACACTCACTGACACACACACATTCTCTCACACAATCACAAATTATTTATTTTAATTAAATTTAAGTACCCCCCAGTCACCCTACCTCTTGGAGAGCTGGAAAAGAACCTTTCCCTGGGGTCTAGTGTGGCTGCTAAAATCTTTAAACTCTTCTTGCTCTACTACCTTGCGCGTTGTTTAGTGATCCCACACCAGAGGGGCGCCCTATTCTACCTCCCAGCATCACAGCAGGGCTCAGGAGGGAGCAGAGCTAGAAGAACATGAAAATTTCAGCTCCCTCACTGCCTGTTTACATTCCTCCTGCCCGCCTCCATGCTCTTTCAGTGAGTCACCAGCCCACCTCCATGCTTCCTCAGACGGTTGGCTGTCTGTTTTCTCCCTCAGCCAGCCTGGAAGACCACTGACCACCTCGAAAGGAACAGGATAACAAATCCCAGGCTCCAAGACACAGCTTCTAGTCGTCATGGCGGCCTTGGATTTGTCAAGCCCTGCAATAAGGCAATTTGACCATATTTATAACAAGTTTCTAAACATTTATTGCAAAGTTTTCAACATTTTTCTTGCTTTATTTTGGTTTTTATATTTGTTTTAAAGTCTTTACTTGCTGGTTTAAAAAAAACTATTGTCAAGCAATGCATGTCCCTTTAATCCCTCCTTACTTCTTTTGTATCTCTCTCTAAACTCCCCAAAGATAAGGCAGGTATGTTGTTCTTCCCCTTCTGAAAGTAAGGAGCATGGAATTGGGAGGCCAGAGAGGCAGGATAAGACAGACCTCTCCCACTTCACACCTTCTCCTTGCATTCTGCAGCACAGTGCTGGACAGATACTAGACAGAGGAACGTGCAAAGCTGTGATGAGGGATTCACAATTGGGAAATGGAGGAAGTTAAAGGGAGAGTAGGGTGATGGAGATAGACACAGGCGGGTGGAATGAAGGAGAGCGAAACATGGTATGGAATATGGGTTAAAAAGAGAGACACAAGTGGGATAGAGAGAGAAGAGGGACACAGAATGGGAGTTCTATTTTCAATGTCATCTCTTGATATCACTGTGATAAAAGAAATTGGCACAAATAAGTGTGTCATTTTTCATTTTAGTAACTGCAGTGCAACTCTGCTCAACTTTTCAACTCAAATGAAACTCAATTTTTGTTCTAGGAATTGACTATTACAACATGGTAATTGACAGTTTATTGAAAAATAACGTGGTTCCAGTGGTGACACTGTATCATTTTGATATGCCTCAAGCTGTAGAAGATAGAGGGGGGTGGAACTCTGAAGAAACAGTTGCCGTCTTCGAGCAATATGCCCACTTTTGCTTTAAAACATTTGGAGACCGGGTCAAACTTTGGATTACAATTAACGAACCATATATTCTTGCTAAATATGGCTATGAAGATGGTGTTTTTGCTCCTGGTAAAAGCAAAAAAGGTTTTGAAGTTTATCAAGTAGCACACAATATGATAAAGGCACATGCTAAGGCCTGGCATGCATATAACAATTTTTTCAAAATCGAACAAAAGGGACTTGTGTCCATTGCTCTTTATTCTGATTGGGCAGAACCTTTTGACCCAAACTCTACTGAAGATAAAGAAGCCGCTGAACGTTATTTAGCCTTTCATCTTAATTGGTTTGCAAAACCAATATTTGTTGATGGAGATTATCCTGAAGTAATGAAAGCTGAGATTTCCAATAGAAGCAAAGAGCAAGGTCTGCAATCTTCTAGGCTACCAGAATTCACAAATGAAGAGAAGATCATGATCAAGGGCACAGCTGACTTCTTTTGCCTTAACTACTACACAACGCGAAAAATAAAATGTCCTTCTTCTGAGAATGTGCCAAGCTATGACTCAGACAGGGCAGCAGAAGGTCTAAAGGATCCTGACTGGCCAATTTCTGGTATCGAGTGGTTAGCTGTGGTTCCATGGGGTCTTCGCAAGTTACTGGGATATATTAAGGTATTGTGCTTTATTGTGTGCTTGATGTACTTAGTTGACAATTACATGTTATTATTTTTTTTTAGTTTATATTTTTGCAGTGCATAAGATAGGTACAAACAAGCCTGAGGTACCCTAATGGCAATCCTCTGGCATCATATCAAGCTTTACAATTGGAGTAGTAGATTGGACATGCACAATTTTATATTGTATTAATAAACGTTCGTAAAGATTAAAGATTTGGTAGCAAGAATTAGTGAAACACGGTCTCAAGTGTGAAGGCTATGCTAGGCTTTCTGATGCTGATTAGAATGTATAACATGCTAGCTGGGTATTTATAACAGTATAACAGGCTGATAGCAGGTTTAACCCCTGGAATGCCTCCATTTTTCGTAGAGCATGTTTAGATATAGGCAGGCAACTAAAAGTCATTAAAACAGAAAGTAAACTAAAACACAAATTTAATGGTATTGTCCGCCTGGGTGCAGACGGGCAAAAATATAGCCGCCTGTCCTGGGGAGACACGGGTGTCGTGCTCGGGAATGTAGGGCAATGTCAGCCAGTGCCTCGGCTCGGTATAGCTAGAAAGTCCCCGGGTGCTACTGCGGTTGCCTGGGTGCATTCCGGTGGCAGTTCTGGGCATGGGTTACATTTGTCATCCCGCCTGCCCCAGGCCTCGCTGAGGACCTGCATCAATGTGCCCCGGACCTGGGGTGTTTTAGTCGAGTCCAAGTCCTTCCTCTCTGAGAGGTGACAGAAGCTCTGGGTGGTCTATTGTCTCTTGCGGGGTCTGTGCTTCTGCCTCTGTGAGGGATGCTTTAGGTGGGAATTCCTTTTGGTTCTCTGCCCAGGTGGGCTGGGTATGTGTGCCTTGGGTGTTTGGTGAGAGGTTGTGCTCAACGGGGCCTTGTGCACCCCATTTCCTGCTCACCTCCGTTTGCTCCTCTGTCCCCTAGCTGCTGCTGTCGCACGTACCTCCAACCGTTGTCAGAAACTGGCAAAGATGTCATCTAGGTGCCGTAGCATGCGATCTATCATGGTACACCTCTCCTGGCCTTTGGGGGTACCAAGTTTACCCCTCAAATACATTATTGAAGTGTACTTGAAGATACATAAAATGACAAAAAAAAAACAAGGCAAAAAAATTATAGTGCAGATGGGATAGAAAAGTTCTAATCTAGTGTTAAACGAAAAGCTAGAACCACTCAGATGTTCTGGAGCCTATATAGCCGTAAGATGGACCTTTTTTTTGCTCTTAGGGCAGCAACACACCACTCTCATGATGTCTTCTCCTCCAAAGGGGATATAGGGAGAAAAACAACCAATGTGTAGTATTGTAAAGTGGTGAACTTGGTAATGGTAAGTATTAAGCTCATCTTTGTTAGAGCCTTCAAATCCTTGATCTAAGGGTAATACACAGAGTACCAATTTTCTGGGGATGGCACCATCCCAATGAAGATTCTCTAAGGCTTCAGAGGACTTTGTTGGAATATTATTACACATTTATTACAGATTAAAACATATATAGTAAGTGCTATAGAAAATAAAGTCCAATAAAAAGTCAAAATCTGCTGAAACACGTTTTGCTCTTTTTGTGAGCTTCCTCAGTCAGCTGTGATGTAGCCTCTGGAGTCTTCTTCTCTGGAAGTGTTGAGCTGCTCATCACCAAGACACTTTATTGTATCACATACTACCTCCAAGCAGAGGTAGTTTTTTTTTTTTTTGTTTAAGCTTCTTCCCTCAGTTTTTAGAACTTTAAAGTAAAGCAATAATACCCATATAATTTGTCCACTTTTCAGCCATTCAGTCTTTTTAGTCCTATCCTCAGCTGTAGGTGGAATATTTGTTCTTGTTTTTGTTTTTTTATATTCTTTATTTTTGCTGTGCATTTAATTACATACATGTTTGCATTGCCATAACAACTGGTATATGTAATTGCGAGAGTACAGGATTGGCATTATCATGGCAGTAAATAACAGCACACATTTTTTAGTTAGTAGGAGCAGGTTATGTATAGAAAAGTAAGAGAAGCATTATAGGTCTGTCAGTGGTGAGTGGAAGCTTTCTATTCGAGATGAATGTTGCTTAGACATTATGATATAACACATGTTTAGTCATCGCTTCTGAAACATTAAATGACAGTGTTAGCCTACGCTGTGAGCTCGCAGCTTGTAGGGTTAAAGTCGCTGGTTAGTTGAGTCCACGATGATTAAACAGGTTAAGTTAGGGTGGAGACTAAGAGTCTCAACCTGTTAGGTAAACTGGTATTTTGCAACATTACACTTTTGGCTACAACTATTTACAAACATTAATACGATGGAACAAGTTGGTAACTATCAGCTTTTGTAGTTCAGGTATACCTTCCCCTTCGGCAGCCCCAGTCTCTCCAATGGCATGAGCGTGGAGTTGTATGGAGATCAGCAGGGTAGGGCAGTTTGGAGGAGCAGGGGGTTAGTTCTGTGCAGTGCGTATATGGTTCCGTTATCATGGGAGTAGCGTAAGTCCCGGATTAGAGGGAGCGGTAGTATGTTACTACCGGAGGGTGCGTGTCCCATGCCCCCTGCCCCATGTCCCAGAGAGTCCCCCTTAGCCTATGCCTTCCAGAGATTTCCCCAAGCTTTGTGTCCCGGATAGGGACTCACCCATTCCGTCCGTCAGGTCTGTGTGCTTCAGGTGCGTTCTTGTCTGCTTGCTGAGGAGTGGGCGAGCTGCCGTTTTCCCGGACACACTTGCTGGTGCTGTGCTGGTCCCTCTTGGGTAGTGCAGGCTTGTCCCGGCGTTCGTGGTGACATGCCTAGGTGCAGCTAGCTGTGTCTTGTGCTGGGTGGCAGTTGCTTTCGGGCGCCGCCACATGCGTGTCCCTGCCAGCAGGTGAGAGGGTCTTCCTCCATGCCATATGTTTTTGGTGCGCTTGGCCTGGCTGGGTGGGCTGTCTGGACGGGAGCGGCTTGCTGGTGCCATAGGTGGGTCCGAGACCCGAGCCTTGGGGTTGCTCAGTCGGTCTTCAAGTTTTTTCCAGAATGCGTCGAATGTGGCCTCTAGTCGCGCCAGGATGTCGATCTCTTGTGTAAGACCCGGGTATGGTCTCCGCCATCTTGGGTCTAGCTTGATTCTGTTGGGGCTGCTGCCACAGCTTCTGGGGTGGCCCTCCTGGGACCGGGATGACCCCCACCGGTCCATAGGGGGGGGATTAGGGCCCACAATCACACTTGTAGCTGTTGGAGGTGTCAGGGGAGCGGCCGTCTCCCCCGCGCCGACCATGCTTGCAAGCCTTGAGGGGTACTTCGGTAGTTCCTGCTTGTTGTGCCTCATATTTAGTATCCGTAGGTAGCCCTCGGTTTCGCCTGTCGGTTATATGCTCTTGTGAGGGAATTGCGGTGCTTTGTCGGTTTATAACCCGGGAGATTTGTCCCGAAGAGCAGGAGCAGCTCTTTTCTGCGGTCAGGCCCCGCCCCCCTATTTGTTCTTGTTTTACTGTATTTTTGTTACCTTATGGCATAACTTGAGAGTTTAACATTAGCATTAGAGGAGAGTTCTAACTCTATCCCCTGAAGAATCTGGGATTTATACCCTGCAGGATAAGTTCTAACCAGGTCAGGTTTTCTTAAAAACATAAAAAAACAGCAGGATAAAATCATCATGCTTAAAGGCTGAAGGTATAGTTACTAGGAGTTGAATAAGGGTTTAATTCACTATGTACCTACATTGTACCTGTAGATGGAGTGAGATAAGGACATTGTTATTGGGAAGGTCTAATCATTGTATTCCTGCAGTTTTTATCATTTGTCTTGTTGGGATTCTGATTTGTGCATATTTCAGGTTCACAGGATATTATAACAGATGACATGCTCTCCGATTTGTTTTCTTGTTTTTCTCACTTTGCACAAGTGTGATTTGTTTGTAATCTCCCTTGGGTGTCTGTGCATGCATGACTTTCCAGAGACTTTAAAGAGACCATTTAGACAGAAAATGTAACCTCAAATTATTATTTTTTTTAATTTCAGTGGTGTGTTTTTCAGAATCTTGCATTTTATCTGCCCCTACTTTTAAATTGGATTACAATAATAAGTACTAGAAATGTCCTCTCTTCATCTTCTGTGTGGCCAGTCATGTATTCCACTCCTAGACACCACTAACATTTATTTCCTCCGAAGAAGAGAAAGAACAAACTTTCTCGCTATTTGGGCTGTATTTCAAAGCCCTCGAGAGCAAGAATTTATGTTTACAGTATAGAAGTTCTTTGGTGATAAGAAAACAGTTTGAAAATCATGTGTAGAGGATCTCCTCAGTCTCCAGTAAATCCATACCAATCAAGAGACTTTAGCCTTAGGAGGTTATTCTCAAAATACGATTCTGATCCAGAACTCCTTCCTGAATGGATGGATACTTGTTCTCGAAATACAGATTTGGCACAGTTGATAAACTTACCTGCAAGATTGCCACACAGTCCTACCAAATGGTGAAGATGAATGCAGAACTAGTGATTGAGGTCTTGAATGATCATGGTTGAATAGTCAAGAGGAGCAAGATTCAACAAGACTCTATTGGATGTGAATCAGAAGATCTCTGTATCCAGAGAAGCTGCCTATCAGTTATCGTGACAATTAGAAGAAAAGTGGCATCCATTTGGAAGAACCAGATTGGATAGTGATGATAACAGATGCTAGCACTTGATTCTGGAGAACCCCTGCCAAGGACTTTTTGCCACCGGAAAAATGGCTCATCAGAACCAAAGTCTCCCCTTCTAATTTGCTAGAACTATGAGTGATGTTAAAAGCTCCTCTCTACTTCAAGCATAAACAACTGGGTATTAATACAGACAACCGGTAACAGTATAGTCTTTAGGAGGGAAGAAAAAAAAGTCTGTTATTCCATGAAATAATGTGATCATGATATGGGCACATACATATCTGGAATGTCTCTTAGTCATATATCTACCAGAGAAAGAGGATATATTTTTGGACATCCTCAGTCATTTACATATGGATCCAAGAAAATTGATGCTCACTAAAAATATATTGTTCAGCTCACCAAACAGTGAAATTTACCCTTAATTCCTCACTTGTTCTCTAGAAAATGGGGTCATTAGGCAGAGGCATGAACCATTTTTGTAGGCTTTTTTTTGTCCCTGGTAACTAATATGTTGGGAATATTTTACTGAGATTTCAAGTGACAAAGGTTGCTGCTTGTGTATTTGTCTAATGCCAGTTGCTTTTCCTTGTGATCTATAGCAATTCCAAAGCTATTCAAATGTTTACAGCTCAATTGAGATTAGTGGCAGCTGGCAAGGTTGGAAGATGGTGGGGCACCTGATTCCACCTCCAGAATTTGACTTAACCCTGTAGAGACCACCTTTTGACATGTAGCATCTGTATGTTATCCTCATGTACTCAACCACTAAAGGTAGTTCCTTTACAATACAGTTACCCATTCAGTTTTCAGAGCCAGGTATACTTTAGAGGAAATCCATAAAATATCAAATATATACAATACAGAGTTCTCATATAAGTTTAAAGGCTAATCCAGGCCTGGATGCTTACTGTGCTTAGAAAGGTATCAGCTACACCTCAAAAAAGTTTCTGGGGTTGCTGTATCTCTGTAAGGAAATACAACACCTCTGTTTTCAATTCTGCATCAATTTGACCACAGTCCTGCTGCACTGTTTTCAGTTTGGTTGCATCCACATCATATATAGTTGGCTCCAGTTCCAATGTAGGTTTAACTGTACAAATATTCAAAGATAAGTCCTGCACTCAAACTCCCAGTACTCCTGAGTGGCAGCATTGACCAAAGCACGCATAGCCCCAAATAAAACCAAAGAAATTAGTTACTTGAACAGTAGCCCAAATCCCTATGCATATTTTATTAACTGGTGTTTTTTGGTATCACTCCAATGGCCATTAGGTGAAGCTCATCTGCCAAACCTCTTAGGGGAGTCCTACACTAACAATTCACCTTGCTTGCTTCAGGTAAAAAAAAAATATTAAATGAGACACAGAGGGGTATCCTTCTAAACCCCTACATACTTAGGGTTAATAAGTATGTAGGGATGTAGAAGGATACCCCTCTCTGTCTCATTAGAGATTTTTTTGCCTGAAGCTGAATGAAGCAAGGTGAATTGTTAGTGTAGGACTCCCCTAAGAAGTTTGGCTTGACTTGGCAGGTGAATATCACCTAATAGCCATTGGAGTGATACTAAAAACCTCCAGTTATTTAAATACATATAGGGATTTGGGCTAGTGTGCAAGTAACTCTTTTCTATAGTTTTTATTGTAGGTTTACCGTAAATGCAGCCACAAAGGAGAAGCCTTCAATCTCTTATGTTTGGCTGTGTGTTTCTGGATGCAGTATAGTATGTACCATGACTTGGGCCTGAGTCTATATTTACACTTGCTTTTTCCATGATCCAGTGCTACCTCAGTCACGTGTGCTGGGGGTGCAACTAACACCTTGCACACATTAAAAATATCTCTGGATGTGCAGTGTTTCAAGTTTGAAATACTGCACTTTCAGACTCCAACCACCACGATCACTTCCTTCAGAAAACAGGTGTGGTCACAGTGGTTGGGATAAACCTTTGACTTTCCCTTGCCCCCTTCTATTCTTAACCCATTGTGTGTTTGATCACCTTATTACCTCCTTGTATGTCTCCCTTAACCCCATCTGATCCCCTTGAGGGTCTCCCTTCCTTACTCACATTTAAAATGATGTATCTATTAAAGGGACATGCATCACTTTGAAACAACAGTTTTACTCAAAAGTTTAAGCTTTGAAAGAGACAGTTTTCCGCACTCTGCAATCTGAAAAAAGCAGGTAAATATGATTTTAAATATTTACCTGCTTCTTTCTTAAGGTTTCCACACCCACATTACTTATATAATCAATCAGTGTCCTATACCTAGGAATGCTGGAAAGGTGCATTAGACACGTGCAGTTGGAAAATCTCTTCAACTTGCAACATTCTGACAGGTGGAGAAGAGAGGGCGTCTGATCAGTGTGATTATGCAGAGCAGGCTCAGTGGTTGGGTTTCTCTCTCCTGCTGCTGCACAACGATGCCCCTTTTCTGTAATTTGTGAACTGGCCTGAAACTGAGATGGGGTAGGGGTAGAAGGGGAATGCTGAAGAAACTCCCCTAGCTCAGAAGTGTGCCCAATAAGGCATCCCAAGTTTATAATAAGTTTATACATACTTTATTACGCAAAATTATTTGCTTGCTGGTTTAAAACATTAATTGTCAAGCGATGCATGTCCCTTTAATTCCTCCCTTACTTATTTTGTGTCTCTCTCTAAACCTCCCATAGATAAGGCAGGCATGTTTTTCTGCCTCTTCTGACAAGAGAGCAGCATGAATTGGGAGGCCAGAGAGGCAGGATAAGTCAGAACTCACTCACTTCAAGCCTCCTCCTTGCATTCTGCATCACAGAGCTCTAATTGCTTACTGGGTAATGAAACACGTAAAGCCCCATTCTGTGCTGTGCACTCCAATTAGGGATAGTGCAGAAAGGAAGATGAGGGAGACACACATGGGAAGTGTGATGGTTAGGAAGATAGACACACATGGGTGGAATTAGGGAAACCTATACATGGTAGGTAATATGGATTAAAAGAGAGACATGAATAGGGTAGAGAGAGAGCAGGGAGACACAGAATGGAAAGTTCTATTTTTAATGTAATCTCCTGACATCACTGTGATAAAAGAATTTAAGTGTGTGTCATATATGATTTAAGTAACTGCAGTGCAAGTCAACTTTTCAACTCAAATGAAACTCACACAATTTCTGTTCTTTTAGGAATTGACTATTACAACATGGTAATTGACAGTTTATTGCAAAATAACGTGGTTCCAGTGGTGACACTGTATCATTTTGATATGCCTCAAACTGTAGAAGATAGAGGGGGTTGGAACTCTGAAGAAACAGTTGCCATCTTTGAACAATATGCCCACTTTTGCTTTAAAACATTTGGAGACCGAGTCAAACTATGGGTTACAATCAACGAACCATACATTGTTGCTAAACATGGCTATGAAGATGGTGTTTTTGCTCCCGGTAAAAGCAAAAAAGGTATTGGAGCTTATGAAGCAGCACACAATATGATAAAGGCACATGCTAAGGCCTGGCATGCATATAACAAATCTTTCAGAAGCCAACAAAAGGGACTTGTATCCATTGCAATTAATTCTGATTGGGTAGAACCTTTTGACCCAAACTCTACTGAAGATAAAGAAGCCGCTGAACGTTATTTAGCCTTTCATCTTAATTGGTTTGCAAAACCAATATTTGTTGATGGAGATTATCCTGAAGTAATGAAAGCTGAGATTTCCAATAGAAGCAAAGAGCAAGGTCTGCAATCTTCTAGGCTACCAGAATTCACAAATGAAGAGAAGACCATGATCAAGGGCACAGCTGACTTCTTTTGCCTTAACTACTACACAACGCGAAAAATAAAATGTCCTTCTTCTGAGAATGGGCCAAGCTATGACTCAGACAAGGCAGTAGAAGGTCTAAAGGATCCAGACTGGCCAATTTCTGGTGTTGAGTGGTTGGCTGTGGTTCCATGGGGGCTTCGCAAGCTGCTGGCATATATTAAGGTATTGTGCTTTATTTTGTGATTTATGTCCTTATTTTGGCAATTACATTTTAAAACCTGTGCACTTTAATAAAAAAAGCTTGATGTCTAAATATGGCAGTATCAGTTATGGGTAGTTTCTACTCTCCGTTGGTAAAACTGGAAAGTAAAGTAAGAATACCCATATAATTCAGTCTTTGTAGTCCTATCCTCAACTGTAGGTAGAACATTTGTTCTTGTTTTATTGTATTTTTATTATGGCATACCTTGAGAGTTTAACATTGGCATTACTAGAGAGCTCACACTCTATCCCCTGGTATATACCCTAAAGGATAAGTCCAAACCAGGTCTTTTTTTACTCTGACCAGTTGTTTCGTTGGGGTTCTGATGTGTGCATTATTCAGGTCCACGTGATTATTATGGCAGATTTCATGCTCTCTGATTCTTTTTCTTGTTTTCATTACTTCACACAACTGTGATTTGTCTGTCATCTCCTGTGGGTGTCTGTGCGTGCATGACCTTCCAGAGACTATAAAGAAAAAAAGGGACAGTTTCGACTGAAAATGTAACATCAAAATTGTCTTTTTAACTCAGTGCTGTGTTTTTGAGATTCCCGCATTTTAGGTGCCCCTACTTTTGAATTGATTCCAGTAACAAATACTAAAAAAGTCCTCTACACTTTCATTTTCTGTGTGGCCAGTTATGTATTTCATTCCTAGACACTGCTAACATTTATTTTCTTCCAAGAAGAGAAAGAAAAAACCTTCTAGCTATTTGGGCTGTATTTGAAAGCACCCAAGAGCAAAAATGTATGTCTATAATGTTTAAGCACTTTGGTGGAGGGAGAACAGCTTAAAAATCATCTGTGGAAGATCTCCTCAGTCCCCAGTAAATCCATACCAATCAGCCTTAGGGGGATTATTCTCAGAATTAAATTCAGATCCAGAACTCCAAATTTGGCACTTAAACTTATCGGCAAGATTGTCACACAGTCCCACTAAATGGGGATGATGAATGCTGACCTAGTGAATAAACATGATTGGAGAGTCAAGAAGAGCAAGATTCAACAAGACCAAATAAACAGGACTGTATTGGATTGGGACAGAAGAGCTCTGTATCCAGAGAAACTGTTCATCAGTTATCCTGACGATTAGAGGAATATAATATGATGAGTGACCTCACTTTGGAAGAACCAGATTGGATAGTGATGATGACAGATGCTAGCACTTGATGCTGGAAAAACCCCTAATAAGGACTTTTTGCCAATGGGAAAATGGCTCACCAGGACCAAATTCTCCCCTTCCAATCTACTGAAAATATAAGTAATCTTTAAAGCTCCTCTCTGTCAAGCATATCCTAAAAGACATCAGGGTACTAAAACACACATCTGGAACCAGGAAGTCTTCAAGAAGGAAGAAAAAACAGTCTGTTATTGCAAGAAATAATATATCTGGAATGTCTCTTATTCATATATCTGCCAGAGAAAGAGAGTATATTTTTGGACATCCTCAGTCATTTGCATATGGATCCATGAAAATTGATGCTCACTAAAACATGTTTTGTTCTGATCACCAAACAGTGAGATTTACCCTTAATTCCTCACTCAAATTTTATTGTAGGCAGTGTTTTGAGAATTTCATCAAATACTCAAATCCAGGTATAATACAGATCTCTCATATAAGTTAAAAGGATTCTAATATAAGTTAAAAGGTTATCCAGGCATGAATCCCATGCTTACTGTGCCTAGAAGGGTATCAGCTACACCTTACTGACTAGGCCCAAAGAAGTCTGAACGATTGCCTGAGGTTGCTGTATCGCTATAAAGAAATGCAACAACTCTATTGACATTTCTGCATCTATTTATTCACAGTCCTAGGGATCTGTTTTAAATTTGGTTGCATCCACATCAAATAGAGTTGACAGATTTAAAAAATGATGCAGCCGCATCAGTTCCCTCTGGCTCCAGTTCCAACTTAGGTTTAACCAGGTCAAAACAGCCACAAAGGAGAAGTCTTCAATCTCTAATGTTTGGCCTTGTCTTTCTGGATGCAGAATAGAATGTACCATGACACAAACTAAAATTAACCGAAATCCTGAATGACATAAGCTGCAACCTTGGCATTCTCGCCGAAGCCCAGCACATGTGTCAGTGACACTTAATTGACATAAGGTCTTGCTCCTATATCTACACTTTTTTTGTGTCTTTTCGTGGCTCCAGAGCCCGCAAGAGCGCTGTATTGCTCTGACTTCCTGTTACGGACCTGGCTACATTATTGATCATAAATTCTTCTATTCCTGAATAGTGTACCAGACCAGACCTGTTCCTGACTTCGAGTTATTCCAGTTACCTGCACCAGCTTGGTTATTCTGCCATCCTCTAGATTGTAAGCTCGTTTGAGCAGGGTCCTCAACTACCTATTGTTCCTGTTACATTTTGATATTGTCTCATTTGGTAAAATCCCCTCTTATTGTAAAGCACTGCGGAATAAGCTGGCACTATATAAATAATAACAAATAATAATTACTCACTGTAAGGTGCTGTAATTGGCCTACTTTGGCTTTTGTAGAGTTGCTGCCTCCTGCCATCCTGCTGAAGGTCCTTATCAAGGACAATCTCAGAAGAAACTTGACAGCATTTCTTGTCTGGAATGCCCTTGTATGTGGGATCAGTCTGATATGTAAATTATATAGGTTCTCTCTGTGATGGCACAAGTGAGCAAAATCATTTTTCAGACCTGTACCTGAAGTGGGGACTAACTGAACGGCAAACTAATGAAGCTATCGAGGTTTCTCTGAGCTTTTGACACTTTTTCAGCGTTCTTGTATTCTTTGTTTTTGTTGCAATACAATACAGAGATACCCATACAATACAAGGAACCCAGTACAAAAAGGAGATACTAATACAATACACAGAGCTGGATACAACTCAAAGTTACTTATACAATACACAGAGCTGGGTAGACTTCAGGGACACCCATACAACAGACAATGCTGAGAACAATACAGAGATACAACACAGAGCTGGGTACAATAAGATGAAATCCATAACTATCCAACACAGCCAGGATCACTGTGTGATGGATTACACAAAGCTGCAATACAGAAATACCCATGCAGAACAATGCTTTGTATTTCTAACACTATAGTATTCCTTTAACAGAAGCAGCGATCATTACAGAATCAGCACAGCTCTTAGCCCAAGTTCTGTAGTACCACAAGCAGCCTACATACACATGCAACACCACAAACAAACTCACAACAAACAAATAATACAAGCAACTGACATACACTTATTACAGGCAGCAAACACAAATCAGACAGCCCACACGCAAACATACCACAAACCGCCACACATACCTCACATATCATGCAACCCACATGCACACATACAAATGCTACGAACAGTCCACATACAAACATAATACCACAGAGAGCCTTACACATTGATTCCAAAAATAGAGAGCAAGCATACATAACACAATACCACAAACAAACCACACATATATAAGCTCAGAAACAACTCCCGCCACACATGCACACAACACCACAAACAGCCCACATTCACACACAAATCCTACAAGCCTACTGCTTCATACACAGAATACCACAAACAAATTTGGGAAAATTAGGGAAACAGAACATGAATAAAATTTGTGAAAGAGAATATATATATATATATATATATATATATACACACACTATGTATGTGTTTTCTTTCTCTGGTTACAAGTGTCTGTTAGTCCATCCATTGTTCAGTGCTACGGAATTTGCTGGCACTATATAAATAATAAAATAATAATACATATAGTGGCCTCTGGAAATGGAGTCAAAAGTGTTTTATATGGCTGATTGGCAGACGATATGTCAACTCTCCATTTTCTTTACATGTTATCATATTATTTTAAAGGCATTTAATTCTTCTACCTAAACTATTGTCTTCTAATCACACATTAAATTTTAGATACATTTCTTTTTTATAGGACACATGTGGCAATCCAGCTGTTTATATTACCGAAAATGGATTTGCGCAGAGTGATCCACCAACATTCCAGGACTTGCAAAGGTGGACATACTTTCAGGAAACATTGACTGAAGTTTTAAGAGGTAAATTATTACTATCATTATTATTCTTATTATTGGTTTATGTTTTGCTTACCATATCATTTCTTACATCATTCCATACGCCGCCTTGACCATAAGAGAGAAAAAAATCCTTTCTTATCTGTAGGCCTCTAAAATTGTGTATCTAATCTTTAAATATATGTATTTAAGTGTCATGTCATCTTTTTTTCGAGAAGCAAATGGTTGCCCATGCAACCATGGTTTCTCAACCAGATTGCATAAAGTTCTGAGAGTCAAGCTGAAGACAGCGAGATGGGCTTATACTAAATTACATATTAAAACAATAGAATAAATACTGCACCAGTAAACGAAATGACAATTTGGGATCAATCTAAAAAACACAAATAACATAACATAGTGCAAAATGTATATATATAATGATAGAGCACAGGATACAAAGTGCAGAATCCAAAATTTATTGAACAAATAAACAATTAAAACAGGGACAATAAGCAGTGTATAAATAGTAAAATATACTAGGCACAAAGCTCTTATTTACTCTGCAGTGTTTTATTTAGGCTTTGTGCCTAGTATATTTTACTATTTATACACTGCTTATTGTCCCTGTTTTAATTGTTTATTTGTTCAATAAATTTTGGATTCTGCACTTTGTATCCTGTGCTGCTCTCCTCAAGGATATCATTTTAGCCTTTTTAGGCACCCTCCTGCATATTATCCAGAGCCTGGGACGGCTCTAAATCCTGTGAGTTTTACTCTACATAAGGGGTCTATCATTATATATATACATTTTGCACTATGTTATGTTATTTGTGTTTTTTAGATTGATCCCGAATTGTCATTTCGTTTACTGGTGCAGTATTTATTCTATTGTTTTATTATTTATCTCTAAGTGTTGTGGGATACACTTTTCACTGCACCAGCAATTTTATATTTGTGATAATTGGTAGCGCCAATACAACTTGATTTCTTTGTACTAAATTACATATACCTAGGAACCACTAAAACCCAAAATGCAAGTACTTTAGGTGTTAACCTTGCATCCCTTCTGACTTATTTTATAAAAGTGCCAATTTTTCAAAACCCCTTTGTTAACTATTCCTGGCTGTCTAAACTCACTTTGAAGCCGTGCATATGTCCTTGTCTCAGGGCTTCTGTAGTAGAAACATTGAATTGTGATTATCTTTTGGGGGCAGAGGTGAGGGGAGAAGATGGCCTTAATGTTGGATTAGAGGTAAGTAACTTGTTTTCCTCAGGACACAATGAGGGGACCCTAAATATAAAATAAAAAAAGAAACACTCCAACATTAAACAAAAAAAAATAATGTATTTTTCATTATTAGTATTTTTATTTATTTTTTATACTATTGTATTGTTGAATGCGCGTAATCCTATGCTTGCTAGTTTCAATGGAATTTTGGGTGATACAAGGTTTTCTTCTTTAATATATGTTTTTATCTGTTTATGAGTTATATTGCCTCTAGGATTTTTGACTTTTTCTTTAAATATCCAGTTTCTGTTATTAATGCCTGCTCAATCAGGTATGAGAATTTGGTATATACAGGGGTCCTTATAACCAGCAAACACGCTAGTCTTGAAAGAATACTGAGTTTATACAATCTAAAAGCTTTAAATATGTATAAAACGTAACCAGAAACATGTAACAATATGCTTTTTTGGGGGCACTTTCCAATGATAAACCTTGACAAATACCACAGAGCCATTAAAAAGGAAAATGGTTACTAACCCACTGATATTCAAATAATAACATATCATGGATATAATGTTTCACATCTAAATATCTAGATATTTTAACACTATCAAAGTATTTAAATTAGTTTAGAAATATTGCCCTAGGGTCAGTATTTTACATCTACCCTCTCTCTAATCTTCAGACTTTAGTTTGTTGGGGGTTATTCGTAAAGAGCAATTCCAGGTCAATGTTGTAAAGATTAAGCAATTAACAGGAATATTATATTGTTTTGCATGGTCATCAGTCCACTTTTAGAACTTTACTCCAAAATTATGCTTTGTTAATAAACCCAAGTAAGTCCCAAATGAGCCAGGATTTCTCACCATTTAGGATGCCCAAATAAACAAAATTGTATTCTCATTAAGAAAAAGTTAAAATATTATGCTATCAAATATAATTTTTTGAATAATTAACAAAGTAAGAAACAAAGAAAGAAGTGCTTGTGATGTATAGTGGCACAATCTACTTTTAACAGCTTGCTTTAAAATAAGTATATTGAAGGATTCTACAAAATAGAATTATAAGCTAACAGTGAAATTAACTGGATAACATGGCATGTATGAGAATAAGACAAGATTCTAACATGTTTTAATTAGCTTGCTTTGGCATGCAGTTATGATGAGAAGACACAGCAACACGTTATCAAAGGGGCTCGACATGTCATTATGACACCTGGAAGAGGTTCCTTGATTAAAAGCCCATGAATGACATACGGCTACTTGCTATCAGAACCGGGTTTTTTATGGTTTTACAAATCTTGAAACAACACTATGCTGCTTTAAGTCACTTCTCAAGAAAATATCGGTAAAGTCTGTACAACTAGACATATTCCCTACAATTCTCGACCACTTGATTTCCATGACAATATTTTAGCTATGTACACATAGCTGGCATATCACGATAAAGTGTTTATTTCCCAGATAGCCATGTTCCATTCTTGTTCTATTTTTATCAGGGGCACATATTCTTTTAATTGAGGTACCATAATAAAATAAAACAAATTCTCCCTGTGAATGTTATTTTAAGAAAGGAGCATTTAGTAAGTCTTCTCACTGACAACAGGCATGCAACATAATCTCTCTCTCTCTCCTTCTCATGGTGAAAGTGAAAAGTTTAAGTGGGTTCAAAGTGAATTTTACATTTAAAGCCCAAAAAAGTTAAACTGAAAGCATAACTGACTTAGAGAATTTTTATGGTTTGGCTATTTTTCCTTAAATTTGAAATTCATTTTGAATTCACTTAGAATTCGCACTTCCTTAACGCCCCAAACTAGTAATGTTGTATCTTGAACATCAGTAGATATTAGACTTGTGCGCAGCATGATTGTTCATTTCAGTCAAACCATTTTGCCGAAATTGACCTTTTGTTGGAGACATAGGACATATATGTGATGGTTTGGTTTGACCAAATGCCGTCCATGGAGAAATATTACAGGAAACATTTACACAAACCAAAAAGGGTGTGAACATGGTTCAATTGGTGCACTACAAAATGTATACACATAAATATTTACATAGTATGTAAATATATATATATTTTTCACTCCTCCTCCTTTTTTTACATCTATAGGTCACTTCACACTTGATCCATGAATAAAATAAACATTTTGTGACTGTCCCCTTTCCATTCATCGTCTTTTTTTTCGCATCAATCATATATTTATTTATTTTTTAGGCACCACGGGCGGAATTGCGAATTCCAAATGTTTGGCCATGGTCAAGTCAGTTGATCGGGTAAACGTGTATATGGTGCTTTGTAGATAAAATAAATTAATTCAAACAGCCGATTAGTCCAAATTCAGATGACCAAATGCTCAAGTCTAGTAGCTGGTACTATACTATATATGATATATACAACCTTAACTTAGAAATATTTTTGCTTTTAATGAGGAAATCTAAACACAATAACCTCTACAGCTTTTTGTAGTGGTTGTAGTACACAGAGCCTGCTGTTAATGTCCCCTAAATTTGTGTGAAACCACTTTTAAGCAGTTTGACAAAATACAGGTGTCGTCTAGCTCCTACTACCTTGCTCCTCTGCTGCAGCTCAACTCGAGATGAAGCGAACTCCCACATTCTACATTAGTGCATCCAACTTAGGGTGGTAATGATAAGCTGAAAGTGTAGGCTAGTCCTCCCTCAAAACTCTCCCCCTGTCATTGGTGCACTAGTGCAGAAGTCTACATTTTATCCAAGACACAGCACAAGAATTGGACTTTAGGTACAGAGAGAGCCATGGTTTTTGTTACACCACTCAAAAACTGTTTGATATACAACCTGACAACAGCTTCTACAGATACATTGCACCATAGGTTCTACAATGATATGTAGTGGCTATGGTGCTTAGAGTTTAGATTAGATATACTATAGTGGCCCCTTTAGATTTGCATGTCACAGGTAAGAGACTTAAGTTGTATGTGTGCGAAAATCTCATCATGTATTCCACTTGAAAACTGTCAAGTTATTAACTAAAGTGAGAATTCAAAATTAATTCCAAATTTAAGGCCAGATAAGCCGACTGAAAGTGTAGCTGGTTTAGAGAATATCTCCAATTCGGCTATTTTGGACTTAAATTTGAAATTCACTTTGAAATGTCTCTTTAGTGAATAGCGTTCTGTGAATTTCGTTAAGCATGGATCTACTAAACAATTACCACATGCCTGTTCTTGAAACTACAAGGTGGTGAGTTCTTTGTATGCTGCTCATTCAAGTATACATGATAACATTCCCTTCCTAACTCAATATATAGCGGTTTTTGTTCCTAGCAAAATTTTAGTTCTGAAATAAGGACCATCTTGATTTTTATTTTACCGTTATAATATTTTATGCGGTCAATAACAGAAAGAGATTTTGTTGACCAAAGACAGAATAAATTCTGTCGCCTGGGATTAAACTGTTAACTTTATAGTAGACCTGATATTCAATTACTAGTGATAAATTTATCTCCTGTAATTGAACACTGCCACAGATTTCTGGATAGCCATACAGGAATGCTTATCTGCATAAATATAATATATACAAAAAGATAATCTGGAAATATGCATAATCTAAACATTTAGGAGTCAGAAGGGAAATTATGCAAGCCCAAAGCCTAATTATCCAAGTTTATTTTTATACTTTGATGTTTTTCAAATATTCAGTAGTTCAGTATGTATAGTATATCACATTCTAGTCCTGCACTGTAGTCTGGAGGTGGCAGCATTTGCCTACTTTTCTCTGGTTCTCTTTAATTTGCAAGATTAAAAGTATTTCTAATGCGTACACAATTGTACCAAACTTCAATATTCTAAGCATGTACACCTGTTCAAAAGTTGTTATAGGAAATAAAGATTAAGTTGATATGAAAAATGTTTTCACTTAAACAAAAAGCTTTTCCAGAACTTTGAGTTCATTACATACCCAATGTTTATACATTATTGTAATAAAAGTCGTCTTCGTGCAACAAATGCAGCTTTGTTCTAGGTGTAGTCCAGCTCTCAGAGTAAACTCTTTAACTCTTTTAGTGTAAATTGTTTGTGTTCAGGGCATGGAAAGAATTGTTTTGGTCACATCAAATTTACTCTATTTTTTTAAATAGAGATTTCAGAAAAAATAGCACTTATTATATATCAGGAACATTTTAATTAGTATCACGGAATAGTAAAAAATAATTAATGATCTGGGGTTTCTACTGGGAACTTAAAAGGTTACTCCAACATCTAAGCATTTATAAATCCTTTTTGTTTTAACTTCCTATGCCCTATTGACCATTTCTAGCTAGCTCCCCGCTCCCCTTCCCCCCACGCATACACTTAAATCTTACCTGAAACCTAGCGCTGGGCAAAGCTCCCAGCACTCCTATCCACGCTCCCATCCAATGTTGCCAAGGACCTTGTGCTGTCCAATCAAACACTTCTCATTGAGAAGCATTTGATTGGACGCATGTGCGTGTTCTAAGCTTGCGAGGGAAGGGATTTAAAAAGATATATATCAATCTATGTTGTGGAGGAGGCAGGAGGGAGCAACAGAACTGGCAGGAGCTGTCTGCAACAGGACAGACTGGCCATGAATGTCATCAGCGCCCAGTGCACACTGATGACAGGCATACATTTTGCACAGAATTTATATTGGACATGCCAGAAGAGAGTTCTGGGCTACTTAAGTAACATGTGCCGTGGGTGCCAACAAGAAACAATGCACATGTGGACTCCTGCCACCATGATCACATTAAATCACTGACGTGGTCATGGTGGTTGGGGAAATCATTTAAAGAATAAGTACCATTTCCTTATTCCTTGACCTCAGTAAATGCCAATGCAGTGTTGACTGGGATGAATAATGCAGTGGAGGTAAGTATAAAACTTACCTCCACTGCAGTTCTGTGTTGCAATGACATCGCCATTCTATAATGCCTTACGTGTAAGTGAGTTTGATTATCTAACAGAGAATGCTATGTGCATGTCAGTGCAAGACTTAACTAATTTACATAGTTTGCTAGCCTTTCCCTCCCCGCATGTCAATTAAAATACATATTTATTAAAATAAAAGAAACTTTTAATATTTAAAGAAATATCACAATCAATAGCTTACTTTTCGTTTGCTAATATATTGTGCTGATATCTGTGATGTATGCAGGTTTCCTGTCCCTGTCTCCTAGCACACAGTTCCCTATAACTGCAGCAGTTTGCATCATTGCATCTACAAAATTGAACTTTCTGTCCTAGATATTGCCTTCTTTTGGATCAACAGCTCTAACTATGTGTGAAATACCGAACCCGATGGGCTTTGGTGGAATCTTTTTGTGTGTCTGCAATACTATGTAACAATGTCAGATGTTGGATCTTTACATATTCCTCTGCCAATGTCTGTATTTATTTGTATGGACACACAATCAACTGTCAGCAGCCATGAAACCAGGCTCAAACCAACCTAATCAAGCCCAAGCAAAGGCTCCTTTGAACTGCAATACTGCTTGACTGAGAATTTGCAGCAGCTGTTGGAACATTAAAAGGACACTATAGTAACCCAGACCACTTCAGCTCAATGAAGTTGTCTGGGTGCCAGGTCCCCCAGGTTTTAACCCTTCTAATGTAAACATAGCAGTTTCAAAGAAACTGCTAAGTTTACATTGCAGGGTTAATCCAGCCTCTAGTGGCTGACAGCCGCTAGAGGCGCTTCTGCAACGCTGGATGCAAAATTTGCATCCAGCGTGCAGAACATCAATAGGAAAGCATTGAGAAATGCTTTCCTATGGACTGATTAAATGCGCATGCGGCTCTTGGCGTGCATGCACATTACGCTCCACACGGGAGCTGACGTCAGAGGGGGAGGGATTAACGTAAGTAACTGAAGGGATTTTAACCCCTTCAGTGCCAAGAGAAGGGGGCCCTGAGGGTGGGGGGGACCTAAGGGTTATATAGTGTCAGGAAAATGAGTTTGTTTTCCTGACACTATAGTGATCCTTTAAAGATGAGTATCTTTTTTATTTTAATTTTCTCATAAGAACATGGGGTTACCACCTATTTTATTCATTAATTGTATTTGGAGGTTATATCAAGATAAAGAATAATGTGTTTAAAATGTAAAGGGCTTATTTTCAGAGAAACAGGGTATTAGCACCTCCCACCTCTGCACGCTTATTTTGTTTGTTTTTTAAGTTGTCTGTTTGATAATGAAATAATAATAGCCTCAAGAAAATGTTTTTACTCTGCACAAATGACCAAATATAAATCAAGAAACCTAATCCAAAGTATGTCCGTACATTCTTAGGCAGGTCAGAAACTAAGAAACGAACAATGTGTGCAGAGGCAAAACTCCAATTTCCTGAGATTGAAATACTTTTTAGAGTGTTCTGATTCACCATCAGCTTTGTCAGTCAATCTAAGCCAGTCTGTGAGGTGCAAGGAGATTGGTATTTACTGCGTCATTCTGGGGGAGAAATTTTTAGTGTGCTAATCTGATCCAGTCCTAATCATACCCTATTGCTGCCAGAGCAGACAGCGTTTGAGAGTAGCCTTTCTTAAGCATGAACGGGTTATTCCTTTATACTATGGGAGTAACTTACCCTGCCCCCCCACCCCACTTTTCCAGCAGTACATACCTTCACCTGTTATCTCTTCATTCTATCCCATATAAATACATCATATCCACTGCAAGCAGTAACTCCCATTTTCACAAAGATCGCATTATAGAGAAAAATAATTTTCATCACTCTATAATGCCAAAGTTAAAATTGAATATAAGGAGATCTTTTGAATAATTATAAGCTCTGTATGATGGTAAATTTAGAACACTCCATTTAATTTATTTAAAGGGGTACTTCACTGCCCAAATAAAAATTAAATAAAAATCCCTGTTTAGTAGATTTGAAAATCAATGAATAAAAAAATGCATTTAATCTAAATACATCTTGCCAAAGGGGCACTTATCTTTTCTGCTGCCTTCTAACCCCCGCCCAGACTTTCTGTGGCTATCCAATCAGCTCAATGAGAAATCTTTGCAAGGCAGGTGCCCTGAGCAATTGTTGCCTCTTCGGTTTAGCTTCACTGAGCTAACCAAATCAGGAAGTAACAGGAACTCCTGTCTGGCTGAATGCTTTCTGCCAATTACTGCTGCCCATTGCTGCTCAGGCTAATGCTTTCTCATTCGCCCAAGCAGCAGAGGGGGATGAGATAACTGTGTATAACATGAACACATTAAAATTGGTTTAACACTAAATGACAGGACTGCACCAAGTAACTCCAGACATTATAACTACATAAATGAGAAGAAACTGATACAGGGCCTTCAGGGTTTTTCTAGGATGCTCCTGTATTAAGAACATTTTTTTAAAAGGACACTATAGTCAACAGAGCAACTACAGCTCTTTGCATTTGTTCTGGTGAGTACAATCATTTCTTTCAGGCTTTTTGCAGTGAACACTGTTTTTTCAGAGAAAACGCAGTGTTTACATTACAGCCTAGGGATAACTCCACTGGCCACTCCTCAGATGGCCGCTAGAGGTGCTTCCTTGGGCAGTGCTGCAGAGTGAGCAGCACTGCCATTTAATGTCTCCACCCTCTGCATTCAGACACTGAACTTTCCTCATAGTGATGCATTGATTCAGTTAATCTCTATGAGGAGATACTGTTGGCCAGGGCTGTGTTTGAATCATGATGGCTCTGCCCCTGATCTACCTCCTTGACAGTCTCAGCCAATCCATTGGGGAAGCATTGTGATTGGCTTAGGCCACCACTTCTATTTATGTCAGCAGACAGAGGCAGTTCAGGGGCAGAGGCAGCAGCTTCAGACCTGAATACAAGTAAGATTTTTATCTATTTAGGGAGGCAGGGGAGGGGAAGCAGGGGTGCTAAATGGTGGTTTTAACACTATAGGATCAGGAATACATGTTTGTGTTACTGACCCTATAGTGTTCCTTTAATGCACTGGCTTTTCCTTGAAATTCACTTTTTTCTTGTGGTCGTAGTTATTGCCCAAATGGATAACATGTCCCGTTTATGAAGCTGTTAGTTGATGTGTGCTTGCTAAACAAATGATGTAAGGTCTTAAAAAAAACAGATGATATTTTGCAACAAAAGTAATTGTGGGAAAACAAAATCCAATACTTCTAAGATGAATTTGTTATGTGAGACATAGAGTTGATGGGGGTAAAAATAACTCACAAGCAGCCATTACTTTGTTGTGTCGGGTATTATTGTACAATGATTAACATATGTACTTGCATTTTCAGTGAGGCAGTTGTTGCTTGAGACTATTGGTCTGCCTGGAGGTGTAACTCTGTCCTTGTGTATTTTGGGTAGACAGTAAAATGTTGTCACTGTCGGTCTGCTCTGAAAGATGAATTTAAATTCATCATTATGGTCTAATTACACAAAGCTCTCCTAGAAATTATTAGTTTAGTTTCACATAACTTTCTTGGTCGGATAGAAAAAACAAACTTATATTCAAATGTTTTTTTCAATGTAGCTCATTGGACTGCACTTTTAAAAATAAATAACAAAATATCTAGTGAAGAACATATATATATAATTTGGGAAAATAGGAGCAAAACAACAACAAAATACTTTTGGTCTTCAACTCACTGGGTCTGAGTGGATTGTGTGCCATTCTCACTTTAACAGCTCCGGAGGGATCAAGCTTCTGGTGATTGGTGGATCCACCAGGAATGTACTGGATAAAGGACATGGACTGGTAATGCCTTTTAAAACTGTTATTACTTCCAATAAGGATAAAAACTTAAAAGAAAAAAACTTGTAAAAGCTTGTGGAGTAAAAATATTTAAAAGTCACTTTACAAAAAGTATCTTATAGTCTCTGCTCGGTGCTTTCCTTTCTGCAGCAGTCTTGTGTACACCACACAGTTTCATTCTGCCCCTTGGAGCTTTTTCAAATGCCAATGGGGGTAGTCCAGTACAAAAGCTTTATGTTGCTACAGATTGCAACATTTTACCAGGTGACAGAATCCCCATTGCAGCATGCCTACATCCTAGGTCAGGGATAGGCAACCTTCGGCACTACATACCCAATAATGCTCTTACACGCATAATGCTGACAAAGCATCATGGGAGGTGTAGTCCAAAACATCTGGAGTGCCAAAGGTTGACTATGCCTGTCCTATGTTATTCTACACAAGCACCTGTTATTTCAGTGATCTAACTTAAAGAACGTCTTGCTGAAAATTAGTTACTCAAAAATGGGTAGTCTGTGATAGATTTTACATGCAGATTTTATTATTATCTATTTATAAGAATTATACAACCCCTTAATGGACCACTATGGGCACCCAGATCACTTCAGCTTAATGAAGTGGTCTGGGTGCCAGGTCCAGCTAGGGTTAACCCTTTTTTCCATAAACATAGCAGTTTCAGAGAAACTGCTATGTTTATAAATGGGTTAATCCAGCCTCTAGTGGCTGTCTCTTGACAGCCGCTAGAGGCGCTTGCGTGCTTCTCACTGTGATTTTCACAATGAGAAGACGTCAGCGTCCATAGGAAAGCATTGTAAATTATTTCCTATGAGACTGGCTGAATGCGCGCGCGGCTCTTGCCGTGCATGCGCATTCAGCCGAAGAGGAGGAGAGGAGGCGGAGACGAAGAGGAGAGCTCCCCGCCCGGCGCTGGGGTAAGTTTAACCCCTTCCTCTCCCCAGAGCCTGGCGGGAGGAGGAACCTGAGGGTGGGGGCACCCTCAGGGCACTATAGTGCCAGGAAAACGAGTATGTTTTCCTGGCACTATAGTGGTCCTTTAATCCAAAAGTGTTATGATTGTATCAATTGCCTGTTGATGCTCTTTAAGATATTTTTTTATTGTCAATTTTGCCAACAGAAATTTATTTGAATAATCCATGTTCTAATTTGACAAAAGAAGAACAACAGGCTCTTAAAGAATGTCAGACAGCAAATTATATAATCATAGAAATGGATAGATTAGCATTAACACATCTAAGTATATTGAAATTTGCATGCAAATTCAAGATGACGAGGAGGTGTATGAGGGGAATATACACTGAACAAAATTATAAAGGCATCACTTTAGTTTTTTCCCCCCATTTTTCATGAGCTGAACTCAAAGATCTAAGACTTTTACTATGTACATAAAAGGCCTATTTCTCTCAAATATTATTCACAAATCTGTCTTAATCTGTGTTTGTGAACACTTCTCCTTTGCCGAGATAATCCATCCACCTCACAGGTGTGGCATATCAGGATGTTGATTAGACAGCATGATTATTGCACAGGTGTGCCTTAGGCTGGCCATAATAAAAAGCAAGTTTTGAGGGAGCGTGCAATTGGCATGCTGACTGCAGGAATGTCCACCAGAGCTGTTGCCCATGAATTGAATGTTCATTTCCCTACCATAAGCCATCTCCAAAGGCAGGACATCCAACCGGCCTCACAACCGCAGACCATGTGTAACCACACCAGCCCAGGACCTCCACATCCAGCATCTTCACCTCCAAGATTGTCTGAGACCAGCCACCTAGACAGCTGCTGCAACAATCGGTTTGCGTAACCAAAGAATTTCTGCACAAACTGACAGAAACTATCTCAGGGAAGCTGATCTGCATGCTCCTCATCGGGGTCTCGACCTGACTGCAGTTCATCGTTGTAACCGACTTGAGAGGGCAAATGCTCACATTCGATGGCGTCTGAATCCCGGTTTTCACTGTACAGGGCAGATGGCAAATAGCGTGTATGGCGTTGTGTGGGTGAGCAGTTTGCTGATGTCAACGTTGTGGATTGAGTGGCCCATGGTTGCGGTGTGATTATGGTATGGGCAGGCGTATGTTATGGACAACAAACACAGGTGCATTTTATTGATGGCATTTTGAATGCACAGAGATACCGTAATGAGATCCCGAGGCCCATTGTTGTGTCATTCATCCACGACCATCACCTCATGTTGCAGCATGATAATGCATGACCCCATGTTGCAAGGATCTGTACACAATTCCTGGAAGCTGAAAACATCCCAGTTCTTGCATGGCCAGCATACTCACCGGACATGTCACCCAGTGAGCATGTTTGGGATGCTCTGGATCGGCATATACGACAGTGTGTTCCGGGTCCTGCCAATATCCAGCAACTTCACACAGCAATTGAAGATGAGTGGACCAACATTCCACAGGCCACAATCAACAACTTGATCAACTCTATGCGAAGGAAATGTGTTGCACTGCATGAGGAAAATGGTGGTCACACCACATACTGGACCCCCCAGGACCCCTCCAATACAGTAAAACTACAACAGTAAAACATTTTAGAGTGGTCTTTTATTGTGGCCAGCCTAAGGCACACCTATGCAATGATCATGCTGTCTAATCAGCATCTTGAAATGCCACATCTCTGAGGTGGAGGGATTATCTTGGCAAATGAGAAGTGCTCACTAAAACAGATTTAGACAAATTTGTTAACAATATTTGAGAGAAATTTGGCCTTTTGTTTAAATAGAAAAAGTCTTAGATCTTTATGTTCGGCTCATGAAATATGGGGGCAAAAACAAAAATGTTGTGTTTAAAATGTGGTCAGTGTAGTTTTGTGATATCACCCATGCACCCATCCACATGACAGATGTTTTCCCTAAACCACTTCTCTTCGTCAATTAATCCCCACATGCTCCTTTTTCCATGCCGATTATTCTCTACAGATCTGTATTCCACCCACAGCCCTCCATTGCCCATGCCACACAAACTCTCATAGGCCTCAATCCATCCTTTAACACACTGCAACAACCCATCAAACTTCATGTCGTCATGCCACATATCCTCCACAGCTTTCCTTTCCTCATTCCACACATCATTCACCCTTTTCATTCATCATGCCAAGCATCACACATAGCTTTCCATTCTCCATACCACACATGCTCCACAGCTTTTCCTTCTTCATTCCACACATCCTCCACATCTTTCCATTTTCCATGCCTCACATCCTGTTTTGTCATAGATTAACCAATGCCACACATCCACCATTGCCTTCCATTCCCCATGCTACACATCCTCCACAGCCATCCAATCCTTATGCCATTCATTGTGTTTAGTAGCCACTCAATTCTCTGTACTAAATATGCCCCGCAGGCCATATTTATTAATGGTAACTATCGCACAAATTTCTCTTTTCTTATTTCACGAATGCTCCCAATGTGGGGTTTCAGTACTCCTAAGTAGTGCCTTCTAACATAACTTATTGTATAGAGTTGATGCACTTGTAAAACATAATGAGTGGAGCTTTACCTTCTATACTTCCTTCGTGATAACTAAAAAACATTGATGCATCAGGAAGGAATAAGCAGGAACATGACCTAACACATATTCTAGCGTAGAGTGAGATAGAAAGCAGAAATGGTTAAAAAAAAATCACTGAAGATTTCACCTCCTGTGGAGATAAAAAACTATAAAAATGGAGTACATTATTGATATGCCACTTGCGGCATTTTCTCACAGAACATCTCCATTTGTTGAAGGCGTTCACTTTAGGAATCCTTTAAAGTTTTGTTTATTATGGAATTTCTTTTCATAAATGTTGTGTCTAAATGATTCAGTTTAAACAGTTTTGTTCTTATATGTATGTATTGATTTATTAGTTCCTTTATTTATCTTATAGGCTTTAGTTTATGGCAACAGACGTGTTTCCTGTTTAAAGGACAAGCTGGGATTTTGCTTTTATTTCTGTTGTCTTTCTTTCCTTACTTTTTATTTCCTTTTAATTGTCTATTATTATTTATTTATTGATAGTTTGATACAATTGGTGCTGTGAATGCAACGTATATATCATAATGTGAATTTTAAGTATAGTCTGTAATTTGTTTATTACGTTTACAATGATCATGGTATTGGGGTTTGTTTGACCATTAGCATCTTTAAGACTATACCTTACCCCTTGCAATGTTTGTCCTGTGACTGCCAACAATTTATTGAAATAGACATATGAGTTGTTTTTCTTTAGTTGACTAGTAATCTACAAATTATTCTAAACAAAATATTTATCTTTTTCATAATTTGTAATTATTTTATTCATATTCAATGTTTTTTTTATATTTAAACATTAAAAAGTATGGGTCAAATTAAAGTTATTGTTGAACAAACACATAACATAAACGCTAGGTCTTGCATTGGTTGTGAAGTTGGACAATTGTCACGTACCTTTTGTGGTTAAATAAATAATTTATTTAGACTTTTAGCTCAAATCTAGATAATAATATTTACAAACATTGCTAGATGAACCATCCAATAAGATGAACCATCCAATAGGACTCTAGAAAATTTAATTTACACTGTGATGTTATGTATGCAAAGTTCACTGACTCCTTTCTCCTGGCTTTATCTCAAGTTAATTGTGGTAACATAAGTAATATTTGCCCAACTTCACCATCTTTGTACATTAATATAACAGGAATGACTGTTCATGAATTCCTTTTAGCCCAGTGCACTCATGTCTATGCCTCACATTTCAAATTCGCCTTAGACTTATTGAAGTTAATTCTCACACATAATTACTTCTTGTTTAATGGAGGCATATTTTTGCAAACTAGTGGCACAGCTATGGGGACACACTGTGTTTCCAGTTATGCAAATTTGTACTTAGCAGCTTGGGAACAAAACACAGTAATGTTCTCAAAATGGTATCCTTTGTTCAATATATCACATTATTATACTTACCTACATACAATATGGACATGTTTTTTTAAGACAGGGTTATCCTAGAAAACCTCTGAAAAAAAGCATATTGAAGGGCTAAGAATTCTGATCAACAGCAGAGTATATTTTTAAAATATATCTTCAAATAGAGTCTATATCTATAGACAATATATATTTGCTGCTGGTGAAGCCAAACACTGTAAAGCAATTTGAATCCCCCTTTTGTGTCCCCTAATGGACTAACATACAGTTTAAGAAAAACATGTAGGGAAAGTTGTTTAGTTAGAGAATTTATGTGATTGAGCCAGAGTTAAGATTAGGAATAGTGATAGAGAACAGATGATTTTTTGGTCTGATATAGCTGGCATTCTGAGGCTCTTTCCCTGTACATGTTATCTCTTATTTTGCTCCGGGACTACATAAGAATGTAGGGACATACTTAGCATATAGGATACCTGATTTATATTTATTGATTTTGGCAGGGTAGAAGCATTGCATTGAGGGTATTGTTTCATTATTATATAGGAAACATGAAAGTGTACATTTTGACCCATATTCCATTTTCACCTGTTGTATGGTTATATGAAAAAAAAGTATATTTTTGAATGGAGTTAGACACAGAGAATTGTTCAATAGTACACAATTAGCAAACACAATAGAGTCTTCCATAGGCTTTCCCCTAAACTCATGCTTTGAAACATGTTACAGTGATAGAGTAGCATTGGTGCAAACAAACAACAAACTGAGAGTTGATTTATCTCTGAGGATCAAATCAGCCAGAAATGTAGCTACCAGAAACCTTTTTAAAAATGTGTCTATTCACCTAAATAAAAAAGTAAACTAAAAAATACACTTGGACACGCATACACCTACTCTGCCTTTTTTGTTTAATTTAACTTATACTTAGAATCAGGTCCTACTAGTCACAACTATTTACAACTCTTCACGTTTATAATGTGTCTTGGCATATGAATGAAAACAATAAGCGAAAAACTGATTGTCAGATCGAAATGATTGTCAAGGAAGGGGCATTACATGATAATGGATCGACAGAGAAGTCCTGTACCAAGAGCTAGGATGCAAACAGGGAACAAAATCTGCAGATTTAGTATTGCAAATGATAATATCTAGGAGTCCCTTGAGAAAGGCATCCAGTTGTGTGCTGAAATGTTGGGCGTGTAGTCACCTGTGTCTTGCTCTGGAAGGCTGGTGAGAATTTTTGTATAGCTATGGTATATTTTCCAGCCGGTATTCACTTTGTTTTGTATATACTTATTCTTGCTTTTGGATAATTACTTTTACTTGTTTGGTAAATAAAGTATTGATTTATTCTATAATAATTGTGGTGTGCAGCTTGGTTTCTGTAGGTAAATCTAGAAGTAACTCATATGTACAGAACTAGATGATATCTCAAATGGTTAGAGTTAAGGGATACTTAGAATGTACTGAACTTCTTAGCATTCCATTGGTTAAAAATATATATAAAAAACCTTATTAGAAAATTCCATAGTTATGTAAAGACTCACAATTTAGTTTCTGTGGAGTGTTACCTTGAGTCTTCTTGTGATCCTAAAATGAGACATATGAGGCTATATAAAATTGCTGAGTCATAGGAATCACCTCTTGCTGAGTAAAAATATAATAACGTCTACATCGTGGTCCTGTGAATTGCTGCCAAGGGATGATTTAGCTAATGCAGTGGTGGCAGTATGAACCAAAGCTGTATGAGTTTAGAAATTTCAAGAAGACATTTTCTATCTTATAATTGTAATTATACTTTTTTCGAAATACAGAGATGCACACTATTTATTTTTTTTTGTAGCAGAATTGTGACCTATTATTTTGAAAAATACATTGATCTATTAATTTACAAAAATAAATGCCATTCAATACTTCAGTGACCGTGAAAACATTCAAAGGAAGCAATCCAAGTTTTCACAAGTAACATGAATTTCTATTTTCTTTGACATCCCTGTCAGAAAACCTATGGAGGTGTATTTTAGTTGCAAAACGTAACAGAGAGGGGAGCACTTACTTTAATAAAGGTGCCTGGATTTCGGTTTTGCCCAAGAAACGGTATAGCAATGAAAAAATGTCCAGAACGTAATTAAGGAACACTTTTTTCTTTATAATTATTTTTCCGTATTTTTTCAGTATTTTACTGACATTTATTATTTATTTTTGCAATTAATTTGAGACAAATAATTTGCCATAAAATGCACCAACATATACTTTATAGCAATATAGGATAAGTCCTGTTTTAAAAATCATTAGGTGATTTGCAGTTAGGTGGTTTGATGTAGAACATAATGTGAGCTGATATCTCCTGGTATGGAATCTGTTTCATATATGCGATTTCTAACTCCGTTAATTCCTCTGCACGTTCAATAGGCTTTGTTTTGCTTGTAGCTCACTGTTCGGGTACATAGTTAATTATGCTGAAAACAACATTAACATGTTGGATTTGAAGTTCTGCTGGGAGAAAAAAGAAAGTAATCACAAAATCGTCTAGTGGTTTGCAATTGAAGCTATCAGCAAACATGCATGAGTGTGTATGTTGAAAACGCATACTAAATATTCAATCATACTAACCTATAGGATAGAAAAAAATAAAACAAAAAATGCTAGCTTTTAGTGTTAGAAAAAAAGTTTATTTTTTTAAAATAAAAATCCATATTTCTTTTCACCCTGACATTTGTTTTAATTTTTTTACAATCATCATACCCTCTTCAAGACCTATAAAAAGCATGTTTTCACTCAAACATGGTACTTTAACTCTGATAGTTTAACAGTGTGACCACTAAATACATACCCAGAGAGTTACTGCACTTGCTATTAATATGTAATGCTCATTTACATATCACCCAGAGACATGCCACTTACATGCCTTCTAAAGTAACCCATCCCACAAAAGCACACACTGAATGTAATCCCAAACAAATAATATATTACCTGTATATTTCCTGTCTTTATGGCTGTTACTATGAAATTTCTGTACGTCAAAAAATGTGATTCGTCCAAATAGTTTTGTGTAGTCAATTCAGGATTCATCAATGTAGTGTTTTGGTCCAGACTCATTTTATACATGCGAGCGTTTCAGGAAAAATTATTTAGACGAAACAAAACGTCACAAAAATTGGCATACTTCGCATACTGCAAATTATCTAAATTATAAAAATATTATGTATACATTTTGCAGTTTTCAGTTAGGCATGCTTTTCCACCATTTAGTTCACAGAAAAAGTGAAAAGGTTTGACCAATAGAGGCGAAAAAAGGAATAGTAAAAAAAAATAAAAAAATCAATATTTATATATTATATATGTACTAAATATATATGATATAAATGTAGAATTGTTTTCTCGATTCTCCTTTGTTCCCCTCTATTGGTCACTTCTCAATTGATCTGCGAATAAAATCAATATTTAGTGACTGTCTCCTAGTCATTAATCAGATTTTTGTGTGTGTATTGTGTTCCTCCTCCGATGTGGACCTGAAGAAGCCTTTTGGACATGCTTGAGGAGGAGATGAGAGGTCTATTACCAATCGCCTTTTATTTGTCTGAAATGGCTATGTATGGAGATTAGAGCTGACATTGGCTCTATTACACAATTGCAGGAATCAATTAGATGCTGGCTGACAGCCATTGTAAGACAACTTGCCTATTCCCTGTCTGTGGAGGGCATCATGTTGTGTATGTCAGTACAATTCCAACACATTCTAAAGGGTATGACTATCCACATGATGAAACCAAGTGTGGGCTATACCTAGGTGATATGTGATTCATTAAGAGAAATTGAATCTTAACATTGTCTGAAAAAATCCTGCATGGCAGGTTCTGGGTGCCTGATCATCTGTATACAATCAAATTAAATGGTAGCTGCATAAACTTTCTCTCTGAGTACCAGACAAGAAACAAATGATTGGTGGTGCTACTTTTAGAACATACATAGTAAATATGGCATATAATTATTTTTATAAATATTATATAATTAGAATAGAAGCATTCATTCTCAAACAATCTCAATTTGATAAATAATCCATTGGTTTTCTTTTCATTGATTGTTTAATTGCCTTTACAGCAAATGTTCATATTCATTGTTAAATGGTAGCCCCAAAGACAATGCTTGTTAATATGTTGAGGTTTAATTGTATTTTTTTCTGGCTCACTATACAATAGACATGTGCATTCTGTTTTGGATGAATTATGATTCTGCCTAATTTTGAGCGTTTGTGATTCATCTGAAATCTCTGACATTAAAACACCATATGGATAGATCATGAAAAAAACAAAATGGGCAGTGGACAAGTTATTTAATGATTCAGAGTTTTGTTTGTGGCACTAGAATAAAGGGGGTAGGAATGGAGATTTGTATTATTTTTTTTGCTGGGGTGAGGGCAAATAAGCAGATTGGTGTGCCATGTTGTACAAGAGGTCTGCTCAAGGAGGGTGTGTGTGAATTGATGAATTGATGTACAAGTCCACTATGTAATATTTGAAATGTTTGATAAGGTGTGTGCATTTTGAACTACCAAAAACATTTTTCTAATTACCTACAGCCAAAAGTTGTGGGTAATAACCAAAAAGCAATCTAGCAGTCTACTGTATGTTTGCATATACAAGCTGCATCACTTAAAAAGATTGCAATAGAATTATGTGAACAAGAAAGACTGATAGATATGTCAAACTAGGTATTAGAAGAGATATTGACGCCCCATTAACAAGGACCCATTGCACTATTGGCTACATATCAATGCCCACTCTAGATTGACACTGGCTGGGTCAAACAAGTATTGGAAAATGAAAGGCTGTTATGAAGAGAACATGTTCTCAGTATATGTTATTATTTAATGCATGCAAAATATAAGCTGTCAGATCGCTGCAAAGATAGATTTCGTCAAAAATACAATAAAAAACCCAGCGTGATGCTCAATATGAAATTAGTGCTGAACATTAAGTACTTGAAAGTATCTGAATGAACCATATGTTTTGTTAAAGAAAAAAAAAGATTTCTACATTTCACAGATAAACCCAAACACATTGTTTGTTTCACGGATTGGAAAAACTTGCTTAACAAACTGAGTTAAATATAGTCGAAAAGTACATATTCTGTAGAATTAACAATACTCTTGCTGGCACCATATTAATAATAACTTTCCTATTATAATATTAAAGGTATTTATTAAGTACTTTTATATTTTTTGTTTGTTTACATATAATTGTTCTTTTCGGTTGTGTTTGAAAATAATCCTTTTTTTAAGATGTCCTATTTGGCATTGCAATATTCCAAAATATCAAATCATTAAATATACTCTACATTTTATAAGCAGCTTAGGCAGTCTTCTAGAGCAATGCAGAGCATTTATCTTTGCACTGTTCTATACACCCCTTATTTAATGTTGAAAATCAACCACTTATGGTATACACACGTTGTTATCTGTATTTGACTAGTTAGAAAAGCTCCTGCTTTCTCTTTGTCTGTATTTTTGGATGTTCACTGTGTCTTTGCAGAAACATAGTTCTACAATGCATTTTTAGTGCATATCTTACAAATTCAACAAGGTATAAGGTGGAGTATCTTACATGCACTTTTCAAGTAGTCCTTTGCTTAGGTACATTTCATACAGTATACTCTAAAAAGAATAAAATAGCAGAAAATAGTGCAATATTGCTTGTACTCTTAATTATGCAAATTCAATAAGGTCTTGCCAAATGCAAACTCACAAGGATGGAGCCACCAAAGTTTGGGCTCAAGTTATTCACTTTGTGGGATGTAAAGAGTCCCACTCCCTCCTCTGTGTTCCAAGTTCCTTATGCAGGGTAATCACAGGCTCACAGGTGAAATAAAATAACATTTATTAGTATAAACAAAAATAAAAAGAATATTTAAGAGACCTTACAAACTCTGTTGAGCAGTCTTAATGGTCTTAGTAGCAAAACGCGTTTCGCCCCTTCAAGGGGCTTCCTCAGTTGCTGTAAATGTTCCCAAATTGTTCTTCGTTTAAAAAGCCTTTCATTGCCGCTTTTTTTCTTTTTTCTCTCTGCATTGCCGGCTCGCCGGACTTCCGGTTTCCGGTCCTTGCGTTCCACCCTTGGAACGCACAGCCGTCGTATATCACAAAATAAAAAAAGCGGCAATGAAAGGCTTTTTGCATTTGGCAAGACCTTATTGAATTTGCATAATTAAGAGTACAAGCAATATTGCACTATTTTCTGCTATTTTATTCTTTTTAGAGTATACTGTATGAAATGTACCTAAGCAAAGGACTACTTGAAAAGTGCATGTAAGATACTCCACCTTATACCTTGTTGTGTCTATAACTCTTTATTGGTGAAGGTTAAGGGAACCCCACCAAGGTGTTAGAGTTTCCTAAATTTTTGCATTTAGCACATATTGGGTCACTGTTATCTATTTTTTATATCTTACAAATTGAATGCTTTTTACAAGACTTACGTAAAAGGAAAAAGATTTGATAAAATGCACATATTTTGCATTTTAAATCTTAAAAGTTGTGTTGCAAAATTATGTCATTTTACTTAAATCATAAAGGTTTGATTTAGAGCTTTCACAATGGTCTAAAAGTGCATTCTCCCTGTTACTCCTTTTAGGTGGGATATTTAATTAGTGTGGATGCCTCTAACCTGAGTGTTATGGACATGCAGAAGGAATGTTATTTTTGATCATCCTATAGTCAACAGGAGACAAAAATAACCTGTTTCTTGAAGGATACAGGTTATTTCTTCAAATATCCTAAGAATGTTTTTTTTTTCTCTATTGATATTATTTTATTATTTATTATTGATGTACTATGTACATTGTGACCGTATACACTGATTAATAAAATTGTAACCATATAGTACACCAATTAATAAAACATTTCAAAACTTGTGTGAGGTTCAGTCAGGCTGAGAAGGTCAGATAGGTAACTGCACATATGGACAAAGGATAGCAAAGCCAACCATAGAATGGTTGGAGTAACCAGGAAGAAAGGTGCCCACAATAGGTGGCAACTGCATTCAATTAACAGTTACAAATAAAAGTCAGATTTCCTGAATAGACATCGTCAATAAACTTGTCAATGGGTATTATGGGCAACAGACAAAGAATGGTCAAATAACAGTCCAACGTAGGAGTCCAGAAAACAGTATATATGACAAATATATTGAACAAAATAAGAAACACTGCGGAGATGTAAACCATGAACTGGAGTAGAGCGGAGGCTGACTTTTTAAAGTCCTTCCCATGGAGCGCCAGATTGATCCCTTCGAAAAAAAACATTGACATGTGCTCTCCAAGTTATTCACAGTGTCACAGGGATTTGCATCAATAAATGACTCCTTAACCGAGCAATCCGTGTCAATCACTCTGGAACGGCAGTCTGTGCTTGACAAAATTGAAGTGCAAATATTGATTGTGGAAAATTTTCATTGTTTAATCTCTAAGCAAATCAGAGCAACTGTCCACATGAATGAAGAGAACATAGAGCCCACATTAGCCACTTATGATATCCAGTTGTCAGCAAAGACCTCAATTTCATAATTTTGGATAAGCTCTTCAAATGATTTCATATTTTTAGAGAAACTTTTTTTTTCCAACGTGTTTTCAAAATTTTAAAATACCCAAAAATATATCATGTATATAAAAAAAATTAACACATTAAAATTTTTTTTTCAAAATATTAAATCATTTTTAAAGTGTATCCAAAAATATTAAATCATTTGAAAAGATTATCCAAAAATATTAAATTGAGAACAAAATTCATATCCTCTTTACCCCCCTAAGGACACATGACATGTGTGACATGTCATGATTCCCTTTTATTCCAGAAGTTTGGTCCTTAAGGGGTTAAAACACTGTAAGGTGTGTTAAACATCCTCAGAGAAGTCACGATGCTTGCAATCTGTATCTTGTCAATTTAAATATAATGTTAAAAGTTTACAGTGTTATATAGAAGTGCCCCAATAAATATGCCAATACGCACAGTTGCACATTTTACAAACTTGCATGAGGGAGCTATTTAATTCTATTAAATAATTTAATGCTAATAAAAAAAAATGTACATGATAAAACTGAGGTGGGGTGCACAGGAAGGGAAGATACACAGGCGCATTGCCCGGAAGGTAGACATTCATTACATCTGATGCCAGTGCTCTGTACGTTCTGGCTACAGACTTAACTTTTGCACACAATTTGGCTGCCTAAGTAGCATGTTCCGGGGTGTAACTAGCCCCCAGGACAAAAGTGCAGATTACTTTGTATGGGCAGCGTTTCACGCAGTGTCACTGCACACACAAACTCTTACCACCGTGACAACTTTTTAAAGCACTAATGGTCATGGTGGTTGACGTAGCCCTTTAAGCTTCAAAATGTTCAACAAGAAACAGATTTCAGATACACACTGAATGACGCGACATAATAGAGAGGACAAACGGTCAGAAGAGGAGAGGGTAAATAATGTTTTGTCAGCAGAAAGGTGAAATCCAGAGAATCAAATAGTTTGTCAAGAGGCTGTTTAGATGGAGAAAAACAAGGGCCTAAGAATAGAAACATGCGTACATTTTTATTTTATTTTTAAATGTATTTTATGGAAATGTGATCTATAGCTTGAAGAGCATTGCAAATTACAAAACATTCCGAATCATCCTACCATTAGACCTGGAAATCTTTTAAGATGTTTAAATGGTTTCAGAAATGTGATGCTTACTGAGGCACATTAGGAATTTTGTGCTATATCTTGCCTTTTCTTCTTAATACAGTTCTCAGGTAAATGTGAATGCTCTTGAAACATAAGAAGAAACACTGCTTATCGCATTTGTTCCACTTTCTTTGGATCCACAGTCATTCCATTCTGTCTCAGTTATCTTAAAATTCCACTCAGTTTTAAGAAGACGCTGAACACACAAAGGTTGCTTTTTACTTTATTTCCAGTAATCCAGTGCCTTCATAAATCATATTGGCATATCACGTTATTACATTTCTTTGCTTTTTTTTGGTTCTGTTGCATGAGTTGTAGAAGTTTCTTGGATATTCTTTTAGCAAGTCTGCATTTGTTTGTATCAAAGCAAATGGATTTTGTACGTAATGTATGTATGCAGTGTAATTTTGACGTTATTTATTATCGCTGGAATAGCCGTTTTCTTTTTGTAGCAACGTATATTTTAAATGAATAACAGCAACATGGATAAAATATATAAATATTCAATTACCATAAAATTGGACTAAACATAACATCTGCATTTATTTGAGCTCCTCTTTTTTTTCTTACACCCCTTTTTAAACACAATAGTGTTGTATTAATATGATTGGGTGTTTAGAAAATGTCAAATTAAAAATGTGGACTTCAGCAAAATTTTGATTGCCTAATTATTTGACATTCATCATATATGCTCTTTATTTTTTATTTTTTCAATTACCAAGCTAAAAAAAAGAGATCACAAAATGCCCTTGGCCTCTGCAAGCGCTATAATGTGAAAAAAAAAAATCCTCATTTGTAATATATTGCATACATTTCTAAAATCAAACCCACTTATGAATCTACTAACTGTTCAAGCATATTTAAAATAATACATTAGGCCATTTCATGTGCATAGGGCTGAAAATTAAAAACAGAAATAAAATAAGAAAATATAAAAATTTATATTTTTTTTTCCCCAGCCATTACACTGGATGAAGTCAATGTTAAAGGATATTTTGTTTGGTCCTTGATTGACAACTTTGAGTGGACGTCGGGATATAGTGTCAGATTTGGGCTGTTCCATGTCGATTTCAACCTTGCTGATCTTCCAAGAGTTCCATACCATTCAGCAATTGAATATTCTAAAGTTGTCAAAAGAAATGGATTGATTTCCCAAAAATAGTCTTTAACAACATCTTTAAATAATTAATGTTATCTTTTATGACATCAAAGTACAGTTAAAACATGTACTTTTTTTCAGTGAGACAAAGTTTGCAACAGGATGATATCTTAATGACTGGATTTGTATAGTAAGAATTATTTTCAATAAAAATGTGCTAATCCAGTATGTGTTTTTTCTTATTTTTTTTTACATCACCATTTGTGCTTTTTCAACTGTTTTCTAGAATCATCTGTCTAACAGGAATAGTGAATTTTGTACCCATGCACAAGAAGGGTGGTAGGGAGGAGTCAGGCAACTATAGGCAAGTAAGCCTTACTTCAGTAGTGGGGAAAGTGATGGAAACCATGTTAAAGGATAGGATTGTTGAACATCTAAAATCACATGGAATTTAAGATCAGATACAACATGGGTTTACTTCAGGGAGATCATGCCAAACTAATCTTATTGATTTTTTTCATTGGGTATCTAAAATAATACATCAGGTTGGTGCAGTAGACATTGCTTACCTAGATTTCAGTAAGGCTTTTGACACTGTTGCACATAGAAGGCTTATCAATAAACTACAATATTTAAGTTTGGATTCCAATATTGTTGAATGGGTAAGGCAGTGCCTGAGTGACAGGCAACAGAGGGTTGTAGGCAATAGAGTATATTAGAAGCAAGGTCTAATTACCAGTGGGGTACCTAAGAAATCTGTCATTGGCCCAATTCTGTTTAATATGAAGAATATAATGATACGAAGATTTGCAACAGGGTTGATGTTCCAGGAAACTGGCATTTAATGTGGATATGTGCAAGATGATGCATCTTGGGTGTAAAAACCCAAAGTCAGAGTATAGAATATTTGATACATTACTAACTTCAACATCTGAGGAAAGGGATTTAGGGGTAATTATTTCAGATGACTTAAAAGTAGGCAGACAATGTAATAGAGCAGCAGGAAATGCTAGTAGAATGCCTGGTTGTATACGGAGAGGTACTAGCAGTAGAAAGAGGGAAGTGCTCATGCCATTGTACAGAACACTGGTGAGACCTCACTTGGAGTATTGTATGCAGTACTGGAGACCATATCTTCAGAAGGATATTGATACTTTGGAAAGAGTTCAGAGAAGGGCTACTAAACTGGTTCATGGATTGCAGGATAAAACTTACAAGAAAAGGTTAAAGGATCTTAACATGTATAGTTGGAGGAAAGACGAGACATGGGGGATATGATAGAAACATTTAAATACATAAAAGTAAAGGAGGAGACTATATTTAAAAGAAGAAAAACTACCACAACAAGAGGACATAGTCTTAAATTAAAGGGGCAAATGTTTAAAAATAATATCAGGAAGTATTACTTTACTGAGAGGGTAGTGGATGCATAGAATAGCCTTTTAGCTGAAGTGGTAGAGGTTAACACAGTGAGGGAGTTTAAGCATGCGTGGGATAGGCATAAGGCTATCCTAGATATACGATAAGGCCAGGGACTAATGAAAGTATTTAGAAAATTGGGCAGACTAGATGGGCCGAATGGTTCTTATCTGCCGTCACATTCTATGTTTCTATAAGAGCCAATTTAAGCACTGTAAATACTACAAACTGCTGTAGTGATTATGGTGACATTAGCACCCTGGGGCTATCCCATCTTGTGGAGTCAAACCATTAACCCCTTAAGACCGGAGGGCGTACTATTACGCCTGTGACGAAACCAATCTCGCCACATTGCATTGGAGGAGCCTGGTTGCCCGCCTGCTGCCTTTGGATTATGGACCGGCAGCTAAAGGGTTAATTTTACTGTGCAGAAGGATTTATTTCTCCCTTTCTGCACAGCCGTTCGGTAGATTCCATCTACCAAACAAACAGTCTCTTTTCAGCCTCCCCAGAGCCGTGGGAAGCCGGCCGGCGACCTTAATTGGCCACCCAGAAGCTGGAGTGCGCCCTCCATTTACCTCCCTGAAGCCGCGGTTAACCGCGGCTTAACGAGCGTGTGCCGGCAATTGACCACCCAGTAGCTGCGGTTAACCGCAGCTTAATTGATTGTTACTGGGTGGTCGCGGTTACACTTAGCCGCCACACGATGGCGGTGTTCTGGAGCTCCCCGGGCAGCCAGCGCTTGTCTGCCCGGCTTTCATGCACCAAACCCGGACACTTTTACGTGCAGGCACCGCTGAACCTCCAACCCCTGGTTCTAATTCGCACGGATTGAACGAATGCATGTAAATTCGGTATTTTATGTTGGAGGAATGTTTTAACCCAGATAGCTATGCCATGGAGCCTATTCGTGGAATTAAAGACTTTGGCTCCATGGCAATTAAAACTGTATTCGTGTGGTCTGAGTGCCATTCACCTAATAATGTGCACTCAGACCTGAGCTATCTGGGGATATGTTACATGTCTGTGTTTTATGTAGTAAATGTTACTTTGTGCATTTTAAAGTATAATGCTGGTTTTGTGTTCCCACGTGTGTAATGGAGTTTTGCCTTTGACTTGGGAGATAATTGAGTTACTTCCCAATTATCTCCCAGGGCAGAGGGGAGGAAGCCAGGATGCATTGTGGGAATATACTGTGACTGTGTGTCCTTTTTGTATACTTGTCTGTCCCTTGTCACAGTCTCCCATTTGGTCCCCTAGGGGAGTGTCCACCAGGTGGGAGACCTGCATAAAAGCTGGGCAGGTAGCCCTCATTAAACAGACCACTGCTTGACCCTCAACACGGAGCCTTGTCTCGTTCTTGGGGGGATTCACTGTATGCTGTTAGAGACTGATTGCCAGGAGTGTAAGCTGTTCGTCTGCTTTTCCTGTTCGTCTGCTAGCAGCTATTTGGGAGGTTCCAGTTCTGGAGTTGGAGTGCTATTTTGTATCCAGTTCGTGAGTTTTTGTGTTCTGCAGTAGCTGTGCCTGTATCTCTGGAAAGGGGGCCGATCGCCTAAACGGTTTTTACCCCTTGTGTGCAAAACGGTCCGTTACAACGCCCTATTTTATCGTCTCTAAACGCCGCCAATCGCAGGTGGGGGGACTCCCAGGTAGCCCCCCGCGGCACGTCCGACCCCCTGGAAGCCCCCTGGCCATGTGAGAGTGAGGTCCTTGCGAGGACCCCACAATCACATGGCCGGGGGTAGCTGGCTGCAGCATTGCCAGCAGGGGGGCTGCCTGTAATGACAGGTGGTCCCCCTGCTGGCTGGAAATAAAATTAAAAAAAATTAGTCAGTGTAAAAAAATAATAATATATACTTAGATCATATATATATATATATTATATATATATGATCTAAGTATATATATATATATACACATATACATACACACACGTACACTGTATAGGTGTATTTTACTATTAATATATATATATATGATTATATATATATATATTAATATCAAATTACACATAGACTGATACGTATTAAATATATATATAATTATTGTTATATATATATATTTATATATAATATAAAAAAATTTAATATGTAAATACGTTAAGAAATAAAACAAAAATAAAAATAAAATTATTTAAAAATATATAGATGTGTGTTATTTCGTTCTAACTGTTCTGTGATATTAATATATATATATATATATATATTTATATCAAAATACACGTAGAACGAAATAATATATATATATCTATATACATAAATATATACGTATATATCACTATATATATACCTATATATAAATAAAAATATTTTTTAAAAATTATATATATATATATATATATATATATACACATATATATTCACATACGTATATATATATATACATATATTAATTCTACATATATATTTATGTAATAATTTTACATAATTGGGTATCTTAATTAATTACAATTAGCGGGACCTGCCTGACGACCCATGCCGAAAGTAAAGGGAATTTAATTTGCTAGCACTATATATAGCCCTATAAATTTCAAAGACACCATAAAACCTGTACATGGGGGGTACTGTTCTACTCGGGGGACTTCGCTGAACACAAATATTAGTGTTTCAAAACAGTAAAATGTATAACAACGATGATATCGCCAGTAAAAGTGGAGTTTTTTGCATTTTTGACGCACAAACAGCACTTACACGGACGATATTATTCCTGCGATACCTTTTACTGTTTTGAAACACAAATATTTGTGTTCAGCGAAGTCTCCCGAGTACAACAGTACCCCTCATGTACAGGTTTTATGGTGTTTTCAAAAGTTACAGCGTCAAATATAAGGCTTGCGTTTCATTTTTTTCACATTAAAATTCGCCAGATTGGTTACGTTGCCTTTGAGACCCTATGGTAGCCCAAGAATGAAAATTACCCCTATGATGGCATGCCATTTGCAATAGTAGACAACCCAAGGTATTGCAAACGGGGTATGTCCAGTCTTTTTTAGTAGCCACTTAGTCACAAACACTGGCCAAAATTGTCATTTTTTGCATTTTTCACACAAACAAATACTAACGCTAACTTTGGCCAGTGTTTGTGACCAAATGGCTACTAAAAAAGACTGGACATACCCCATTTGCAATACCTTGGGATGTCTACTATTGCAAATGGTATGCCATTATGGGTGTAAATTTCATTCCTGGGCTACTATAAAGTCTCAAAGGCAACGTAACCAATCTGGCGAATTTCAATTTCAATGTAGCGTGCTATATTTGACCCTGTAACTTCCCAAAATGCCATAAAACCTGTACATAGGGGGTACTGTTTTACACGGGAGACATTGCTGAATACAAATATGTGTATTTTATTACAGTAAAAGAAAACAGTATTATGACATTGACCGTTAAAATGTCATGTAGAACTAAAAAATCTTATTTTCTCCCATTTTTTTCATATTAAATTATGTTTCATAGCTAAATATTTGATATTAAATGAAAGCCCTGTTTCCCCTGAACAAAATGATATCTAATAAGGGTGGGTGCATTTAATATGAAAGAGGCGAATTACGGTTGGACAGACATGTAGCGCAAATGCCAGGTTTTGTTTAGATTTTGTTTCGTTCACAACGTGTACATTTGGCTCCGTCCTTAAGGGGTTAATAAATGGCTTGACACTAATATGAGTCCCCCAGTGTATCCAAAGTATGTCCCACCCAAAGACCTAAAGCAGAGGTTATCCTTCCATAACATAGATATGAATTTCATCCCTATTTGGT